TGGGCATTGGACTCGGACATAGCAAGATTTCTGACTGCAGTCTTAAAAATCAAGCCACCCATTAAGTCTATTACTCCTCCATGGGATCTCCCTCTGGTCCTTAGGGCTCTTAAATCAGATCCTTTTGAACCAATGGAATCAATTTCCTGTCATCTTCTCACGATCAAGACAGTTCTATTGGTAGCCCTAGCCTCTGGTAGAAGGGTTTCTGATCTTCAGGCTCTTTCGGCTCAAGAACCTTTTACTATATTTCATAAGGACAGAGTCATCCTAAGAACTGTTCCAGAATTCCGCCCTAAGGTGACTTCGGAGTTCCATATAAATGAAGAAATAGTTCTTCCAGCATTAAATTCAGAAGAATCTAATTAAGGAGAAGACGCTGATTGTAAGGCTATCGACTTAGTGAGGTGTCTCAAGATATATATACAAAGATCCTCAGAATGGCGTAGTTCTGAAAGGCTTTTTGTCATTCCTAACGGCCCTAGGAAGGGTCTCCAAGCTTCGAAAGCCACTCTCAGTAGATGGATAGTTTTGGCTATTATCCAATCTTATCGAGCATCTAAAACAAGTATTCCTGAAGGTTTGAAAGCACACTCTACACGTTCTCTATCTTCATCCTGGGCAGCTGCAGCAAAGGTTTCTACAGAACTGATTTGCAAAGCAGCCACCTGGTCATCTTCTAATACGTTTATCAGACATTATCGTTTAGACGTAAGAGCTGGTCAATACGATGAATATGGCAGATCAGTTCTTTCTGCTTCAAAGGATTAATTTCTTTATTGGTTCATCACATGTGGTTGATTGTGATAATACACTTGCATTATGTAATAATGTGTCTCAGTTTTTCTTTTTCCCTCCCTTGGTTTTAGCTTGGGTATTACCCATTGTTGTGCTGCCATGGATATGGCCAGGAAAGAGATAAATTTACTCATACTTACCATAATTTTCTTTTCCTGGTCAAAGGCCATGGCAGCACAAATATCCCACCCAGGGATATTGCTGTTAACTAGACTGAGGGAGGAGGAGGTAGGAGGGGGTATTTGTACCTTTATTTTAATTAGTTCCTGTCTAACTAGGGATAGGGGAGGAGCTACCCATTGTTGTGCTGCCATGGCCTATGACCAGGAAAAGAAAATTACGGTAAGTATGAGTAAATTTATCTCTATTTGAAATGTGTGCCCTGGTAATTGGCTGAACCAAACTGGATTGTGGTGGCATTTGTTAATTCTATAATATATATTTAAAACAAGAGTATCCCAAAAGATAACACAAGTTATGTTATCTTCAAAGTTTTATTCTACGGTGTAATTTTCAGAGAAGTGAGAGCCCTTTAAAGCCTTTACTGAGATATATATACACACACACGGGAAGCATGCACTTGTCCAATCCATCATCAGCTCCTGTCAATATTAAATCAAGTAGCCAACTATACTGCTATTCTCTTGGGTAAGCACAAGAGTACTATAGCTAAGGGGTTCTATAGATCACTCTACATGAGTGCTCCCCAACCCTCTCCGCAAGGCACACCTAATAATTCAGGATTTAGGCATGCTGTGTGTCTAAGGTGTTTAGAAAAAGGGAAAAAGAAACTCCCCCCCAAACCACCTTAGAGTTCAAAGTGTTTTTCTTTTCATCAAACACCTTAGTCACACCTGGGTAATGCCTAAATCCTGGCCTGTTAGGTGTGCCTTGAGGAGCACTGCTCTACATGACAGTATTCTTTACTGCTCTCGCGCACGTACAGTATGTTGAAACAGTACCTGTCCACTGTTGTAATTGTTGGTGGGAAATGGCAGCAGAATCTATGGCTGTTACACATTTTGCTCATACCAGAAACAAATTGGGAACTGTTATGCAGTCTCGTTGCATTTGGAATTTCAGTAAAATTACAACACAATCTGTATGAGTTCATAAACGTTCTATTCGTTTTAGAGTCATAAAAACTGACATGATTTGTGTGTGCGCGCATTAATTTATCTTCTGGGAAGGAAGACAGCATGGGGGGTGTTTAACACATAAAAGTGCTGTTATGGGCAAATGCAAATATTACAAGTTTTAGAATGAAATGTTGTATTTCTTATACTGTGTACTTTGTCTTTAAGAGATATTGCAAATTGACAAGGTGTTAGAAATGGAACATATTGTTTTTCATAGATGTTTCTTTAAGCAATAACCTCAGTGCATAATATGTTTGCGTCATTTTGTCCCATTGGAATTACAATAATAATGTATAAACAAGTTTCAAGGCTATGCTACGACTCTTTCAGTACGTAATATACTGTAGTAACCTTAGTAGATAACGTTCAGACTTTAAGATGCCATCTTGACCTAAGTCAGGAAAATTTCCATGACGTATACACCCTTTAGTTATGGACTTGTATTTTTGCCACGTTAAGGGAGGCCCTAAAATGAATAAAGTAAAAAAAAGTTACTTTTTCATATATGAACTACAGTGACCCTAAAATGACGACACCTAAGGTATAAATAGGTGTACTTTTAAATGTTAAGACACAGAGGAGAGACTTGGAGACAGACTCTGCTCCATCTTAAAATGACAGAGAGGCTGACATGATGACTTGTTCAGAAGGGTATGTTAACCTATTAATGATATTTGCAAGCATGTAATTTAATCTTATAAACTCTGCTATAATGGATTTTATATGTCTATATTTAGATTTTTTTATAATAAATATCTAAAAAGACAAAACTTTATTGCTTCCAAGACAACCCTTATTTTATATTGTATTCTCAATTATTTTTATAATGTTAAATAGAGGATCTCTTACACTAACTATATAAAATTATGGCTAAGATATCTGTATGGTTAGCCCTACTAAGTTGTATGCTTTAAGACATTATAGTAGTAAATAAGGGAACCAGTCGCGGTTACAGTGCCCATTTCAATTGGGGGTGGCAGGGTGTGGACAACTAATCACACAAAGCCGCTAAGCAAACTAAAGTGCTTTATGTTTTAGGGGTGCTCCTTAAATGTAGCTAAAGTTTGCATGAGAGAAAACATAGGCAACACCTGACAATATGACAATTGTCCGATTTTACGTAATTTACAAACCATGCCAATGGTTATGTGAATACAACAAACAGTCAAGAGTACAGCTTGCTGCAGTCCATAAATGTCATGAAAAACTGTTCAACCCACTTATCATGGCAGAATCTGGCATATCCTCAGAGACCCAGCCCATTAACTTGTGTCCTCTGGACTGGACATTCCGTTTACATGCATCACCTTTTATTCTTTTGCGCTGCTGTATTGTAAAGAGGACACCCTGGGCTTTCCAGTGATGGGTCACGTGATAGACTGGGATAGATTTTCTTCAATTTTTCTCCCTCTGTGCCCAGGAGGATATAATCACAAATGATGTGTGTAGCTGGTCACCCAGCTGGAATCTAGTTAATATAAAGATCACTAAAATGAAGAAACTGTGTCCCTTAATCTGTGGTCTATTCATGCATCATGCAATATTGTAGAATCAATTTATTCCTAAAAAGACAGTTTTGCAAATTGAGTAAATATACTCTTGAACAAGAGAAGACTCATTTTACTTCTATAATCAAGATCAGTACATTGAGCAATATGCATACAAGGCACGTTAAGGTTTTAAATAAATAGTATGTTTAAATTGAGATAAGACTTACCATAGGTCAAGGAACAAGCAGATATAAAATAGGGGCATTATCAAACAAAAGTCACAAGCAGGGTTTAAATGAATCACTTCTATTCTTCATAGTTGCCAAGCCCCTCGTAAGCTGCAATTAAACACTGAGAATTTCCCAAATCTGCAGTTCAACACTGAGAATCTTCCAGTTTATGATTCCACTTGTATTAGGGTACTCCTATTCAGAATCATGTAGAATGCAAATTGCTCTGCAGAAGACCAGTAAATGTGAATAGGAACATCGAGGTCAGTGGAGCTGGTTCAGATGCCTTCATTATACATTGAACTAATTAATGTTCTATATTGGCAGTCTTTCTTGATAGCTGAGCCAAGCATTACCAGAATTAGAATACATATTGCAGGACTGCTATTATACTACCGACTGCGATTTAGGGACATTTCCACCTCCTTAGAAATAAATTATTTTGATCTGGAGTTGCTGAATTTTTACCATTATAGGTACAAAAAAATAAATAAAAGGCAAGGTGTTTGTACTTTCCACCAAAGATATGAGTTCCCCAAACACAAGCCCATTTTGTATCACTGCCAAAAGGCTAAAACCTAAACAGTGAATTATATTGAATTGAAAACTAAATTACAAAATTAAGGGTAAAATAGTATAGTTGAGACTGTGGCCAAGTAAAAAAACTTTCAACTTAAGAAATGTTTCCCCTCAACTGAGGCCTGTATTATAAAACCCCACTATGAATTAGCTGCTGATTGACCATGAATAAACACACAAGACACTAAACTAATGGATCACAAATTCTTCTACAACCCCCAAACATACGTTGGGGTTTACCTACTTGTGATTAACTGAAAGTTAAAATTCAGCCTAAAATATTCATGTTGTGATTATAGCAGAGTGAGATTTGTTTCACTACAATGCAGAATTTAGTTAATAAAGCCCTCACTTCTTACATATGCATGGACACACATTTCCCCACATTAGATAATTATAAACACCACCTCCCTCCCCTTCACATTTATTCCGTTTAGCTTTGTTCTAGTCACAAAATGTCACAATCGTGCTGTTTTTGCACCACAGTTTTACGTTTTCCATTTGAGAGTTTTGTTGGGTCCTTAAAGCTCACTAAAAATTTATCTGCAAAGAGCTGGTTTTATAAAAAAAAAAAGAAAAAAAAAGTGGGACCACGACAGGACCATTTTAACAGCAAGTTCAAAAGTGTGATACAAAAATGTATGTCTTTAATATAACATGCAATAAAAATAAATAAAAAATATACTAAATAAAATTCTAAAAATAAAAAAAAATGTAACCACAATTATATTTAGGAAATAATTTATAATACAACATAAGTTGTCCTTGTATAGACATAAAATACTTGAAAGACATTATAGAAAATACGTTGAAATTTATTAGATTTTTTTACAAAAAATAACGAATTGTGATAACATATAAATTCAGAGTTCAATTAAAAGTATGAACACAGTAGAAATAGGTTTCCAGCCTGGCCCTGGCAGTCATTCCTTTCCTGGGTTTTCTAAAGTTGAATTCTGTGTTAGCTGCGACTTAAGGGAAGGAGCCTTGTGGCAACTTCAAGTTTGTGAAAATAATCATCCAGCTTTCTGTTAATCTTGTTCAGAAGCTGTTGACAAAGCAGAAAGAGGCATTGAGGATGTCTTATTTGTAGCATTACAGTTATTTATAAACATTGTATATACATATTCTAAATTAATCTTTATACAGTAGGGATAAGTATCTGTATTCTTGCTATATTTTGATACACAAAACCCAACCCAAAGCCCATACCACACACACGTCACAGAATGCCGAGAATTCATCATTGTGGCAAAGTTGAAAAAGTGGCTGTAAATGTCTGTAGTAGTGAATTCTGGGTACAATTTTGCTATCTGCCATATTTTTGGTCTTCTTGCTAATGAAGTGTTGTAACTGCTACAGCCATTCAGTTTTTGATTTACTTGTGAAATATTGGGTTGCATTCTGTTAAAGGGACACTTAAAAAGGCACACGGACTTCTTCAATGTTGGGTAATTACAAAGTAGATAGAACCCCAGGAGCCGCTGTACTCACATCTGTGTTGTGTTGATTGTTTCTGTTCTCTGACAAAGCCTGCAGCAGATGATCTATAGAAGAGTACGGAAGCCATACCAATGGAGCTGTAACACTTAGCGGTTTCTATAAGAGGAATAAATGTGAATGTAAATCACTTGTTAAAGCATTAGGCTCTATCTAAATACAGTAGCATGGTAAATTATCAACAGAAGCACTTCCAAGGCACAAAGGTAGCAAAGCCAGGACAATCATATCAAGGATTTAAAAAATTATGTAAACCAGAACAAAAAATACTCACTTCAATGCTAAAATATTGGTGACCTTTTCCCAAAAGGGCGTCTGTATATTCCAAGACAAGCTCTGAAGCTTCATCTAGAAGATCATACTTCAAGTAAAGACGAAGAAGTTCAGCTGCATCCACTGCCTAAAACAAGAATCTGATTAATTTCATATTTTATTATGGCCTGAACAAATTCTGCAAACATTGGGATTTTTTTTTTGGGTTTGGAGACTGGTGGTTAAAAAGCCATAAATGATGTGCTTGTTTGGGGAGTGTGTGTGTAGTGGGTAATGTCAGGGATGCCTATGGCTCTGTTCTTTTCCTGGGCCTTCCACAATTTGTCTTGCTCCTACCAGTCTATGCTAAAATACTCCATACTTATACTTAATTATTCCAAGAACATTTGTTTTTGTAAACATGATGCGATATTTGTAATGTTTTGTTATCAATCATATAAAACCCTTTAGGAAAATGTCAATTTAGAAAATATGGCATATATTGTGTACTTATTTTATAAGGGGGCAAAGTTAGAATATGTTATTTGCAATAATGAAGATGTATACCTTGTAGCTGTTGATTAACCAGTTGGGCAGAGGAATGCCATGTGACAGCAGTTTATTGATGACACAGCGATGGTACAGGCCATTTTGTGATTCATATTTTTCCAAGTAGGAAGTCATCAGGCGCCAGGCTTCATCTGTTGCACTAGGAAACACCAAGACTATTTAATAGGTCTGCTGCACACCCAGACTCTCACATTAGCCCATCAGGAAAAGATACAACCTGTGAGATGCTCCAAGAGATTCACACAATACCTGGACTCCTTGGTCGTGATAACTGATGACCGTTCGTTTGCTGCCAGCCACTGCCAAGCTTCTGTCTGTGCAGATTCTCCGCTGTGTTGTAATTTGATGCATCTGGTAGGTAAAAGATGGACATGAATTCAGAAATGGTAAACACAACGGGTGCAGAATTCTTCTAATGCCAAGAGCAGCCATATAATCAGCTGCTTAAAGGGACACTGCAGGCACCAAAACAACTTCATCTAAATTAAGTTGTGATGGTGCCAGGAGGCTCCGGAGGCACTCATACCTCAAGGGGATAAACCGTTCTTGAACTGTTTAACCCTTAAGTTCCCTCCAGTGGCAATGTCCACTCCTCCCAGGCAACTGAAGTAGCAATTATTGATAAACACAAATTTAATGGTGAAAGAGGTTAAACATGGGGTAGTTTATATTATGGGCAAACAAGCAATTATTGGGCAAATTCAGAACAACTCTGTGATTGCATGAAAATTAGTATTTTCCACAGAGCTGCTCTAAGTTATGCTTTACAAAACGGGGCCAGTTTCCTTTGGAAAAAGGGAAAATAAAGTTTACGTTTCTTTGTTAAACTAGAAAATGAGATCTGTTACATATACACGAGATTGGATACCAGTCAGCCATTGGTTCCTGAGCATAAAGGTGATAAGGGAAGGAATTAATGGTATGAAGCTTTTCAGAAGTATTTATTTTTAGTCTCAAATTAACTTCTGTTTAAAACATAATTACTCTTACTTGTACGCAAGGCCTTCAAAAATAGGTGTAAGAGATAGATTATAGGTCTGGCAGATTAAAATAGCGGTGTCAAACAGACCAGCCTGGACCAGGAGAGATACCATTTCCTCTGCCGATGCTCTCCCTGCAGGACAGAAAGGAATCATTTAGTTTAAGACCAGATGAACTAGCTACCACTAGGTGGCATAACCATAAAAAAGGAAATAAAAGCATTCATGTAAAATATTAATTTACATATTAAGGTAATAGAACAGCTTGGAGCGTAGGAAGTGTTTTTGAGTTGATGTATACTGATGTATATGATATAACAGAGATCGCTGAAGGTTTCCAAGCTCTAACCTGCAACAGCCGCAGTACTCTGATCCCACTGTGCCAAAGTGAGGCGTGTCTGAGATAGAACATACTCCTTCTCCAAGTCCTTTAGCTCCAGAATCTCAATTTGGCTACTTCCTGTTAAATTAAAATTATATTTTAAAGAAGAGACTTGGTATGATTTGAAAGAAAAACAAACACCAATCTTTATATATATATATATAAAAAAAATTTTTTTTTTAAATTGTCTGAACCGATTCATCTGAAAGTTTTTTTTCCCTTTAAGACGAACAGTTTGTCCATGTGATGTTTTGGTCCATGCAATTAATTTAAAAAGAAAAAAAACAAACAAGATTCAGACACTAAAATGGTGCAAAAATGCGTTTTGTGTACTGCAATGGAAAATTGATAAATTATTGCTTAGCATAATGGCTTGGTTGGGTTACTGTTGCTGATCACCCACAACTCACGAATTGCCATTTGACTCCAAATGCACAGTACACACACACACGTTTGTTTTTATATTTTGTTTTTCATCCCTCCCCGTCACAGGCACCTCATTCCAGGGCCCTTTTTAATTATTGCACTGCAGAGAGTCCCAGGAGAAACCATATCCCAACTAATACATGTTGACGTTGTGGCAGGCTATTGCAATGTATGATCAAATATTGTGTGTAGCATACACACACACACAGACACACTTAGAAGTGGGTATAAATGGCCTCAGCTCAAACTTACTAGGGACAACAGGAGGTTCTCCATCGTGGTTCCTTTTGGGGGATGATCCTGCACGTTCATACTTTAAAAAGGAACATAGACTGGTTACAAGTCAATAAACAGATCACATTACATACAATTTTCCAGCCCAGAATATGGTGAGACAGTTGACCAGGCTACATGAGCATTGTAAAATTAGACATGCATATGTAAACAGCTATCGAAAAGTAAGTATAATTATAAGTAAACAAAGATACATATCCTCAATAAGTACAATTTACCTTTCTATTTAACATTGAATGTTTAGAAAGCCAAAAAAAACACTTAAATCATCATACTTGATATGAAGTCAAAGCAGACCTTAGACCAGGCATAGGCAACCTTCGGCACTCCAGATGTTTTGGATGACACCTCCCATGATGCTTTGTCAGCATCATGGGTGTAAAATCATTATGGGGGATGCAGTCCACAACAACTGGAGTATCAAATTTTGCCTACCTCTGTCTTAGACTATGAAACTAAGATGGAGATTTATCAAAGTCAGGAAAGGTGTCTTATTTTTGGGTCTGTAATATTTTGTGCTAGAATTCTGCAATTTGTGATTTTTCAGTAATTCTTCTAGATTGATTCTGCATTTGCTTGCCAAGTTCCTCATGACCTGTTTGTGAGGGAAACTCTGTGAGATATTCTTTTCAGAATTTGCGATTGTAAAAAACAAAAAAACAACAACAACCCACACGGCCCTGGAAATAAGGCACATTTTATTACCTTTTAAGTAGGGTAAGGGGGGCAAGTCACCTAAATGGTGTTTTTAACACTATAAGGTCAGTAATACAGGTTTGTGTATCTGACCCCATAGTGTTCCTTTATGATCGATAAAGGTGACCTATGGATTCTGTTTGAGATTATTTAGTCCTTAATGCAGGTATGATGCTTTACAAAGCAAGTGGCAAACATAGTACAGTAAGAAAGAAAACTAAAAACAGATCACTTTTATCAATCAGCTCTGCACGTTAATTTTTCTCCAACCTCTCCTTAGAATCTCGTAAGAGGACTTGCAGCAGGTTCTGACCATATCAATCTAGCAGTACATCAACTACACATATGTTTAAATCCCTTTCTCCAGTCCTTAATACATTATACCAGAGTTGAAGTATGAATCACAGACTGGCATACAAAAGGCTCTTAAAATAAATCAAAAAATGCTTCATGAAGTTAATGTAATTGCACAATCTAACACAAGCACGTCAAACTTGCGGCCTACAATGACTATATTTGCACCCCCCTCTACATTATATATAACCCCCATGCTCCACACTCCCAGTCACCCCCCCACACTAACTCCTTCACCTGGTCACCTTAACATTAACCCCTCCTGATCTGGTCCCACTCATCTCCCCTCCAACAATGTCGAACTCACACTATAACATAAACCCCCCTAAATCCTATCACTCACCTTTACTCATATGATCACACTCCTTTGCCTTCACCCTCTCACAGTCACCCTGTCACCTTCAGCCCTCCAATCCTGTTACACTCATCCTGCCCCTGCCATGCCACATGGACCCAGTCAAATACCCCCCAATCCGGTCATGCTCCTCTCGTCCTGTAACACTCCCTCCTCCAACTGTACCACACTCACCTTGTCAATTAACCCTCCTTAATCCTGTCACATTCACCTCCGCTTGCTCTGTTACAGTCATCTAACCATACCACATTCACCCCAACCGTTATACTGATTCGCCAACCTTGCCACCTTCACCCTGCCACGTTAACCCCCTAATCCTGTCACACTTACCTACCCTCACACTGTAACACTCCCTCCTCCAACCATGTCACATTCACCATCCTTCATTCTGCCACGCTAACCACCAACTCTGTCTCATTCATTCACTCGCCCTGTCGAACTCACCCTGCCACAGTTACTCCTTTACTCATCCTGTCACAGTCACCCCTGAAGACAATCTTAACACGCAAAGTCATAAAATATAGCTTCGCCACAAACACAGTGCACAGAGGCCACAGGCAGCCTTCCCATACACACTGTTCAATATACGTTAATAAAGTTTTTATTTTTTGCGGCCCACATAAACTTAAACCTTGTTATGAGGCCCGTGTTAGCCTTTGAGTTTGACATGCTTGATCTAACACATACCTGTATTAAACAATATTGTAAAATTATTGACAGAGTGAAGAAAGATTAAGAAATGCAATTTCATACCACAGATCCTGACGCAGGCTGAACGATCCACGCATATTTGGGGCGAATAAGGCGCAAACAGTTCAGACATGCCAGATAAGAATTCACTTGCTCTTGCAGTCCTTCTAGGGTCCGAACCTCCCTTCCAAGGCGCATCCCATATTCAAACATTATAGTGCCAGCTGGAGGAGGCAAAAAATACATTTTAACACACAAAGAGCAAGCTACGACAATGCTCCGTTCACTTTTTGTGCCCCTAACTATGGCCAGTATGGAAATTATGCAGAAGTGTAACATACCTTTGCGATAATTATGCCGATGAATATGAAAAGCATACAAGAGTTCATAGTAACTGTGCGTCGTCAGATCCACAGAACGAGCCCGTGATTCAATGATACTGACCACCTGAGACATTGGATCCAAAGTTAGGTTTACAGACAAAATTATGGCATCTACCCCTCCATCACTGCAAAAACTCACTCCCCCCCCTCATATGTCACTTGGCCCCAAACATTTCTTTTATACTATGAATCCTCATTCTGCTGGTTTACTTGTAGAGCTATCTTCCCTGGTGTCCAGTGGTTTGAAGCTGTTGCAGGGAGCTGTGCTTCAAGCTGTGATTAGTCCAGCTCCTAGATAGCTCTAGCCAGAAGGGACTCTGGTCCTGGATGCTCCATAGACAGAAAAGACTGTTACCCTCTCACTCAGCAGCATGTGTGTGGTTGATGGTAATATAAACTACCAACCCCAGGGTAGATTTTCAGGGCTCACTGTCAACAGAGAGCTTAGGACCCAAACATAAATGACTGCAGAAGAGAACTGCACAACCCACAGATCTACTTCTGAGCCTCAATGTGGTTTACGACATCAGATACACCGAAAGAGCACTGCTACCCAGTCATATATACCTATAAATCCATATATAACTAGGTACCACCCTAAAATCATTCCCATATTGTGGTTAAGCCAGGTCACAGCCATTAAATTTGGATTAACACTTACTTCATTTTGGAGATTTATATACGGAAATTCTACAAGGTCTTGAAGTTGGTAGCGTTCACACAAAACTATGACCAGCTGCCGCAAACAATCCAACTGTCTACATAACCAAAAATATATCATGATTTACTTGCAACATTTTATGTGGCAGTAACTGAAAAGAAAATGTTATCATACAACTGGCAAGTTAACATTTGTAGAGGACAGAACTTCATATGGTAAGGAACAGAGGAACGAGCACTTCCTTGGATTACTATTGGGTGTTCTTAAAGAAAGTGTATACTACACAAACTAGTATTCCTGACCCTGTAGTGGTAAAAGTTCAGTTTAACACTATATACTTTATCTCCTGCTCTGTAAATTGAACTTTAATCTCACACACAGGATGCTCCTGCGGGGTCTAGAATGCCATTACCAGAGCAAGAGATGAATTCTAAATTAAACAGAATGTACAATAATGGAAGTTTAAACATTAAAACTCTTTACAAGAAGTGTTTAGGAAGGTTGCGTAAGTCACAAGCAGGCAGGTGTGACTAGGGCTGTATAAACTAAGTGAATTACCTTCTAAAGGGCAGAAAATTGAACAGTGAGACATCAGGGGCATGGTGTATACACCAAAACTGCTTCATTAACTCTTTCCTGATTTTATGGCTGTCCTACAAAAGGAGGGCTTTAAACTAATTAGGGTGGCCTAGCAATTGGGTCCTCTGGCTGTCTGAAATACTCCCTCCTTGTCGGATGTGATCAGGAGGCTACCTGACAACTCAGGCAGTCCCCCTGCAGCCAATCTTGCGATCCAGTCCATGACATGACTTGAATCGGCTGGATAGCAAGATTGGGACTGCAGAACCCCTATTATATAACCAAGAAAAATATTATACATACATATGCACATGCTATGTATGCAGCAGCCTTTGCCAGCCCTTCCCACTGAAAGTCTGTGCTGGGGAATGATCCAATCGGAGGCTGGGGCCATGAGCATGCCCATGATCACAGCTTTCCTATTCTTAATGAGCTGTAATACAGTTCAATGAGAAGAGTGGGGGTTGGGGGTGCTGTAGTACAGCGTGCCTGACATTTTATTTACCTTTTAAAATCAGGTAGAGGACGAAACTTTTATAATTAGGGACCGGAATCAGGGAGGCACTTTTATAAACAGTCATGAAAAGTATTTCAGCTAGCCCCCACTTGTTGGCCTACTGCTTGCTAATCCCTGGCAGTCTTATCTTTACTTTCCAGGGTAGCTGAAACTGTATTAGCATCAGAAGGCCAAATGGCTTAGAGTGTGTGTGTACGATCTGTCTACAATGTATCATGAGTGTTGTACATCTACAAAGGCTAGGATCTACCATTTCTCCAGCTCTGTTATATATATATATTCTACATAGAATGTGTTAAACATATTTAGTCTTACCTGCTTGAGTCTGGTATCTGAGTCAACGCATCATATGCTTGGCAATTGTTTTCCATGTCTAAAAGGTGTTTGAATATGAGGGTCCGTAGCGTGGCCTAGTGGAAGAACAAGTTATTTTTTTTAGAACATATAGAAAGGTCACACTGTAATGGGCGAAAGGGTCAATGTCTACCTGACTTTTCCAGTCATCACCAGCTTCAACTACTGCCAGATTAGCAAACTGTATCACCAGTTCTGGCAGGCCAACATCTTCCAGCAAACACAGCACCTGGAAGAAAACAGTATGCAAATAAATCTCCCCATTACAGTAAGAGCATTGGAAGCCTCTTATTTGCTGAGGGTGCTCCTATACTTTTTAGATCTACTTTCTGCCAGGGCGTTCGGTAGATTTTATCTACTGAACAAAATACAGAAGGCACGACCACCGGGAAGCTGGCGTGTGCCTTCAATTCACCTCCCTGAAGCTAGCATGTGCCATCAATTGACCACCCAGTAGCTGCGGTTAACCGCAGCTTAATTGACTGTTACTGGGTGGCTGCGGTTACACTTAGCGGCTGCTAGGTGGCGGTGTTATGGAGCTCCCCGGACGGCCAGCGGTGCTCAGCCCGGAATCAATGCACTGAAAGCGGACACTTTTACGTGCAGGCACCGCTGAGCCTCCAGCCTTCCCTGCTTCTATTCGTGGCAGTTTAGCCGAATGCTGAATTGATCGGGACTTTACGTCAGTGAATGTTTTAACCCAGATAGCTATGCCATGGAGCCTATTCGTGTAATTAAAGACTTTGGCTCCATGGCAATTGAACTGTGTGAATAGGATCTGAGCGCTATTCGGTAGTTATGTGCGCTCAGATCCCAGCTATCTGGGGATATTTGACATGTCTGTATTTTATGTATAAAATGTAACTTTGTATATTTTAAAGTATTTTACGGTCTTTGTGTCCCCACGTGTATAATGAAGTTTTGCCTCTGTCCTGGGAGATAATTGGATTACTTCCCTATTATCTCCAGGATAGAGGGAGGGAAATTATAATGCATTGTGGGGATGTTTTACTTCCGTGTCTCTGAATCTGGTCCCCTAGGGGAGTGTCCACCAGGTGGGAGACCTGCATAAATACTGGGCAGTTAGCCCTCAATAAACGAGACCACTGCTTGATCCTCAACACGGAGCCTTGTCTCGTTTTTGGGGGAATTTACTGTATGCTGTTAGAGACGGATTGCCAGGAGTGTAAGCCGCTTGGGTGCTTTTCCTGTTCGTCTGCTAGCAGCTATTCGTATGGTTCCAATTTGGGAGTTTGGAGCATTCCCTTGTATCCAGTTCGGGAGTTTGGTGTTCTGCAGTAGCTGTGCCTGTGTCTTTGGAAGGGAAGATCTACTAAATGGCAGTTTAACCCTTTTATGCCTGGGGGTGCCGTAACAGTAGAAAATCCTCAAAGCAATTATCTAGAATCCTTTTACCTACTTACGGTCACATTACCCCTCATATGTCGGGAGGCGCTGTCACACACAAGGAGGGAGAATCTGCAGCTCCATGATCAAAACATTCAGGAGATTCACAAATGATGCACTTTAGAAACAAGCATTTACTTTACTACTTAAGGCTGAGATTGTGATTGAGCTGCCCAAATGCTTCCATTGGTATTAACAGTGATAAAGGGTAAACCGTTTCAAATACATTCACAGATGTGGCCAATGGGATGGCCCCAAGCTGTTTTACAACTAAAACCCCATGATGCTTTAACAGTTTTTAAAGGAGTCACATGTCCTATTCACAATGTGTGATCCCTTACTTTGTTGTAATACTGAAGACGATGTACAGATGAAACTTCTCCATCTTCTACACTGATTAATCTCTCCAAGAACTCCTCTCGCTCTACCTCAGAAGCCGCCTGGGAGAAGCATTCTAGCGCCTGCAGAAAAGGTATAACATGGGGTCATTGATCCCTCCACTTAAAATGTGTAAGATTTAGGAACTGTACAGTTAGGATGTGTCTGGCTTCAGGGATAGTGTGTCCATTGTGCCACATGCCGCTGCACCAATGCAATACATTACAGAACAAGTGGTAACTTTAAGACATACTTTAACTTGAGCAATCATTTTAATATACGTATATCAAATAATTAAAAAAACAGGATAAGAAAAGTACTAAAGAGGCAACTTGAAAATACAGTTTGTTTTTAAAATAATATTCTCAGCTCTCTCCCTACAATGTAATTTCTCACCTTCTGTCCTTCTCCAGTGACCAGATAACACTGCCCCATCATAAAGCAGCAAGAACCCAAATTGACTTGGCACCATGGCTGAAGCAGACGAACATATTCCTTAGAAGGGGAAAGAAATATTTATGGAAACAATACACATCAAAAACTTCACATTTAATAATTTTTTTTAAAATTATTTTTAGAGAAAAACAGCGAAAACCATCAACTATTTGGGTTACATGTGATGTGAAGTGCACACAACACCCAGTTTCTCGATGAAAATATAACAGTAATCATAAAAAGTGCATTTTGTGAAATGAAATGAATGCACTTCAACAGGAGTATCCACTTGTGAAACTACACCTGCCCCACTTAATTTATGTACTGTATAAGTAACCGTTAAATCCTGACTTCTGTTTTATTTCCATTTTAATATTACATCAGGAACCAGCAACATCGCCCAGGTTACATCTTGCATGGTGTGAATTAGTGTAATGGGCCTTCCATGGGGCCCATATTATTTCCAAATTTACGTAATGTACCCGATGGTCTATGAGCCATGAGTTAGCATGCCTCTGTCATTATAAGATGGAGCAGCGTTTCTGTCTTCAAATTTCTCCCCTCTATTATAGTATACTGACTGCAATCAATCAGATCAGACACATGCAATATCAGTGGATTTCTCTAGTATAAAATAACTCTGCTATAAATTATTGTAATGGATTTTATATGTTTATATTTTTATTTAATATCTAAAAAGACAAACTTTATTGCTTCCAAGACAATCCTTATTTTAGAATGTTTTCTCAATTATTTATATATTTTAAAAGAACACTATAGGGTCAGGAACACAAACATGTATTCCTGACCCTATAGTGTTTTACCCACCATTTAGGTGGCTTGCCCCCCTCAGCCCACTTAAAAGTTAATTAAAAAAACTCACCTTATTTCCAGTGCTGCGCGGGTCTGCCGGCGCAGGCCCGCCCCCTTGGTGACATCAGAATTGGCGATTTTTAGCCAATCCAATGCTTTCCTATAAGGAAAGCATTGAATTGGCTAAAATTGACAAGGAGGTGGGCCAAACGCCATTTTGGCCAATCAGCACCTCCTCAGAGATGTATAGAATCAAATTCAGCATCCACATGCAGAGCGTGGAGACGCTGAACGGCAGAGTTGCCTACTGTGCAGCACTGAGCCAGGAAGCACCACCAGTGGCCATCTGAGAAGTGGCCACTTGGAGGTGTCCCTAGGGGCAATGTAAATACTGCCTTTTCTATTAAAAAAACAAAAACAAAACAACTGTTTGCATGAAGATGCCTGAAGGCAATGATTATACTCACCATAAAAACTACATTGAGCTGTAGTTGTTTTGGTGACTATAGCGTCCCTTTAAACAGAGGATCTCATACTAACTATATAATATTATAGCCAATATATCTGTATGGTTAGCCCTGCTAAGTTCTGTGCTTCAGGACGTTATAGTGGTAAATAAGGGAACTGGCTGCGGTTACAGGCCCTGTATTTTTCGCATGCCCAGAGCTGATTGGGTTTTTCCAAGCACCAGCAATGCACATCTTAGAAGTCAGCAATATATGTATAATAAGAGGTTTGTGAGCTCCCTGCACTTGATCCAGAAACAAATGCAGTAAGTAAATCTCAGGCTGTAATGGGAGGTATATGTGTATTAGATCTCTAAAGGTTTGGATTTTAACACACAGGAGGATAATAACTGGGCATGACTAGAATATGTGGACAGTTGCCTCTATTGCCTTATGTCTTGGGTGGACCAGTCTACATTTTTGCAGGACTAAGTCTTTATCCCAATACAATAAAATAAAGGTAAAGAGTACTTAAGGCTCACATCTGAGTCAGAGGATCCAGCGTGTTAAACTCACCTGTAGCTGTGTGTACTGACAGGTTTTCATCAAAAACTCTGGGAAAAGGAAGCCGGGATTACTTGGCCATCTATTAACAATTAGCGTTAAAGAAGACCATTTTTAAAATCTAGTACTGTACATATCAAGACATATTTGAAAAGGTTCTGGTGAAATGCACTTTAGCAGAGCAAGGACAAGCACATAAATGCACCCTTATAGGCCAGGTCAACAACACTGGTCTGTTAAACATGTGATTTGCTGGATACATTAGCAAATAAGACATCCTGAGTAATTCAGACAACATATTTAAAATGTATTAAATAATGTGAGATATTGGTCTACTAAATCTATACCAAGCTTGAAAACAAACGCTAACTAGTAGAAAAGTGTAAAAATATAACAAGATAATTACCTACTAATATAACACTGCCCCATTCTTAACTCAATTGAAAGCTTTTAAATTCTGCCCTTGAACATTTCCCATTACCCAACTCAATGTAAACACTGTAAAAAGCAACACACTCCCCTATTTATAAAAAGGACATACAAGCTGTATCTTGCATTACTTGAAATTTCAAATGTTGACGTGCAAAGCAAAAGAACAAGGATACAGATTTTGTAGAAGATAACCCGTTACATCTGTGATGATCTGGGTCCAGTTCAGAGGATTCTGAGCCTGGACAGCACCAGAGCGCACCAAGGTCTGGGATATTCGCCTTCTAACTACATCCTGGAAGAATAATTCCACAACGGTTTGGGGACCAGAAACTAGAAGGGAAAATCAAAACATTACTTTTTAAAAGTAATACTAAAATCACATCCTTTCTTTTAAAATAAATAAATTACAGACACACACAAGACATACTGTATGTGCATCCTGAAGTAGATGCTGGAGTATCAGACAGCTTCAAGACTGATAAATGCTGTAAGTTGGACTCCCTGTAGGAAAAAGGATGCATGTTTAATTAGGCATGATAATTTTGACGTCATGTTCATGAAATCATTTCACAGCTTTAACGTGAAAAGAAACATTCTTAATGCAAAACCGGTGGATGTATGTAGAGTCACGAGGGCCATCACAAACTTATAGTAAATGCTGTCATTTGCCAAGACCTATGGAACGTCAATAAGATCCCACATTCTAATCAGGGATTTTTTTTAATTGAATTAAAACTTAAATTGCCAATAGAAATAAAAAAGACATGTGGTAATAGAGAATACCTGAATATACACTGTCACCCAAAGGGGTTTATTCACCAAATCAGGAATGTGAAGAACTGACAAAGGAATACTTAAAGTTAGGTCAAATCAGCCATGCAATAAAACTATTCTGGTCAACTGTTAAAGATAATTGTCAGTCGTAAAGAAAATAAAACAAGGTAAAGTATGGTCACAGTCACATGACAAAAACAATGATCTATATACACATACACACAGAGCTTCACGTCATAAGATACCAGTCTAAACAAGGATAATTAGACTTACAATACATCAACTGGCACAGTAGAAGCAAGACACTGGCATCCCCAGCGAATTACGTAATAGGACAAGAGGGTGTGAGAAGTTCGGGGTATAAGGTCTTGCTGAGACTGAAGGAGCTGCCCTCCTCCAACAAAAGCCTAGTAGAAAAGAACAAGATTGTTTATGTAAAATAATCTTACAGAGAAACAGAATCTGGAAGCAAATATTTGGTTTTAGGAGCTAAAGCAGTATTTTGAAGCCTGGATATATATTTGTGGGAAAAAAAAATCAAATCAATCGATGCAAGTCCCTTAAAGTGTTAATAAATGCGTGTAAATACATGTGTTTAATGATGTTTGATGCCATTAACAATGGATAGGGATTTCTCCTCTCGTGTCAGTATGATTGTAATTTTCTTTGACTGTGTTCCTAGGTTTTCCAAGTCTGAATTACTTACAACATCTCCCATCCTCAGCAAGAGATACTCTAGAATCAGCAAGTCGCGGCAAATCAGGAATCTTGTTGTGGCAATTTTGCCAACTGCCTGACTCACAAGGCTGGCAGCAGTGGTGCTTCCATAGAGATTACCAAGATTCATTCTCAAGTTCGCAGTCTGAGCTATAATCAAACAAAACATACTATACATTTAAAAAAAAAATGAATGACATCAAATTGTGGTTACATTATTATAAGGAGACTACCAGACTCCCTACAACATCCCCTGCTGTACATCACCCAAGCATATCATGGGAATGTCCAATTAAGATACAATTTCATGCTTTTAAACTGTACTTTGTAGTTCCCTTAAAACGATCCTGTTTATTATTATATCCCGCCTGGATATGCAAATCTTAAAATACATTGCATCAATAGCACGCTATTTCCACTATTGTCCTTCCCATAATCCTATTCTGTTCCAACTTACAGGGTTTTTCAATAATGTGTGAATTGTTGACAATTCAAAATATCTCAAATTTAGGACCAAAATAGTGAATTGGAAACATTTTTCAGCTATGCTTCAGCAGTTTTGGTATAAAATTTTAAATGCTCTTTGAATACCTGACAATTCTCACTTGTTATATATATTTTTTTTTTAATTGAGTGCTACGGTGGGTTCAAATTTTAAATTAAATCTCCCATAATTCTCACTTTAGTGAATAACCCTACTAGTCTCCAAGAATGTATTTTGTTGGAATACTTTCTGCTTAACCTGCTTTTATTCCATTACTAGCAAACAAAGTCTTACGCAGGGCAACGTTTAAGTCACCGTCTGTGACCTTACCAAGCCGGATGGAGACAGAAATGTAGCCCTTTCTAAGGCTTCATTAAAAAGCTGTTAATTTTCACTTTGCTGAGTGCCTGAACCTTCTTGAATTCCTGAAATCCTGTTACTGTAACACCACAACTTACTTTTAATTATTTGCTTTGAAAAGTTTTATCCATATGAGGATAAAAAGCGATCAATTCCTTACTGGTCTGAAACCAGTGCAGTACCTCATTCCAGACTACAAATAAAAATTCCACCCTCTCGTGGATGTTGCCTACTGTGTAGGATGACCCTCCATGTGTCTAACCTTAACCACTTCCTCGATAGGACACTCCTATTTAGTAGATATATCCCAATGAAAACACGCAAACATTTAATTAGGCATTGTTTCATTGGAAGGATCTCTCAAAACAGCTAGCAAAATTTACAGATCTCTTCCCCTGCAAGGTGAATCGTTGCGCTCTCCTCACTCCATAGCTGAAATCGTTTTTTCTTTTAGAACATATTAAATCTGCTCTTTTCCTGGCTCAGAGCACGCACATGTGCTCTAAGCTGGTAAATGGTATTACTCTGAGAAGCATTTGATTGGAGCTCCCAGGTGCAGGAATGGACCTAAGTGCCAAGAGCTTCACTCTTTGCTGGATTACAGGTAAATTTAAAACATTATTTGCACTTTTAAAGTGGTGAGCTAGTTATTAATGACCAACTCAAAGCTAAGAAAAATATAAGCTCCCACCCCTCCCCCCAAAACAAAAAAAACAAAACCCTTTAACAGGTCTGTTTACCAAGTCGTTATTTCCAAAACCTAAACTCTGTTCATGAGGGTTATAGGACAACTAACTTACCCCTTTATTGTTACATTATTTCCATATTTCTGCTTTGTGGAGAAACTAGAAAAATAACTTAAAAGGACCCAAGTCATCCCACATAGGAAATTCCAAAGCTGCAAACCTACACCAACAAACTACATTTTGAGCTTGATTTAAAAGAAGAAGAAAAAAAATGATATCTTTTTGCACAATTCATAGTTAAATAGAGAAGAAAAAAAAAAGTCGACAAACCGAGGTCTGACTGGTTCATTTCAATGCCAGTTTCGTAATCCATCTCTCGAAGTAAGTAATTAATGGTTTGGATTGGGTTTCTGATGTCCTGAACTTTACTGTGAATGTCCACCATAGTGTCTTCCCTGTTCAACAATAGAACAAAAACACAATAGCAAATCAAGATTAATGTTCATGTTAATGGCTTCCTTAAAATACATAATTTACATTAAAATACATAATTTGTTTGAAGGAACAAATAGCAACACTAGCAGGAATGGAGAAATCCAGGAATTCAGCCAGACCTTGACCTTACTATAAATGTGCATCTAATGTTCATATTAGAGGGGAGGAAGGAGAGAGCCTCAGCCATCTATAAAGGAACACTCATCAACATTTTAAATATCTTTATATCATCTTTGTTATAACGTCTTCTTTAATTCATGTATACTGACATTTTTTGAAGAATCCCCCCTTTCTCTTCAGTGAGATCAGATTGTCAATTACCTGACCTCATTCTTAGTATTTTGCAATTGTCGTTTGCTTTTCAAAATTGTGTTCTGCTTGCAACAATGTCAGGAGATCTTTAAAAGCAAGTTGTGGGTGCAAAATAGTGAACAAAGTCAGAAGGTGGACAAAGATGGCTCTCAGAAAGGGATAGTGGGAAAGGTAGGCATTTTACAGGAGTAAAAATCATCAAGACGCTAGAACATATAAAGAAATAATATTTTGATGACTGCGTTCCTTTTAAACGGGTAATCTAAGCACCATAACCACTATCACTAAAAGGTTAAGGAGAAGTCCCTTGGAGCCATTCCACAGTAAACAGTTTTTAAATAGTTTGACATTTACCTCGATCACTAGGCATCATGGTATGGCTCCAGCTTAAGATAATACCAAAGCGCATTTATAGAAATATAGATATTCTTTATTTGGATGGAATACAACAATTTCAACAAACTCTGCCAAAGACAGGCAGAACTGAGGTCACCATTGTGGCAGTATGAACTTCCGCTTTAGTGTTATCTGAAGAGAGGGCTTGAAACTTGGGGGACCCAGGTCAATGTCAAACCGGTTGAAAACGGTTTTGCACTATCCAACAATAAGTAGCCTACTCCTGGCAACATAACTACAGCAGGCCGATGTTTCTTCACAGATGACAGTGTCCACATGCAGAGGTAGAACATTACTGATTTTATCATACCATGGGAAGCAATTCTAGCAGAACTCCCACTAGCTTATTCTCTGGCTTCCATTACTCCCTTTACAAATGTAGCCACATCCCATTGCAGCAATCTAATTACCTGTCTGCATGAGGGAATAAGTTGCCAATTAGGTGCGTTTCATTATCCCTACTTATACCCTTTGTTTCACTATACTGCACTCCCTCTAGCATGTAAGCTCATTGAGCAGGGCCCTCAACCCATCTGTTCCTGTGCATCCACTTGTCTGGTTACAATCGCGTGTCCGTTAGTCCACCCATTGTATAGCGCTACGGAATTTGCTGGCGCTATATAAATTATAAAATATTAATATATATGCAAGAGTATGTACAGTTTGCAGGTGTGTGTGAGACTGGCTGATTAACTTTATGTGTTTGCATTTATTTACGTATTGAGAGAGGCTGGAAAGGTCTATGTGAGCAAGGCTAAGACCGTGCGTATCATATGAAAACATTTGGCTCCTAACCTGGACCTTGCACCTAGACATTAGGGAAATTTGCCAAGCCCCAAAGTAAACAAAAACAAATTAGTTTATGAAAACTGGTCTGGAGGAAAACAAGCTTTACTAAAAATGAAACATTACACGTTACTTACATGTCATTGGTGATCATATCCTGTAGGATTTGCTCTGCGACTCTCTCCGGGGCTTGCAGTTGGCAGCAGGCACTCTCCATCAGAAATGCCATATCTGTAGATATGTAATCGCCAATCATCCGAAGACATTGTATCAGGCAGATTGTATCGTTGGCAACGTCCATATCTGAATAGTACAAAACAAAATGCTACTAGTAAAAATAATGCAACAAAAATTACACTTAAAACCAACTGCTTTAAAATTGGAGAGATTATGGAACATGTATAACTACAGGTAAGAAGTAACACCACTGGGTGTTCTACAGTAGAAATGTTTTACATGTGGATCCTGAATACCCTCCATCTAAGAAGTCAACTTTCAGTGCTGCCTGCTAAATAAAAGGATAAGGGAAAAGACCTAAGAAAATAAAATGTTGGTACCATCACAATACTCAAAGATTAGAAAACCAGTAGAAGAGGTTGATGTGTTGAAGCCTGTGAAGCTAGACTGCCATGCGATAAACTTTACATCACTTCCATGCTCACCATCAGAGATCAAACTTTCATCTTCAAGAAGCAGGTTCTCAGTGGGTAAAAGATATAGATGATCGACCAATGGATATGGAGCCAGGAACGACAGAAAACCCTGAATGAGGATAAAATCATAAATTAAGCCATTTAAAAGGCTTACCCACATGTTAATCATATTTTCAATCAGAGCTTATTCACTTTAACAGGAGATACCATGTGTTCTTTTACGTGTAGGTTTGAAAATCACACTAAAAACCGTCCCAATAGGTGGAGTACAAAAAACCAAAAACAAAGCAGTAGTTTAATACTGGATATATGCTATCTGAGCACCAGACCCACATAGCACTTAATTGAGGGATAGCTAGTGGAGAGAAGCATAGCAACTGAAGGGCACATGAAGGAGGTTGGGTGTCAACTGAGCACCTCGTACTGGAGAAATGATTACGGGCAAATGGAATACAAATTGCAAGTATATAGTAATTCTAGTGTCAAATGCACAAAGGTTAATTCTGTCTTTTTTACACCACACAGTTCAATACATGGCAATCAGGCCACTTACTCATGGCAAGATGGACTCTTATCCTTTGGAACCAACTCTTAAAGGGATCCCATAGTGCCAGGGAAACCAACCCTTTTCCTGGTACTATAAGCTCCCACAGAGCTGAAGGGGTTAAAGGGCCTTCAGTCACTTACCTTAACTCAGTGCCGATGTCAGCTTCAGAGTGGAGCCGAATGCGCAAGCTCGGCCAGAGTCGCGCTCGAGCATTCGAACCCGCCCATAGGAAAGCATTACTCTATGCTTTCCAAGGCAGATCTTTTTTGACACTTGACTCAGTGAGGATGTCCAGCGTCAAATGAGTGATTTACTCAGTGTAAATCGCGGAAGCGGCCTCTAGTGGCTGTCAGGGAGAGAGCCACAAGAGGCTGGATTAACCCTGCAGTGTAAACATAGCGGATTCTCTGAAACTGCGATGCGTTCAGCTGCAGTATTAAAACTTCGGGGAACTGGCACCCAGACCACTTAATTGAGCTGAAGTGGTCTGGGTGCCTACAGTGGTCCTATAAAGTTCCAGCAAGCAGGATTTCAGACTCCTGCTCACACCCAAACCTTTGGAACTATGACATTTGCCTCAAATATGACAATGTATGTTTTAATGTAATTAGTGAAAATTTTGTATCGGTAACTTCTACCCATACGTTCAACTAAAGAAAAACAATGTATAAAATTCAGTGCAGCTCATACCCCAAGGCTTGCTATAAATGTACATGGAAATAATTACAACAGTTTCTCCTTTAAGCTTTGGTTTTAGAGTATGAAGCAGATATGAATTAAAATCTAGTTTACCTTTCTTAGTAGGCAGACCATGGTGGTTTGAGGATGCACAAGGAGTGCCAGGGGACGAGAGAGTGCTTCTTGATACTGTAAGCAGCAGGTGTAGAATTTAGACCAGTACTCCACTTGTAATTCACGGAATTCCTCCTCAGGCATTTCATAAACTGAAAGGCTGCTATGGAGCTAGACAGAACAAGCAACATTTTAGAATGAAAAACGTCACATCCAGTCAATGCATTTTAGGTTTGCAGAAACAAAAGCACCTTAAGATTGGTTTATTTTCTATCTCTGCCAAACTGTAAACATGAGGCTAAAATAACCAGGCTGTGAGTGTAGCAGAGTTGGAGATTACTTTCAAAATCAGTCACTCAACTACAATTCTTGTAAGGAGATTTTCAATTTACTACTCTGTGAATCCCCCCAAGACTGGTTAACAAAGTTTTATCTACTAAACACTACATGTGTGGTAATTGCCAAACAAGACAGTGTCTGCTGGTAAAACCTGCAATTTTGAAGGTCTACATGATGAAAAACCTTGTGGCTACAAGCCTGACAGGCACTAGTGTCATTGTACAAATTAAAACGTTTAACTTTCTCTTGATAAAAAGGACACAATTTATGAACCTCAACCCTTTCATTATGATGGGAGTAATTTTACTACTTACAGTGTCAGTTTAATTGCAAAATCACTGTGTTCTGGAATCCTACCATTACATTTAGGATTTTGTTAATTATAAACATACTCGTGACTCCCGTCAACGTCAAGACTAACCACTGATGTCACCAACTTACCTCATTTTCAACAGTAAAAGTGACCTCTTTTTTCAGCTCTTCCCAAGACATATTCAGCAGCTGCCCTCCTGTTCTTTGCATAATCTTAAGGTGATGGAGGGGAAAAAATGACATATAGGTTTCTGCGGACAATGCTTTTATTATCCTGACACTCATTGAATCAGATTACATTTAGTTCCAATACATTGTATTGCCCTTAGCTTTACCCAACATTTAACAAAAAAAAAAGTGGATCAACGCTTACAGGCCACAGAAAATGGCAGCAAACCTATAAAAATGGGGCTCCCTCTCGAACCCCACAATACAGATAAAAGTTAAAAAAAGAGAAAAGGTTGCGCCTGTGTATACAATTAAATACAATAAATTAAAATGATAAATTTCCAAATTAAACACGCCAAATAGGAAGATAGACTAATAAACGAAGCAGCAAACTTTTATATATTTGCCATATTCCTTTTTTATTTTAATTTTATTTTACTGCCTGACATCTTTTCCCACTGTTCTCAAGAGGACTAAAAGAATCCAAAGTGGGGATTATACCACCAGCACCCTACACATCAAACAGTGAGCCTGCTCAGCTAAATGAGAGTACATTTTTTATATTCTAATATTCACTATTTGTCTCAAAGCTACAGCGAGCACTATATTTGTTGAAATTTTTATCTTTTCGGTTGGGGTCTCCCCTGTTACCATACCATTGGAGGTTTTGAAATACCACACATATCCCAGAAGTGGGGATCATACCACTCTACGCCCTACAAACTAGAGCTGGATTTAGCTCTTGGAAACGTGAGTAATATCTACCTCCTATATATCTTGATAGAATTCTTATATACATACTGTACCATTGGAGTCCCTCTCTCTGCTTTTTTATCTATACTACTGGATCCGAAGTCGCGTTTGATCTAGTAACTGCTATCAACAGTTTGCTGCTTCGTTTAGAAGTCTAGCTTCCTATTTGGAGTGTTTAATTTGGACATTTGTAATTTTAATTTATAGTATTTAATTATATTACCTTTTTCTCTTCTCTTTTATATAACATCAAACGTTTGACTCGTGAGAGATGTAGTGCTGTGGTAGCTCACCTACGTTTGAGTGTTTGTTATAGAAACTGAACAGAAATCGATTTCAGATTCAGCCAGCTATTTATTTATTTATTTTAAGCGCTTCAGAGCTCAGCGATTTCGCCAAATCTACACAATAAAAGCATCTTTTTGGAAGTTCCACTAAGGCAGTGAATGCGAACATTTTTGAGCCAGAGTGTCCAAACCACAATACTAACCAACTTTTTTCCCTCAAAGTGCCAACATGACAATTAAACCTGAATACTGAGGTTTAGGTTTAGAACAAACAACTTATACAGTTGTCTGAACTAGGGGTGCATGGGAGTGCAGTGGGAACACTGTATTGGGCCAGTGTGTGTGTATGGGGGTACAGTGGGGGCAGTGTGTGTATGGGGGTACAGTGTGTGTATGGGGGTACAGTGGGGGCAGTGTGTGTATGGGGGTACAGTGGGGGCAGTGTGTGTATGGAGGTACAGTGGGGGCAGTGTGTGTATGGAGGTACAGGGGGCAGTGTGTGTATGGGAGTAGGGGGCAGTGTATGGGGTACAGGGGGCAGTGTGTGTATGGGAGTACAGGGGGCAGTGTGTGTATGGGGTACAGGGGGCAGTGTGTGTATGGGAGTACAGGGGGGCAGTGTGTGTGTGGGGTAGGGGGGCAGTGTGTGTATGGGAGTACAGGGGGCAGTGTGTGTATGGGGGCAGTGGTGTATGGTGGTACAGGGGGCAGTGTGTATAGTACAGTGGGGGCAGTGTGTGTATGGGGTACAGTGGGGGCAGTGTGTGTATGGGGGTACAGTGGGGCAGTGTGTGTATGAGGTACAGTGGGGGCAGTGTGTGTATGGGGGTACAGTGGGGGCAGTGTGTGTATGGAGGTACAGTGGGGGCAGTGTGTGTATGGAGGTACAGTGTGTGTATGGGGGTGCAGCACATTCCAGCAATGTCACCTGTAAGTGAAAATGTGATACAATCACATGGTTCCCACCCCATCTCTTCCCCATAAAGCAAATTGTAATCTGACAGTTCAGAATACAGAATAAAGACAGTAATTTACCCCCTACTGCAATTCTATGACCATTGTTTATGTTGATAACAGTCTCATTCTATATTAGCACCATTTATATTGCAATTTACCTGTATAGCTTTAATCAGAGCAGCAACAGTAAACCGTCCTGGGGCAAACAGACAGTCTAAGTAGGTTTCCTGTTAGATTCAATAAAAGACCGTTTTAGAATGTAGCTTAACATCTTAATAAAAGCCCACTCTATAATGCAGAGTTATTAACCCACCCTTGGGTCTTGCTCATCTCCAATGCTTAGTTCTTCTTCCGGAAGGGGGTTTGTAATAACTTGGTTCCACTGACCAGCTTGGTTACTAGAAAAATAAATAAATTAATTACCTTTACAAAAAATTTCTAAATACTGATGCCACACAACATCAAGTTGTCTGGATTAAAGGGGAACCAAACAATCCAGAAATCTATGACGGTGTATTTAGGTCTATCCTGAGAGAACCTGTCAATCATTGTTGCAATTTCTGCATTTTTCTATCATTGAACATAGCTTGTAAACAGAGAAAAGCAGTTATCCTCCTTCAATTAAATTCATGCACTGTCTATATCAGAACTGAACTATGATGCTAATTGCAAAATCTTTAAATTTAAAACAAAACAGAGCATTACATGAAGAAAGGTTAAAACTATTGTCATTGTTCAGAGGTGTAATTTCCAGAGAAGTGACAGGTCCCCTATTAATCTCTGATGGGGCAAAGTAAGTAGAAGAAATCCCATTCAGGCTGGAGTTAACGCAAAGCCTTGGTAAGCCACAATGTAAAGGTCTGGACAGCTAGAATAGAACTTTACTCAGGAAATGTTCACATACACCAAGACAAACAAAACGAAGTGAACGTCACTTACTGCTCGAAATTAATGTGTTTTACAATTGTTTGACTTTCTTCATCGAGCCACAAAGCCCAGATGTCAGTAGATGTCAGAGTGAAAGTAAAATCAACCAGAGTTTCCTAAAATAAAAATGGTAAATTCAGAATTTGGAGTGACAATACAATGTAGCACTTATTTGAAACTAACTTGCACAGATTTTTCCCTTTCGTCTATTACTTGCAATGTCTCCTCCAGTTAGATAGTGGAATACAATTAATATGACTGTGGTGTTTAAGGGTAAAAGAGGAGTATAATGTTTACAGACCACCTATGTGAAAAGCGTGGTGTCATTATCTTCATGTAAATAGAGTATCGCCAGTTTAAACCGGATATTTGTACAGGTAAATTCTTGCTATATATATGAATGACACCAAAAAGTGCAAACCTCTAGTTCTTGATATTATGCTCACTACAAAATGATCTGGATAATGCCATTTCAGGAAAAATAAAAATAAAGTGCATCAACCCCCAAGCCAACCATTTTTTCAGCTTAACACACATGCAGTTTGCCATGGAATGTACCATGCCGTCAACTAACCTCAATTATATTTTAAAGTGAACTTCAACAATATAAATTTTTACTTTCACTGCAGAAACTAAAGTAAAAAGACACCTGGTTAAAATCCATTTTGTTTTGGATATTATTACTATAGGTAAACCATTTCTAAAAATCAGAATTACTGCACCTGGTTTGTGAATATTGACGAGATGTGATCTAGACTGTAACGATTGCTTTCAGCACATACTAACTGGAACACAGAGAACTGCAAGGAGATAAGACATGTAAATACCAGTCATATTACTCTTACATATTGTCTATACACCCAACATAAACTCTATCACTATACACACCTGTCCTTGTCTGGGTGCGTGCAAATATACTCCAAGGTAAAGTCCTAAGGCAGTAGAGTGAGCCAGCCTTAGCTTATGTCCATTTCCAGCTGTTTGGCGGAGAGTCTTGCTGACAGGCACAAAGTCCAGCATGTCAGCTACCATAAGACACATCTGGTCCTGGAATACACAAACATGATATTAATTAAGGAACAGTAATGCTTCACCTGAGTATAGAAGAAAGCTGACTAAGAAATGGTTTAACACTGATGTACATTCACGGGCGCCGTCAGCTGTGAGTCTTACGTATGTACGTAATACGTAGGTATTACCTTCAATGAGCAGCCAATAATCAACTAAGAGCAACAGTGGATACTCTCAGCCTGTCATCGGCCACCCTAGGCAAACCTTCCTTTAGTGGAAGGTGGCCATGTATGACTATCACAGGAATTCACCCAGATCCAAATTTTTACAAATTAATTCTCAAAGGTAAGACAGAGGTAAAAAATAAAATAAAAAAATAGCTAAACTGGATGTAGTCTGCAACTCCACTATAGTCAGCGATTAGTTATTTTTGCCTCAGTTTTGCTGTTCAGAATGAATTTGTGAAAATTCTGAGCTTAGTGAATGACCCTGCATGTCTACGAAAAACTTTGTGAACATAATACATAAGGACAAAAAGACACCCATTTAATCTGGAAGGCGATTCCCTCTACAGCAGAGGGTGGACTCCTTACACTAAGTATAAAAAGGTTGTGGAATACTCTAGAGGTTGGTTTATCATATTCTCTGCAGATTTTTTTTTTTATTCTGGGTCAAGTGCCTCATTTTATAAACTAATTTTGTACAGCAGACATAAGGCAGCCTTTAAGTATACTCTTGCACATGCATTTTTGGGTCATTGGAAATTATTTTAAGCTTGATTACAGGTCAGGTTGCCTTTTTTTTTTTTTTTTTTAACTCTTGAATAGATAGGAGGAAAGGCTTAAACTGGGGCTGAGCAAACGGTAGAACCCCAGATGCTGTACAACTGTAACTCCAATTATGCTGTGCCATTCTAAAGACTGGTAAAGCCTTATGGCAATTGATTTTCTAGAGCATCTGGGGGTCTACCATACGTTCAACCCTAGCTTAAACCATTGTATGCCAAAAGAAGTTTGTGTAACTAAACACCATTGAAAATTGCTATTTACATTTTACACTATAAGTAATCTAAAGATTTTATTTAAAACATCACTGGGCATTTTGTAAAATGTAGAAGGCAAAGCTGAGCCATGTTCTTACCTTGTAGGACCACATGCGTAATTTATGATCTTGACACAATGCGAAGAGGAGAGCATCTTGCTCGAGATACTGTACTGCTAGGCTCACAGGAAGGTGAGCTGGGCCCTGATCACCTCTAAAACACAAAAATGCACAGATCTTAAATGGTAACTATACTCTAGTCTCATAGTGTAATACTACTTGGGAGTCTATCCTCCCCACCCCCCGCAATTAATGTCTATTGACCGAGGTTGTGTAAGTGGCCCCACAAAAGAAGACCCTTTACACCAGGGCTGCCCAACAGGTAAATTCCCAGATGTTGTGGAACTACAACTCCCATGAAGCTTTGCATGCCTTTATAATGCATTTAGAATGACAAAGCAACATGGGAGTTGTAATTCCACAACATCTGGGGATCTACCTGTTGGGCAGCCCTGCTTTACACTCCAATTTCTTTTACGCTACAGAGAGACTCCACCTGCTCTACCTCTCAGGTGCTCGTTTTATCTACTCTACGCATACTCGTGTATTGTATTTTCCACCCATTTGTTATATCGGATTTTCATTTTCACATCAATTACTTGGCTCTGATCTCATTTGTGGTGATGTTTGCTGAACACAAGCTTACTATCTTGCAACATATTGTCACCGAGTACAAATCGATAGGTCTGTGCACATGCACCTAAAATTTCCACTACTTCAACATCATGATGTAAAAAAAATAAAAATCACTGTCTGAACCAATTACTCGTTTTTGGTAACTCATTAGAAGATCATGGCTACCTGGAAATCCACAACCACCTAATTTTTTTCTTTCTAATTTTGCCCTGAATGATACATACAGTATGCAGTTGGTATAAACTGATTTTTCCTATTAATGTACTGTCTTTTCTCTCTGGCACACTAAACTAACCGTATTGAAGAAGGCATCCAACCAGTCAGGATTCGCTGCATGACCGAGCTTTGCTTCAGCTCGACGTTGGTCACCCCACCTAGGAAACATTGTCAAAGATGTTGTGCAGCTTACAATTCAAGAAGAATACATTTAACAAGAAACACAAAAGGTAAATTAAATGACCATACATTTAGAGAAATCTAATATAATGTAGAAAAAACAACAACTTTACCATCAGATCCATAAGGTGGCAACTTAATAATTAAAATGCCACCAGCTGTAGAAGGAACTGCGAAGAGGGCCTCCCCGTCACTGCTCACCCAGGCTGTAGAGGCAGTTGAGTTCTGAGCCCGCCCAGGGACTGCCGGAATCACATAACTATTAGATGAATCCCTAACATTCGCCCTCATAATATCTGTAAATACAGACGGCATCTGACTATCTGCAATTATTTCCTGAGAGGAGGAAGAGAAGGAAAAAAAGTCCTTAATTGAAACTTCAGGACCGTAGATTAATATATATAGAAAAAAAAACAGAACGTATTATCGATGACTTATTATATTACTTCTGTTATTGAAGTTACTTTTTATTTTTGGATTTTAGTGTGCACACTCTGGGCAAGCACATATGATATGCAATACAAAGTCCTCGCTTATTACAATTTATTGGTTTTAACATTTATTTTTTAATGCATTACCAAATAGGGGTCTCCTCTAGTTACGCCAACCTGTGTCATATTGGGAAACTTCTTTCATATATGGCCAAAAGGACAGGGAGCAATACTTGGTCACCTATGGCCGTTATATTGACGATATCCTTTTTATCTGGAACGGTAGTGAAAATCAACTAAAAAACACTTTTTAACTGTTTTAAAATGACAATACTAGGGGCATCAAATTCACTAGTAAATGGAGCCGGAAAGAACTTTTTAGATCTTTGTATTTATATGGAAAACAAAAGTATCAAGACTAAACGATTGTAAGACAGTAGATTCACACAGCTTTATATAGATAGAGAAAGCTGCCATTTTTCCCCATGGCTAGAGAATGCCCCAAAAGGACAATTCCTAAGAATCAGACGTAGCTGCACGGATATACAAACATATGAAGAACAATCATTACGTATAAAGCAACAATTTGTGGCGAGAAACCAAAGTAGAAAAACCCAGAATAGAAATAAACACTAGATAGAGAACAATTATTAAAACACAAAAAAAAGACCACAAGATGGAACAATACCATCTCCTGCCCACACGCCCTATGACCACAATCACACCAACTATATAGGAGCGAGAACCACCCCGAAACACCACACAAAAGCACCAACATCCCAGCAGACCACACCCCCTTGGCTATAATGACGACAGAAGAGACTCCCACCCAACTACGAAACTTTGTTAAATCAGTCCGGGTCACGGCTGCGGACCACAAAGGAGCCCGGACTGAGAGCCACCACACAAAGAAAATGGGAGGGAGTACCCAACCATCTTGCAAACAGACCCACACACCAGGACTACCCCCCCCCATAAACAAACACACTCACCCTAACCTCACACCAGAGACCGGCAATAACCATCCGACTCCCACCGTGGCCAATGGGTACACCCTAGACACCCAAATAACCAACACCCCCACCATGATATGTCATCACCTGTAAATATGATTTTATCTCCCCCCAGTTGACTTTTCACCTTACCTAAACTCACTGTCTTGTCGCTCTTCCATTAACCTATAAACGGCGGAAAACAACTCAAAACCCAAAGAGACCGTCCCCAGGGAAGGGCGGAAGCACCCCCAGACAAAAGTACCTACGCGATCAGAACTATTTGAAACTACTAAGTGACCTCAGCACAGGTAACTGTGACCGGACGAAACCATAACATAACAGTACAGGTCGAACACACAAACCCAATCCAGCAACACATCGCTTCCCCGCTACAGATTACAAGGGAAAGCGACACTACCCAAAACAGACCAGAACGACCACCTGGAAACACATCAATCACGTAGCAAACAGGCTCCACCTGCAACAACTAGCCCCCTAGCACCCTCCAACCACCAAGAAAATGACAACTGTCGAGTTAGGTACTGTAACGGCTACCCAGGTAGTAAGGGGGTATCAGCCGTTGGAGACGTCCTTTTCCTGGCAAAATGCTGTATAGTAATGGAGTTACTTATTCCCATCCACGAGATCCAAGAGTAGAGTCATGCATAGCTGTCAAAAGGAGCAAGGTAATTATGCAGTAAATCCCCTTCCAAGGACGAGGCTACGTTTTGAAGGGTCAAGCAGAACTAGGTTTTATTGACAAAGATTCTCCTTTTATGCAATTCTGCCCTTGGAAGGGCGACACCTACATAATTAGTACAGTAACCAATAACAAACATGGTACATCCCACACGTCTCCTCCCCTCAGATAAACAGTAAACATAATTAACACACACATTTTTACCCTAGTTTTGGATGTACCCCAAATACTTGGGGTACACCCTTAAATCTAGTATCCCCAGATAGCCCTCATCTGGGGGAACAACATATTAAAAAATCATCCCATTCGGTTAAAGTGTTCGGGAGTTATGGGACTTTAAAGTTTTGACCGACCGCATAGGCACACTAGCCGAAAATAGTTCCATACGTTTTGGCCTTGCGGCCGGTACTCGTTCGTGGCCTTGCGGTCGGTGAAAAGGCATGAAAATCTGGCCATCCGTGCATACCTTGCTGGTCGCTGGAATCTCTGTAAGTAGTATATCCTATCTACCGAACGGCAGGGCGTTCGGTAGTTTCAGCACGAATTTACGGTGTTATGGAGGTTTCAGCGGTGTTCGCCTACTCGAGTGTCCGATTTTAGTTCGACACTCGACGGCAAATCACCGCCGTTCGTGCGCTAAGATGGCCGCGAACACGTGCAAAAGTCCCGAAATGGCGGCCATCTAGGACCTGAAACAAAGGATCTATCCATTTCTCATATGGATGTTATATGCCGGTCTGGGAGGTAAAATACCACACAATTGAATAGCAGGGTGGTCCGATATTCGGTAGTTTGTATTCGTACCTGCTGAGTACCTACCGCATGGGTCGCACATATAGACGAATACTGGCAACAAAAGTCCCGAACTGTGCTACAATAATCCACCCGAACCAGGTAAGCATATTCCCTTGTATCATTAGTCTCGGTTAGTGATAAATATTTCCAGGCAAAAGGTAAAGTTCTGTTACAGGTACCTGTTGTACACCCCAGTTATACACCATGTTCTAGGCACCACAAACCAAGGCTTAGACATAGAGATGAGGAGACCCAGATAGGGGCGGAACACACCAACACAAACCTCACCGAGACACACACTAACCCTCAAAACAAATATTTGGACTGTATAACTAACAAGTGACGATGGCTTCTGTGCAAGCTCCCCGTCAACAATTGCTCGAAGAATTAATGTCTAAGCCAAGTCTGATGTTTGCTTGAAACAGATTTTCTGTGCCGTACCCCACCCCTTCTTTTCTGTATCCCATTTACCTTAAAGACCATCAATAAAGATTATTAAAAAAAATTAAAAAAAAGTGGAAAGGGACTGGAGAGGAGATTTTGATGAGAAACTCAGCAAAATCGAGATGCAAATGATCTTTAATTTAAATACCCTTATTCCATATAGCCTAGATTTTGAGTTATGTCCCTTTTTAACTTAGAACCTCAGACATTTTTATCCACAATATAATCTTTTTATCATAGAACCTACATAATGTTTTTAAAGTATATCCAATTGCAGTTTTTGACGGCATTGCAATTAGGACACCTTTTAAAAATAAAAATAAGAAAGGTTAAACCTTCTAGTGCATTTTATTTCCCCCTTTTCATCTTTTTATTTTTTCTAACCCTTTTTAAGTTATGATTTTTAATAAGAATATTAGATACAGATTTTTTTCATCCAACAATAACTACCTTTTTTTTACATCACAGAGTTCACATTTTAAAGCACATCAGTTTAGTATGCCCCTTTAAAAAGAAGGGTTATTTTAGGATGCTATATCTTCTTTGAAAGAGAAGAGGTCATCATTTCAGGGGGTCTTATTCCCCCATTTTAGAGACTGCTGGATCACATTCACAGTCAAATTTTTATTTGGTGATCACTTATAAGGTGAATTATGCACATTTTTGTTTCTAAATATTTTAAAATATTTTCATATGTGGTGAAAATCTAACACTCGTTCTATTTTCCCAGTAACTCTTGATGTTTGGGATATAAATCAATCACTCTTTTAATCATCACACTATAAACTAGTCACATACGTAAATATTTTTCTTTGTGTTCCCTCGATTTCACATATATGGAGACTTACAGATTATGGATGCATACATTGACTAAAATATCACTTCCGCAATTGGACATCGAAGTGGAACAGAAAGGAAATGGCTGCTGGCACGCATACAAGTCTCCACAGTAACGGGAAATGACGAAATCAGAAGTGACGTAAGGCATACGCATAAGGAAACCGGAATGGAACTCCCAAATAGGAAGATAACGATGCATGGAATGCAGCGCACTCCCAGCGCAGTGGGAGAAAGAGCACGTTTTTCACATCAGAAGACTATCATCCCCCTATTAAAAGGGGGTATATAAGCAGGACGGAGCACGCTAGAACTCATTAAGGATTGCCCAGCTGATGAAGCCCTAATTTGCCCAGGCAACAGAGAGAGTTGTATCTAGCTTATATATATATATATATATATATATATTTTTATACTTATGTTTTAATGTTTATGGTTAGAAATAATAAATTACTTGTATAATATTTATTATGTTCTGATATCTTCGTTCCTGTTTCGTTAAGAAGGTATTGTGGCCCTTGGTCCACACACTGTGCTGCCTATAGAGCCTTTGTGAGTACCCATTTGTCTTTATATTGAGTGATGACAAGCATTGTGACTGTACTGCTCCATATCTACCTTTCTTTTGAGTCCATATTTAGGACCTCCTCCATAAAGAAGGGACGGGTCGCTTTAACGGACCCTAAAGCGGTTTTCCACTAGAGCCAAGTGTATATAGCTCTTTAAAGTGTGAGTGTGCAATTATCACACATTTTTTTATTATATTTATTTACACAGTTATACACTATTGTTGGTAATTTTATCTCTTTGTTCAAAGGTATTAAAATTTTCCTCAAATTGAAGTTTAGAACGCCTAAAGAGATTCTCACTTATCCTAGTTTTTAAATAAGCGCTCCACCGTCATTTTGTTTTAGGGGTCTCCTCTAGCCTGGAGTGCCCCATTAATATTAAGAACCAAATGGCTACTTACACTTCTGTACATGCGAGAAGGATGTGGCAGGACAAGCCTGTGCACCGTCTGGTTAGTTGCAATCATAATGACCACATTGTTGTCTGTTTCGCAGACATGCACCCCTCCAGGTAACATGCAGCAGTTGAGAATTTTAAGGCGGATGGCATTGTTCAGGAGATTAATATCCAGAGACTCTTCCACCAGCTCCACTGTATCATCATGGCAAGTCCTTTAAATTAGGGGAAACAGCAGTTAGAACCAAATGCTTTTTTCTAGAATCCTATTACTGTCAGTATGAGGGATATAATTGGAAAGGCTACAAAGCTACAATTTGCAGGTGTATTGTTTTGCCAACCTTGGGGTGCTGCCTAGGATTTATCAAAATATTTTCATTATCTAAGATCTTCTTTAAATGTACCAAGATTATTCATTAAGGTGAGAATTTTCGTAAACTAAATCCAAGTACAAAACCGATACAAAAATAGAAAAGTAGTAATGACCAAGTAAAAAAGTTTTTCCACATCAGCAATTATCTCCGTTTTTCCCATTCGGATTTAGTATGTGAAAATTAATGATTTGTTCCTGTTGCAGATAACCTTGAATGTTTTACAAATAATGCCAATAGTATAACACATGCAAGTATGGTCAAAAAGATCATTTTTACATCAAACATGGAAAGTGTATACCAGGTACTCTTTTTAAAGAGCATTAAATTGTACCTTTACATTGTGCTAGCAAATGTATAGATTGGGAGAAGACCCCATATATACTGTAAGCTGAATTGCCTACAATTTCCAAGGAAACTGTAAAAATATAGAAGACAAAGCGTATAGAAGATAGCGCATGCTATCTGCGGTCTGACAGCTGCTTGGTTGTACACTGAAGGAATCAGTTTCATTGAATATTACAAGTGAGCAGAAGAAAGTAGCCACGTGGACTACACATCACACTCCAGGTATGGTTAAAGGGACGGTTACTTCAAGATTTTTAACAATATATTGCTTATCCCTGATATTTAACAAATATTTATTTTTGATGTCTGAATGTGGAATCCACACCTCTCAATACAATGGGGTGCTTCCATGTCACGTCCCTGTGGATTGCTATAAGAGCTGTTCCCGACACTAACCGTGAGCACAGAGAACGCAGGCAGAAGAGCAGAAATGAAGCAATGTTTCTATTTCTCTGCCTCATTTGCCATGTGTGAGCTAGCTGTGCTGGACTAAACTTGATGGCAAAGTCGTTGTTACCATGGTTTATTCACTCAAGTGAGAATTGTCACATAATGCAAATAAAATGTCAAATTTGAGGCCAAAATAGCAAATCTGGAAACATTCACCAAGTTAACTGTGCTCCCAGCTTAACTACTTTGGCCTTAGATTGAATTCCAGACAATTCTCCCTTTAGTGGATAACCCTGTAAATCTTTAATATAAATATAAACTAAAACAGCAAAGTTAAAGTTCAATGCCCTTTGTGATGGTAAATGAAGATTGTGTAAACATGAATTGTGAGATCACAAATTGTGTATTGTGAGTATTTAAATAAATAAACTTGGTGATTCAGTGACAGCAAGACACACTACATGGCAATTTAACAAGCACAAGGCAATATCTGTCTTCTATGTAAGGCAAGGTCAATACAAATTGACAATCTAGGCACCATTAGCACTTCATCTCAAAGTGGTTATGGTGCATACACTCTCCAGGTACTGTCTCGCTATTAAATGAATAATGAACAGTTTGACACTGAATGACGACCCTCAGATGACCATATTTATGTAAAACTAGAGGTATGGGTAAGGTATAGTGTAACTCAGCATTAGCCATTTCAATTCTACCAAAGATGGGCAGCGGTGATTAGCTGAGAGTGCTCAGTTGTTGCCCTCAGCTTATCAATGCTGTCTAGGGTAATAAAGTAACAGTATAATCGGCATAGAAGGGCAGGTGCCTCATTCAAGTTTTAGTATAGGGTTCAAAATTTCTACTCAACAGTAGCCACTGTGGACTAAAAACGAAGCCCTAACGAGTAGAAATTCACCTCTGGTGATCATTGTATGGCTTACAGTGGCAAGTAACTAAGACAAAGCTAGCATCACAGCACTTCAAAATGTAAGCCCTGATTAACCCATTCAAAAACCGCTTATCACTAACCAGTGGGACAGTACCAGGGAACTACTGCATCATAACCATGACCTCATCAGTGAAATGAACTGGTTAAGTTGCCAATAATGTCCCTTTAAGGAAAGATAAAATAGGGCACATGTATATCTGTGTCACATAAAAACATACTCACCAGTGTATGAACCTGTTCCTTGTTGCTGACAAAAGGCTGCTGTTTTCTTGGTAATAGTAGCCCCCAGCACTCTCACTATATTTTGGGCTTCCAATAATAGGAGTGACATCTATAAAAAATAAGTGATTTAGTTATGAAGTAATACAATATAACAGATACAATGTGCAGTTCCTCTATTTTATGCAGGCTCCAAATTCCCACTAGTCTGTGGAAATTCTACCCTCGTTCTTGTATATTTAATCCCCCATTGCCTGCATGGATCCTTAAAGGAACTTTGCTAACACAAAGCATATTTTTTTTTATATTTGTTTTTCTTTAAAGTTTATGAAAGTGCCTTTTTTTTGTAAATATATTTTTTATTGTTTATCAGCATGGACATAGTAAGCAATTTCAGGTTTGAGTCAATGTGGGCTTGAATGCCCCAATCAACAGAGAACTCGCAGGTCCTGTATCTTATATTACATATTATTGCAGTTACCAAGCATGCCTTGGGTCTCAGAGTTCTCTTATGGTGGTTTTCCACAGTTTACCATTCTGTGGTAGTCCTCACAGAGGAGCTCTCAAGCGGGTCCCAGCGGCCCATATTTAACCTTGGTCTAGCATTAGGAATAATGAATAAAGGGGAAGACAAGGTAAAGGGTGGGTGTGGGAGCGTTGGGGTACTCTGTCGTGCAATATTGCGGGAAATAGGGTAGTAGTTCGTCAATGTCATTCAGTACTGTAGTTTGTCTGCAAAGTCTGCTTTCGTAGCAGACAGCAGCCATTGTGACCATGTATTTATATATGATTGGTGTGTGCCCGCTGCGCTAGTATGGAGGTTCTCCATTGATCGGAGCTCTTCCATTTGGGAGAACCAAAACGTCAATGGAGGAGTCACCGATTGTTTCCAGTATTGTGGGATTACCAATTTGGCTACGTTCAGGATACGTGGCGTGATAATTTTTTTGATATAATCATCTAGGGACCTTAGCGTGGTGTAACAGCATCTCTGCGGGTTTGAAGGGGGGTGGGCATTCTGAGAATAGCTCTAGCATTTTACATGTCCCATTCCAGAATGGGAGGATCTTCTTGCAGTCCCACTATAAGTGGAGTATTGTGCCTCTCTCTTCCCCGCACCTCCAGCATAATTGGGAGTGCTCCGGAGTGATCGTGTGTAGCATTGAGGGAGTGCGGTACCAAAAGGTGAACAGTTTGTATGTGGTCTCCTGCGTTTTGCTAAAGCTGTAGAAGTGGTGTGTGAGATAGCATATTTTTTCCCACTCTGCATTCCCAAAAGTACATTCAAGAATAGTCTCCCACTTCCCCATAAAGCTTGGTTGTACAGTAGGAGTTTGTGTTTGTAGCATGGAATATATAAAGGAGATCCCATGAGCCAGGGGGTCAGGGTCTAAGCAAGTACTTTCAAACAAGGTAGAGCCCCTTAGGGGTGTCTGCTTGCTTAGGCTGGGGCATGCGATGCTCGATGTGTTTTGCCCATTTTTGTACCGAAAAGGTGCTTCTGGCGAGAATAAGTGCAGAGCATTTATGGAGCACGAGAATTACGCCACCATCTTCCTCTGCTTCCAACCCACGCCTAAAAAGTGCCAATTTTAATCAAAATCTGCGTTTTTATAAATCCTCACAGTAGTATTACAGCTCACGGACAAGTCTATGAATGGGACACTGTGCTCACAGCTAAAGCACACAGATTAAATTACTCTGATCGCTCAGTCTGTGCTGTTATAAAAAGGGAAAGGCCCGAGGTCTGAAGATTTTACAAGCTGATTTTAGCATTTGGGTGGTTCTGATATCGATAAAGGGAAGTGTAAATTCTGCAATATCACTGCACCCTGAGAGCTGGGGAAAGCTCAGTCAACATTTTTCCTAGATGGTTTGACAAAACAAACACAACCCACACCAAAATCAAATTCCCACTACCCTCAAAGGAAAGCACAGGATCACTCAGTTCTAACTAGGAATAATGGATCTACCTTCCACTGTCCAATATTCTTAAAAGAGAGTATTCTTTAAGGTTTAAATCGTGAAAATGACACCTGTAACATTCAACGTAAAACTCCCAATGTGTTTTAAAGTTGAACTACAAATTGACCAATTCCAACTACGTTTTAGCTAGAGCATATTATGCAAATGTAATAAACGCCAGAGCCATGAGGGCGCACGCATACCCCCTATGGAAGGAATTGATGAGCAAGATCAATCGTTCTTTATTTTGTGCTACAGTTACAAGAGTATTAAAGAAAAGAAAAGAAAAAAAAAAACATTAAAAAAGGCCAGCAAACCTTGTGGAAAAGAAACAAATAATATCCTTCAGCTCACAGCTGCAGAAAGAGTCAAAGATTGTCTGACAGAGAACCCATCTGTTGGACTGCAGTGTCCAGCTAAGAGTGCTGAGCTTGCAATTCACAGCAACATGGTCACTCACTGTCCTACGTACAGCCTCCTCTTGACTGCTTCATTTGTCAGAAAATCCAATTCATTCAGCAAGTGTGTAATCGCTTACAATTCCAAACCACATGTTCGTTCATACGGCCAGACACTTTTACATAGTGACCAAGTCATATAATGCTGCACTGACGCAATAAGCAAAACCGTCACTTTTTTACACAAAGTTAACGAACAAGCCTGTCCATGGATAACTGCAACATTGCCTGAAAAATGCAATGCTGAAAAAAATTAACAAATTAACTGAAACTGCTATGTTTATACAAAAAAAAAAAAAAAGGTTAACCCTAGCTGGACCAGGCACCCAGACCACTTCATTAAGCTGAAGTGGTCTGGGTGCCTAGATTGGTCCTTTAAGAAGTCCAATAAAAAACAAAAGGAACATTTTTATTTTTTGAAGTGTATGTTTTCTTAATGAATTATCTTTATAATGCATTTTAAACAGGAAATAATTGTCCCATTCTTTCCCTATATAGGGAGACTTTACACACCCAGAGGACTCTCTCAGTTAAGTGGTCTGAGTGCAGTGACCCTGCTATTCCCTTCTAGCAATGTTTACATTGTGGGTCTAAACACATCTGCAGTGGCTGCCACCCTGTGTTTACTTATTGACAACTGAATCAAACTCTGTTCGACATCCTCACAAACCTTACATGAGGAAGTCGAATATCCTTTCAGTACTATACAGGCAACTCTTATTTCTGAGAGAGAAGCATTGGATTCAGAGCGTCTCTATGAGAAGCATTTGGTTGGCGAAGCATGGGTATTGCTGCTCTTGAGCTTTCCATTCACAATGCTGCCTTAAACTCTAAATCAGATTGTAACAGTGCTACCTTATTCAGTAAACACCTTCCTATGCTGCAGTTGGCAAATTAGTCTATGTGAAATTTCAGATAAAAGGTCTTGATTAAAGCAGCACTGCCACGGCAGTAGAAATGACAGTTCCTTGACATTTTCAGGTGTTGAGCGTCTCCTTGCTACTTTATAAATATGCCATTTTCAACAGAAAGTAGCTCTTTATAAAGTGCCGATATAGCACAGTGCACTCCTTGACAACGTTCTGCTAAGTGCAAAGTGGACGTCTACGTTTCTGGATTCAATGCATCAGTATCAAAAAACTGCAATGCTTCTCCAAGAGAAGCACCAGATTGGCTGGAAGATCATCAATACTTTTCTCCCATCAGGTGCTGTGGAGAGGGACTTCTCCCTGCTGGATTACAGGTATCTTAACCCTTTATTTACAGGAGTAGGGGGAGGCTGAGGAGACAACAGCACTTCAGCGTTATAAATCTATTTATGTATAACGATTGAGAGTTTATGTGGAACTAGAATTACAAATAAATTGCACAATATAATCCACAGCTAACTTTATATTAGCCATCACATGTGCACACATCTGGTGTCTGCAGAAATCACATTAAAAACCCTTCAATTATTAACGATTCAAGCACCAGCTGGGGAATCTGTTATAGGCATAGAGCTGGCATTTCAAACAGTGACATATTTCAATACAAAGACCTCTAGCAGCATATGGGTTAATGAAGCACACTGTGTGTTAATATGATAAACCCAGGGAAGATGCAGATATATGGTATACACAGCCTGGACTCTTAGAGACAGGTAAGGGGTACTTGAGGACTAGGTTTGGAACCCCTGTTTTAGGAGAACGGGGTGATCTGCTCATACCATATACATCTAAACGGAACATGAAGGGTAACTGGCTCACACCATATCCATCTAACACAGACTGACCCCAGAGGGGTGACCTGCTCATACCATATCCATCTAACACAGACTGACCCCTGGGTGGTAACCTGCTCATACCATATCCATCTAACACAGACTGACCCCAGAGGAATAACCTGCTCATACCATATCCATCTAACAGACTGACCCCAGAGGGTAACCTGCTCATACCATATCCATCTAACACAGACTGACCCCAGAGGGGTGACCTGCTCATACCATATCCATCTAACACAGACTGACCCCTGGGTGGTAACCTGCTCATACCATATCCATCTAACACAGACTGACCCCAAAGGGATAACCTGCTCATACCATATCCATCTAACACAGACTGACCCCAGAGGGTAACCTGCTCATACCATATCCATCTAACACAGACTGACCCCTGGGTGGTAACCTGCTCATACCATATCCATCTAACACAGACTGACCCCAGAGGGTAACCTGCTCATACCATATCCATCTAACACAGACTGACCCCAGAGGGTAACCTGCTCATACCATATCCATCTAACACCCCTGGGTGGTAACCTGCTCATACCATATCCATCTAACACAGACTGACCCCAGAGGGGTAACCTGCTCATACCATATCCATCTAACACAGACTGACCCCAGAGGGGTAACCTGCTCACACCATATCCATCTAACACAGACTGACCCCAGAGGGGTAACCTGCTCACACCATATCCATCTAACACAGACTGACCCCAGAGGGTAACCTGCTCATACCATATCCATCTAACACAGACTGACCCCAGAGGGGTAACCTGCTCATACCATATCCATCTAACACAGACTGACCCCAGAGGGGTAACCTGTTCATACCATATCCATCTAACACAGACTGACCCCAGAGGGGTAACCTGCTCATACCATATCCATCTAACACAGACTGACCCCAGAGGGGTAACCTGCTCATACCATATCCATCTAACACAGACTGACCCCAGAGGGGTAACCTGCTCATACCATATCCATCTAACACAGACTGACCCCAGAGGGGTAACCTGCTCATACCATATCCATCTAACACAGACTGACCCCAGAGGGGTAACCTGCTCATACCATATCCATCTAACACAGACTGACCCCAGAGGGGTAACCTGCTCATACCATATCCATCTAACACAGACTGACCCCAGAGGGTAACCTGCTCATACCATATCCATCTAACACAGACTGACCCCAGAGGGTAACCTGCTCATACCATATCCATCTAACACAGACTGACCCCAGAGGGTAACCTGCTCATACCATATCCATCTAACACAGACTGACCCCAGAGGGGTAACCTGCTCATACCATATCCATCTAACACAGACTGACCCCAGAGGGGTAACCTGCTCATACCATATCCATCTAACACAGACTGACCCCAGAGGGGTAACCTGCTCATACCATATCCATCTAACACAGACTGACCCCAGAGGGGTAACCTGCTCATACCATATCCATCTAACACAGACTGACCCCAGAGGGGTAACCTGCTCATACCATATCCATCTAACACAGACTGACCCCAGAGGGGTAACCTGCTCATACCATATCCATCTAACACAGACTGACCCCAGAGGGGTAACCTGCTCATACCATATCCATCTAACACAGACTGACCCCAGAGGGGTAACCTGCTCATACCATATCCATCTAACACAGACTGACCCCAGAGGGGTAACCTGCTCATACCATATCCATCTAACACAGACTGACCCCAGAGGGTAACCTGCTCATACCATATCCATCTAACACAGACTGACCCCAGAGGGGTAACCTGCTCATACCATATCCATCTAACACAGACTGACCCCAGAGGGGTAACCTGCTCATACCATATCCATCTAACACAGACTGACCCCAGAGGGGTAACCTGCTCATACCATATCCATCTAACACAGACTGACCCCAGAGGGTAACCTGCTCATACCATATCCATCTAACACAGACTGACCCCAGAGGGTAACCTGCTCATACCATATCCATCTAACACAGACTGACCCCAGAGGGGTAACCTGCTCATACCATATCCATCTAACACAGACTGACCCCAGAGGGGTAACCTGCTCATACCATATCCATCTAACACAGACTGACCCCAGAGGGTAACCTGCTCATACCATATCCATCTAACACAGACTGACCCCAGAGGGGTAACCTGCTCATACCATATCCATCTAACACAGACTGACCCCAGAGGGGTAACCTGCTCATACCATATCCATCTAACACAGACTGACCCCAGAGGGGTAACCTGCTCATACCATATCCATCTAACACAGACTGACCCCAGAGGGTAACCTGCTCATACCATATCCATCTAACACAGACTGACCCCAGAGGGGTAACCTGCTCATACCATATCCATCTAACACAGACTGACCCCAGAGGGTAACCTGCTCATACCATATCCATCTAACACAGACTGACCCCAGAGGGTAACCTGCTCATACCATATCCATCTAACACAGACTGACCCCAGAGGGTAACCTGCTCATACCATATCCATCTAACATAGACTGAACATCCCAGAGGGGTAACCTGCTCAAGGCCTATCCATCTAACACAGACTGACCCCAGAGGGGTAACCTGCTCATACCATATCCATCTAACACAGACTGACCCTAGAGGGTAAATCCCTTGCCTAAGGCCTATATCCCTATCTAACATAGACTGACCCCAGAGGGGGGGGTAACCTGCTTCCAAGGCCTATATCCATCTAACACAAGGCACTGACCCCTGGCAGAGGGGGGTAACCTGCTCATACCATAATTCACCTTAACACAGACTGACCCCCTGGGGTTACCTGCCCACGTGGTATCCATGGTAACCGATCTGCCCACGTGGTATCCATGGTAACCGGGGTTTGAGGGGTGAAGCAGCCTCTCCCGGGCCCTGGGCCCCTGACACATGTTAACCCCGGGTTAGCAGGCTGAGGATTCCCGCAGTGGCCCCCGGGGGCCCCCCAGTCCCCTCCATACCGGGGTGGATGGTAAGATCCCGGAAGTTCCTCCTGATTTCCCGCTCGGCCCCTGTCAGCTCGGTGAAGCTCCGATCGAAAGCCACGGAAGCCGCCATGTTGCCCGGCTTGGAGACAGCCGTGCCGGACTGGGAGGAGGGGGCGTGGCCAACGCTTCCCGCCCAATCTATTAACTCGAATAGCGGCACATGGAGGGTCACGTGTCCGGCAACCCAGCCGCCATCTTTGTTTCTGGCAAAGACATTCCCCCCTTTAGCAGTAAACAGCCCTGTGTGGGGTTTGCACTGGCTACCAATAGGCAATAAATGGAGAATTCTCTCACTCAAACACAGTATCAATACAATATCTCCACACACAGGGACAGTCCAACAGAGCAAACACAATGGAGGGTTTGTCAGCCCTGGCTTAATGAACTCTGGGCCAACCAGCCCTATTAAGGGTTTGTCAGCCCTATAAAGGGTTTGCCAGCGCTAGTAAGGGTCTGCCAGCCCTATTAATGGTTTGCCAGCCCTATTAATGGTTTGTCAGCCCTGGCTTAATGAACTCTGGGCCAACCAGCCCTATAAAGGGTTTGCCAGCCCTATTAATGGTTTGCCAGCGCTAGTAAGGGTTTGCCAGCCGTATTAATGGTCTGCCAGCCCTATTAAGGGTTTGCCAGCGCTAGTAAGTTGTTGCCAACCCTATTAATGGTTTGCCAGTCCTATAAAGGGTTTGCCAGCCCTATAAAGGGTTTGACAGCCCTATAAAGGGTTTGACAGCCCTATTAATGGTTTGCCAGCCCTATTAAGGGTTTGCCAGCGCTAGTAAGTTGTTGCCAACCCTATTAATGGTTTGCCAGTCCTATAAAGGGTTTGCCAGCCCTATAAAGGGTTTGACAGCCCTATAAAGGGTTTGCCAGCCCTAGTAATGGTCTGCCAGCCTTATTAATGGTTTGCCAGCGCTAGTGAGGGTTTGTCAGCGCTATTAATGGTTTGCCAGCGCTATTAATGGTTTGCCAGCCCTATTAATGGTTTGCCAGCGCTAGTAAGGGTTTGTCAGCCCTATTAAGGGTGGCCCATGCACACAGGTCTGTTACAGTGCTCTGCGCATGGTCGTAGTGCCCTTAGCATAGTGCTTAACTTTCTGGGGACATCAGGGACTATACCCAGAATACCCAGAATGGCGGACAAAACACTTTAATCAGTACTGTCCTGCCAGATTTGGGAGAGTTGGGAGGCCTGTGGTTTCACCTTAAGATGCACAATATCATTCTCAATGCTTCACTGTTACCTGAAGAATAGTAGGTGACCAGACCACCATGTGTCCCTTTATAAGAGGAAAAGCCTGTTTTTTAGTACCCAATTTCCTCTACTCGTATTTTCTATCCCAATGATTTTTTGGTGTGTTTTGGATAACTCCCAACATTGGGTGGTATGCCATATGGACGATTGAATGAGCTTCAGGGTGGTTTCGCGACTGGCGTCATTGTTGATGTGCTCCCGCTGTGCTGCTATTGACAGTTCTACGGTGGGCCTAGATGTGGGGCACCGGGGAACTAAATTGGGACTGGTTTTAAATCTATAGCTTGTACTATGCTGATTATTAGGCAGTCCCATCACCTTTCTGGGTAGCGCCACTCATTTCAGGGCATTGACGCAATAGCAACACTGGCACGTCCCTTTAGCAGAGGTGGTTCTATAATGTTAAACGACTGCCTGTGGCCTCACTCTTGTTGGGATGTTGCCTCATGCTCCTCCTAGAGCCTTTCTGTCTCTGTGACTGCGTCAACCAGGGCATCTTATTCAAGTTTTGCCTAAGGCCTCGCAAATTCTAGAGTCTCCTCTGCCTTTTAAACCAGCCCATCCCCTGACCTGATTGCATACCTCTCAATGTTAAGAGGTATCAGTGGTGTATTTTGAAATTGTGCTGCCCTAGGCATGACTAAATTTGGGCACCCCCCTAATCTAAATTTGCCCCACCAATTTGTTTCAGTGCCACTTCTTTGACTGACAGACACACACCTTCATTGATACATACACTGACATACACTCATTTACAGATACACAGTCATTGGGACACACATACAGTCATTGGCACACACTGTTTAACACACACTGTTTAACCAACACACACTTTCACTGCCAGACACTGACACGCACACTCTCAAATACAAATATACTGACAGATACACACTCACACATCTTCACTGATTTGACACACTCTGTCTGGAGTGACAAGAAGAGCAGAGGACAGCGCTTCGACACCGGCCGGCAAGGGGGGCCCTAATGTGGCCAGCTGGCCAGCTGGCCAGCTCTTGGGCCCCCCAGGACACATGGCGTACAAGGCATTTGCCTTGTTTGCCTTGTGGCAAATACATCCCTGAGAGGTATCTACATTATAATAGCCTGAGAAAATTCATGCTATACTGGGTAGAACAACCCTTTTTCTTAGTAGCATATTCTTAACCCAAATTATCACACAACCCTCTCTCAGCCTACCATACCACCTGTCCTGTGTCCATACGCACAGTGTTAATAGGTTGGAATAATACGTTTGTTCTAACTTGCCGCCATTTATATATGCAGGTTTCGGTAGGTCATCAAGTATCATGAAATGTCCTGCAATGGATCTTGACAATAGCCATTCGCGTACTTTTGCAGCCTACAACATTTTCTGTCAGGAGATTTAAAAAAATAAATGTTGCAAAATAGCGAGAATTGGTTCAGATAACCCGAAATCTAACCAAAGATGCATAAAGATAGCTGTCAGAAAGGTGGATTGGAGGCTGGCAAGTTTCTTTAAAAAAATAAATATTGTATTAATAATGAATCTATCTATAGTGAAATAGTGCATTGCTTAAATGATAACTGTCATTGCAAGTGTCAAACATTTTAACATAAGCTTTATGTTAATATGCAATCTCCAAATCTTTTTTTTTTATTGATTTTTTTTTTTTTTTAAAGAAATTGCTTGCCTGCCCTTCTAATTCCCCCTGGCAGTCATCTTTACGCATTTTGGATCAGATTGTCAGTTATCCCTGCCAAAACTCACTAATTTGCCTAATACTTTGAGAGCACTCTGTCTAATGATGGACTCCAACTGTGTTTGCTGGGAACAAGCATAACATTATCAATCCCAGCCTGGGATGGGGGTGTAGGAAAGGAAATTCTCTACCGTCCGTCTATATAAACTCTAATTGCTACATGAAGAGGCTCAGTGGAAGTGGCTGTCCTCCCCAGGATCTTTCTAATCTGTCTTCTATGTGGGAGAGGGTCAAATCCATCATGTCCAAGACTTCCTCCTAGAAGTACCATGCGGACAAGCGTCGGAGGGCTGCGCCCACTTACCTGGTCTGGTTGTCCACTCGGAATATCCACCTCCGTGTCCTCTCCATGAAATTGGCTGCTTGTTTCATTGGTCCCTTTAAGGTCCTTCGCAAGATTAATCCTGTCTCCTATGCTCTTGCTTTGCCTAACAATCTTCGTATCCATAATGTCTTTCACACCTCCCTTTTAAAGCCTCTAGTCTGTAGTAAGTATTCCTCTGTACCTCGTTCTAATCCTCCTCCATCTCTAGTCCAGAGGCAGGAGAAGTACGAGGTGCAACATGTTCTTGATTCCCGCTTTACTAGGGGTCGTTTACAGTACCTTGTCCATTGGAAGGGTTATTGTCCAGAGGAACGTTCCTTGGTGGGTGTTTCTGATCTCCATTTTGGTTCGTTTGGTTCGTGGTTTCCATTCTGTCCATCCTGATCGGCCTGGTGGTTCCCGCCCTTTGGGCGGAGTTAGAGGGGGAGGCACATGCGGCCACAGTAAACACCATGCGGTGTTTGGTTGCACTATGTGCAGAGCAGTCCCTGCATGATCTGTCTTCTGGCAAGACTTCCTGATCATTTTGGCAGCCTTGCGCCACCTAGAGGAATCCTTGGAAATTACAGGACCCTGTTGTGGCAGGCTTTTTATAGCATTAAAGTGACAGGTCCTATTATTGGGACACAACATCTGCCCTTCACAGGTCACACCCTTTTTGTGTGATTTGGTGCAGGGTTATGATCCAGTACCTCCCTGGAAACATAAGGAAGGGAGGACATGACTGCTGGCAGGGATAAGGGGCTGGGTTATAAGGGGATACATTGTGGCAACCGGGGTACGTTAAGATGGGGAAAAAGGGGAGGGTACCAGTTCCTGGGCAGAGGTGCAGTGTTGGTAGCTTCCCACCCCCCCAGCCAAACATGTTTACGATGGTGTTGCTGTTGGTTGTGTGCTGTTGTTTTCTTTGTTTTGTCACAGCTCGCGGTAGTCCTGGCCAGCGAAGAGGATTGGAAGGAAGTACCCAAGCGGCTTGGGGAGTCGCAGCCTACTGAGAGCTGATGGCGGGGGCAGGCTGCTCCGGAGTCGTGGGTCATTTTGATAGAGCTGTCTGTTGGTAATCCCCCAACAGCTGACAGGTGGTGGACACTGGTGATAATCTGTTAATAATCTATTAATAAAGCTGTGGCCATTGCCCTTACCCATACAAAAGGTGTTGTGTATTTATTGGGCAACGGGTGGTGGTGGGGGGGAAGGGGGTTTGGCCAGGGTCAGCAGTCATGTCCAATAAGATACAAAGTTGTATTCCTAGCACTATAGTACTCTATAGTGCCTCCCTCGTTCGCGCGCCCACCCGCAGCCCTTTTTCTCTTACTTGAATCCAGCGCTGATGTCCCTCAGCGCTGGGTCAGGCTGTGCCTCCTGTCCTCTTCCTCCGTCAGCCAACAATGGGGACCTAATGTGCATGTGCGGCGGGCACCACGCTCGCATTAGGACAACCCGTAGGAAAGCATTGTATCACTGCTTTCCTATGGGGTTTTAGCTGACGCTGGATGTCCTCATGCATAGCGTAAGGACGTCTAGTGTCGGTTATGTGACCAAAAGACACCTAAAGACCCGTAAGCATCTCTATTGGCTGTCTGGCAGACTGCCACTAAAGGTGGAGTTAACCCTGTAATGTAATTATTGCAGTTTATCAATACATGCAATAATTCCAATTGCAGGGTTAATCTGAGAGGGGAACTGCACCCAGACCACTTCAATGAGCTGAAGTGGTCTGGTTATCTATAAAGTCCCCTCAATGAAAAGTCTTTGCAAGGCAGCTGCTCTGGGCAATTGTTGCCATTTGAGTTTAGCTCCACCGAGCTAAACAAGCAGGAAGTAACAGGACCAGATGTCTGACAGTCAGGGGTGTAAACAAGGTTAATACAAAAGTGCAATTTTTTTACTGAAATCTGCACATTTTGTAAAATTATGAATTAGGCCAAATTCTTCACACATAAAGCACTTCAACAAGCTAAAGTACCTTAGGCATCTGGAGTTTCCTTTTAACCCAGTCAAATGCCCAAATCACCATTATCATTTACATATGGGAGCTCTAATGTTTGAAAAATTCATATACGTCCACACCACTTAATATCCACAGAAATAAGCGCCTTGGTAAATGATTACGATTTATGCAATTATTTTATTTATCAGTAGTAGATATATAATTTTTTTTAGATATTTCACGATATAGCACTCTTTATCTGCAAGCCTTTATTTCAGATGCCTTTAAAAACTAATATATATAGATATAAGCCTATTTGTGAATAAGAATCAATGTGAATAAAAATAAAGTCATTGCAGAGCAGGTTGTTTCATTCCTGACTGTATGTTCTATAGAACATGCCTCTAGGTTTGCTGCAGAAGCCTCTGGTGCAATTTTAATTGAAACACCAGTTTGTAAATATGTGTATAGAATCCTGTTCACAGTTCCTCTGTTGGGAGCTTCTCATATTTGGTCATTCTTGCTTTTCTCATAGACATATTTATTGTCACAGCGACTAAAGCGACAACGACGACTCCGGACAGAGACACAACCAGGCTGTTCACATTCAGCTCAACCTTTCCATCTGAATCTGTTGAAATTAATGAATAAGAAAAATTATGGTAAAAATATAGCAGGATTTTTAAGCCATGTACTACGAAGAAGAATGCTAGACTTTGAGGTTCTAAGCTGTGCCTATGTCAGAATAGTTTGTCCTAAATTCATCATTCTTGTTTCTGTGAAATAATGTCCAGCATCTTTTTATCATTTAATTTAAAATATAGTGTGCTATCAGCAACAAAATGATTGCAATTTCAGATATAGTCAGAGTTTAAAGGACACTCCACTGCCCAAACACAAAAACAAATACATAATAACAATCGCTGTTTACTAGTTATACCCCCAATGAAAACATGCATTCAATTACTTATGCATTTTTTTAAATTTGGGGGTATATATAAAAACAACATTCAAAAGCTGCAGATCTATTGTCTGTAGTCTTTGCAAGCCCTCCCCTTCCAACCCTTCCAAGACTTTCTGAGGCTGTCGAATCACAGACTTCCCAATGCAGCTCAATGAAAAGTAATTGCAAGGCAGGTGCTCTGGACAATTGCTGTCTCTTGAGTTCAGCTGCATTGAGCTAGCGAAGCCAGGAAGTAAAAGGATCAGTTGTCTGATTGACAACCAGAGTGGTGTAACAAGGTTAATTTATAAAATTGTAAATTTCTATTAAAGATTCTAATGAACGTTTCTATCTGCACTTTTTCTATAATGAAAAGTCAAGTGAGAGATGTCACACATAAGGCACTTCTGCAAAATGAAGTGTTTTAGTGGTCTAGAGTGTCCTTTTAAAGAGAATCTATAGTGTTAGGAAATAAGTACACTATAATGACCTCTGGTTCCATTCCACCACCTCCCATCCCCTCTTTGACACATAAAGGGTTGAAAAAACCTTTAATCACTCACCCAATTTCAGCGTCGATGTCCCTTAGGGCTGGGTCATTCGACAGGTGGACCTAATACAGGTTTGTATTCCTAACGCTGTAGTGTTCTTTTAAAAGGACACTCCAGACCCCTAGAACACTTTAGCTTGCTGAAAAGCTTTATGTACAAAGTGTGTGTTCTATTTTTTTCATTTTAAAAAAGTGCAGATTTCAATAGAAATTGACACTTTTATAAATTATACTGGTTACACCCCCTGGCTTTTCAAGCAGACAACAGGTAATGTTACTTCCTGGTTTGGTTGACTTATTTGCACTGAACTCAAGAGGACAAAATTGCCCTTGTCCCTGCCTTTCAAAGACTTTTTCATTGAGTTGCATTGGGAAGTCTGTGATTGAGCAACCACAGAAAGTCTGGGCGGGGTTAGAAGAGGAGGGCTTGAAAAGGCAGCAGACAGGAGATCTGCAGTTTTTGCAAGTAGTTTTTAGATATATCCCCAATGAAAAAATGTTTAATAAAATGCAAATTCATTTGGAGTATATCTACTGAACAATGATTTCTATTTATTTTGTATTTGGGCAGTGGAGTGTCCCTTTGTTTACTCCCCAGACTTAAATCTCATGTACTTCACAGCCAATCCCATTACCTTGATTGGGCGATTGCCTCTTCATACGCAAAGGACCCTGGGAAATGAAGTGTTGCAGTGACTCTGATGTTAATGACCTTCTACGGCGATGCGCATTGGTCTCTGAAGACTTGCTGGTACAGCCCTGAGCACAACGAGTGTTGGGGTCCCCTAGCTTGCATAATATGACTGTGCAGCTCACATAAACCTCAAAGGAAAAAACAAAATCTTGTTTTATTTTATAAAACACAATGACTATTTATCTAGAGACAATACTATCCTAGATGGAAAAAGCCACTTCACTTGAAAATAGACTGTACTAAATTATTGTTGTATCTGTCCTTGAGTTGTTGCTTTCAATAACCTTTTTTTGAAAGCAACAGACGTTAAAGATATACTTCAAACACCTATTGCACTTTAGCGTGCCAAAATGTGTTATGTGTAAAAAAAAGTGTGCCCTTAGATACTGTCATACAGACATAGACATACAGACACAGACATACATAGTCTTATAGTCATACAGATACAGGCATACAGAGCAGGGGTCTGTGAAAATTTAGGGGGTGTAGTGGGGTGATAGATGTTGTAGTAGGGGAGTTAGGGGCTGTGGTGGAGGGGACAGGGGCTGAAGGGGGGAGAGGCAGGGGCTGTAGTGAGGGTTGCAAGGGCTATGGTGAGTCCTCTGCAAGGACTATGGGGTGACAGGGGCTGTGAGGCGGGACAAGGGCTGTTAGGGGAGGGACAGGGGCTGTAAGGGGGGACAAGAGCTGTGAGCGGGACAGCAAGAGGGGGGGGACAGGTGCTAAGAGGGGGGACAGGTGCTAAGAGAGGATACAAGAGCTGAGGGAGTAGACAGCTGCTATAGAGGGGGGCACATTGGCTGTAGAGAGGGTGCAGGGCGAGAGGGGGACTGAACTTAAAGGGTGGGGAAGAAGGGGCAGGGGCTGAGGTGGGATGGAGGCTGAGAGGAGGACGGGGCTGAGGGGACAGGGGCTTTGAGGCGGACATAGGCTGTGAGGGCGTGGCAGAGAATGTGAGGGGGGAACAGAGGCTGTGGGGGGGGGCAGGGGCTGGGAGGGGGAGTCAGTTACTGTGAAGGGAGCCAGGAGCTGAGAGGGCAGCTGCTATAGAGGGGCACAGGATGCTGTAGATGAGGGCACAGGTGCTGAGAGGTGGGCAGGAGCTGAAATGGGGCACAGGAGCTGAAAGGGGGGATAGGAGCTAAAAGAAGGGGGCAGGAGCTATAGAGGGGGCCATATGGGCTGTAGAGCAGGACACAGGAGCTGTAGATGAGGGCACAGGGGCTATAGAGGGGGGGACAGGGGAAGAAGGAGGGGCAGAAGAAGAAAGAGGACAGAAGAAGAAGGGGCAGGTGTGAGGGGGCTGCAGGGCTGTGAGGAGGGACAGGGGCTGTGGGAGGAGGGGACAGGGCTGTGGAGGGGCAGGAGAGGACAGGGGTGGAGGGAGGGGGGGACAGGAGCTAAAAGGGGGGGACAGGAGCTAAAGAGGGACCACATGGGTAGAGGGACCACAGCTGGGCTGTAGAGGGGGACACAGGGCTGTAGATGAGGCACAGGGGGCAAAGAGGGGGACAGGCTGCAGAGGGGGGGGACAGGGGAAGAAGGGGCAGGAGAGAGGGGGCAGGAGCTGAAAGGGGACAGTAGCTGACACATGGGCTCTAAAGGAGGGGGACAGGAGTAGTGGTGGGCAGAGCTAGAGGCAGGGCCGGAGCCAGAGGAAGAGCCAGAGGCAGGGCCGGAGCCAGAGGAAGAGCCAGAGGTAGCCAGAGGCAGAGCCAGAGGCAGGGCCGGAGCCAGAGGAAGAGCCAGAGGTAGGGCTGGAGCCAGAGGCAGAGCCAGAGGTAGGGCCGGAGCCATAGGCAGAGCCAGAGGCAGGGCCGGAGCCAGAGGCAGGGCAGGAGCCAGAGGAAGAGCCAGAGACAGGGCCGGAGCCAGAGGAAGAGCCAGAGGCAGGGCCGGAGCCAGAGGAAGAGCCAGAGGCAGGGCCGGAGCCAGAGGAAGAGCCAGAGGTAGGGCCAGAGCCAGAGCCAGAGCCAGAGCCAGAGGAAGAGCCAGAGGTAGGGCCGGGGCCAGAGGCAGGGCCGGAGCCAGAGGCAGGGCCAGAGCCAGAGGAACAGCCAGAGGCAGGGCCAGAGCCAGAGGAAGAGCCAGAGGTAGGGCCGGAGCAAGAGGAAGAGCCGGAGGTAGGGCCAGAGCCAGAGGCAGGGCCGGAGCCAGAGGCAGGGCCGGAGCCAGAGGCAGAGCCAGAGGCAGGCCTGGAGCCAGAGGAAGAGCCAGAGGCAGGGCCGGAGCCAGAGGAAGAGCCAGAGGCAGGGCCGGAGGCAGAGCCAGAGGCAGGGCCGGAGCCAGAGGCAGGGCCGGAGCCAGAGGAAGAGCCAGAGGCAGGGCCGGAGCCAGAGGAAGAGCCAGAGGCAGGGCCGGAACCAGGGTATTATGAGTTTTGCGCCCCCCTGCTTTGGCGGCCAGTTGTGCCGATTTATGGATGCCCCGGCCCTGACTGCATTACTTACACACACATATTGCATCCATTATACACACACACACACTACAATCACTGTGCACACACACTTACTGCATCCCTGTGGGCAGACTCTGGAACATGTATAGCTTGGAGGAAAGACGAGACAGGGGGGATATGATAGAAACATTTAAATACATAAAGGGAATCAACACAGTAAAGGAGGAGACTATATTTAAAAAAAGAAAAACTACCACAACAAGAGGACATAGTCTTAAATTAGAGGGACAAAGGTTTAAAAAAATAATATCAGGAAGTATTACTTTACTGAGAGGGTAGTGGATGCATGGAATAGCCTTCCAGCTGAAGTGGTAGAGGTTAACACAGTAAAGGAGTTTAAGCATGCGTGGGATAGGCATAAGGCTATCCTAACTATAAGATAAGACTAGGGACTAATGAAAGTATTTAGAAAATTGGGCAGACCAGGGATTTTGCTTTTCCATGTGAAGTTTTCTTTTCCTTGTACAGCAAGGTTGAAAGTTAAAAAAAGTTTTCCAGATCTTACCTCTTCATAGTCTCCAATGAACGCAAATGCCTCTATTCCAAACCTCAATTGTGTTCTTGTTCCAGGGAAATTAATTAAAGTTTCATCTTTCAAACACCTATAAGAAAAAATATAAATAAATGTTCATGCTAGGTACCAAAACAACTTAATGTAGTGGTTCTGAGGCAAAGAGACTGTTCCTGCAGGCTGAGCAGTGTAAACACTGCCCTTTTTGTTAAAGGGCAATGTTTATATTGCTGCCTAATGCCACCTTTAGGGGCTGTTACAGCCACTAGAGGGACTTCCAGGATGTGGTTCTGCAAAGGTTGCAAGACCAAAGTGCAACCTCTTGCTCTGCATGGAGACTCTGAATGCTCCCCATAGAGATGCACTGAGAATGGCTATTGCCATGCTCGCACACTAGCCCCCTCCCCCAATGTTTCTCTATTGTGAAGCATTGGATTGGATGAGATCATTAGTATTGATTATCTCAGCCAGTGGAAAAAAGGAGACCAGGGTGAAAACTGTGCACCAGGTGAAAAAAGGTAAACAATAAGTTTTTGTAAACTAATTATTTTTACTAAATAGATAGTATAACACTTTAACTTTAGGATTCCCAAGGGGCGGCTCTCTAATTAGGCAATTTAGGTGGCCGCCTAGGGACTTGCACTGATTGGGGCCTCGCGGCCGCCTAAATTGCCCTAGGGAAGAGTGACATGTTCTCTGACCGATGACCCGACACAGGCGGGGTCCAGGCAGTTTGCCCTTTATACCAGGTGCAAGGCCTTTCCAGTCAGTCTGCGCTGATCGAGAGGCGCAGAGCTGCACACTGAACTGTCTCACAATCTCCAGTGTATCAGAGCGTTACCACAGATTACCACTGCAACGCTTTCATACTTTTGGAGATCGTGAGACTTACCATGTGGTCTGCAGCTCTGCGCCCGGAGGAGCTGCAGACCATGGAACCTGCCTGCCGGACCACCAGAGACCGAGACGGTGGACCACCAGGGAATAGGTGAAGGAAAAAAAGATATTTATGAGTCCCCCTACCCTCTCTCAGCCCCCCTACCCTATCTCGGCCCCCCTGACCTCTCTTGGCCCCCCTACCCACTCTGAGCCCCCACTACCCTCTCTCAGTCCCCCTAGCCTCTCTCAGTTCCCCCTACCCTCTCTCAGTCCCCCCTAACCTCTCTCAGCCCCCCTACCCTCTCTCAGCACCCCTACCCTCTCACAGCCCCCACCACCCCCGCTCAGCCCCATCACCCACTCTCAGCCCCCATCATCCACTCTCAGCCCCCACTACCCTCTCTCAGCACCCCTACTGTCTCTCAGCCCCCACTAACCTCTCTTAGCCCCCCTACCCGCTCACAGCCCCGCGCCCCTTCACAGCCCCCCACTCTCTCACAGTCCCCATCACACCCTGTCACCCCACATCGCACATACACCTGTCACAACCCCACACACACCCTCACAGCCACCCCAACCCTGTCACCCCACTAGCACCTTGTCACAGCCCCCACACCCTGTCCTCACACACACCCTCACAGCCACCCCACCCTGTCACCCCACTAACACGCTGTAATAGCCCCCACACGCTGTCACCCCACTAACACCCTGTCACAGACCCCCACATCCTATCACAGTCACCCTGTCTCCCCACACACACTGTCACAGCCCCTCCCACACACCTTGTCACCCCACACCCTACATACACCCTGTTACAGCCCCTCACACACACCCTTACAGCCACCTGCACTCTGTCACCCCACTAACAAACTGTTAAAGCCACCCCACCCTGTCACAGCCTTTTCCACTTACCATCACAGCCATCCACCCTGTCACCCCACAGCCCCCCTCCCACACACCCTGTCACTCCCACCTCACATGCACCCTGTCACATTAACCTCCTCCGATCCTGTCACACTCCCTCCTCCAGCCATGTCACAACCGCCCTATCATTCTCTCCCTCATTCATCTGTCACACACATCTTCACAACTCTTCATTTACCCCCCTAACCATGTCAAACTCACCCTATCACACTCACCAACTGAAGACATTCATCATATACAGACACACACACTTAGTCATGAAACGTAGCTGTGCCATAACAAAATGCACAAAGGCCACAGGCAGCCCTCATAAACACAACACACAGCAAGCAGCTACACCACACACATAGGTCCCAGACACATGCTCACAAAGACATACATTCACACCCAAGGATACTCTCTGTCAGACACACACTTTCATGCACACACAGGTAGACAATGCCAGATACACTCAGAAATACACACACCTGCACTTATATATTCCCGACTGCAAGGCTATGTAATCATGCCCCGCAATCGTGTATAAACGATTAACATAATTGCTAATTACATTTGTTTATTGCAAATTAATTTAGTTTGCTAATTATGCCATAACTTCAGTCAGAGAGCTCACAACGCAGTGGAACATGGAGCCGCAATACTGAAAGCCCCTGGACAATGAAGACAGAGACTAGCTCTCTGTATCCAGCGCTGCAAGCCGGTCCTTCAGTATAACTACAGCACCTTATACACACAATGAACCACTATTTATTTTCACTTTCGGTATTAGTGGGGGCCTCGTGTTTGTGTTTCGCCTAAGGCCTCACAAAGTCTAGAGATGCCACTGTTTAGGAAAACATTTGTTCATTAAACTGGTAACATGCCTGGCGTTTAATCATTTAATGGTGCATTATAGTCAACTGAAAGCCAGGTTTGCTAAGTTAAAGGGACACTATAGACACAGTATGTGCTGTATCTAATTAAACTGGTTATCCTGTCCAGAGTCCTCTGGGGCAATTAGTTCATTCACTTTCCCAAGCTAGTTGTGATTGAAGTTTGGCTACTTTGAATTCCTGGCAAGTCACACTGGTAAATAGCACTGTTATCAGTTGGGTCATTAGGAAAATAATAGGGATATAAAATATTCAAAATGAAGATATCAGGAGTTCACCAAACCATATCTTTTGCACAGTTTGTACGACTTAAATGTCACTTACTTTGTTCTGTCAATCAACCTGTATTTTTTTTTTTTTTTTATTCTTTATTTTTGGTTGCATGAGAAAAAATAACAATAACATCATTCTGGTAAGTTTGCATACAATGCACAATTTTTGTTAAGGAAAAAGGTGATATGAGTTGTAAGTAACATATACATACAGGTTTTGCAAGAATCACCGGTACATAAAATAAACAGGCTAAGGTACGCTATTCTGTATGTTTGGGGTGCAGCCAACTCGGTTGCTGTTTTTGTAGGCTGGGTGGGGTGCTCTGTAACCCTGCGCTTGGGGGTGGGGGGAGTTTATAGATCGGGCAGCGCTGTGGTAATGATGTACCCTCCAATCCGCCTTTATTGGAAATTGGGTGTGCTTATTGGGGAGTAAACCAGAGTAAGGGGGGGGGGACTTACGACCCGTTCCCTCTCCAAGGACTTGGATTAGGATGCGGGGGTAACATGGGGTGGTTTGCTGTTATTTGTATTACCCTTGTGAGAATCGTAGGTTCGAAGTGTGAGGACAATTCACAGGCTACCGCCCCACTATGTGTGGACTGTGTTGGTTGTGATGTGTTTCAATAAGCGGGGAAAATGTCAACTGCCCCTCCACGTGGCTCAGAGCAGGCCTTCTATCTTACATGTCTTACTTTACATTACTTGTTTTCCTCTGCCATGGCAATACCACACCGTACGACCAATAAGGTCCGAGTGCCGCGTAAGTACCCTTGGTTTACATGTGGTATTGTATGTGTTGTCATGTATAAGTAAGTTAAATTCAACTAAATTCAAACTAGGTAAATTAAATTCAACTGATACAGGTACACTTCCAGATTGGGACATATATGTAAAGTGAGGCGATCAAATATCTACAGTACAATGTGTCTTTTTTCAGTTTAGAAGGTGTAAAGTACTATTAAGGGACAAGTCCTTCAATTTTTCATACTGATGAGTGTCCTTGAAGACCTTCGGAAACAGTCACTAGGCAACCACTGCAAGCGCCGTGGGATCAGTACTAGCGACACAAGGATTCATATTTTGCTTTGGCTTTCGCCACGGTAAGCGCTCATATATGAGCAGGTGTGTTTGTTCCCATTTGTAGGTGAAGGCACCTTGTTGCCGAGCACTGAACTGTGGAGCCTCAAACTTAACACATTGTTCCCGGCTAGGGAGGGAGGGAGGGGCAGGGCAGGCTTTTAAATTCAACCTGTATTATTAAAGTACAAATTATTTTATTTATCAAGTGGGTCAAGGTTCCAAATATTTGTTTTTCCTCCAGTCTGATAACTACAGATATGGCCTCAGTGGACAGCTTTACCCAGTTTCTCTCTCTGCGCCCCAATATAAAAGCATTCCTTGAGGCTTCGTGCTTGGAAATATAATCATTTGGAGAATGCAGCTGAGTGCTAGGTCTCGGCTACAGATAATTTTTTTTTTTTTTTTTGTAATTCTTTATTTTTGTCGTGCACGATTTAAGTGATCCTCAGTATGCTACAACAGCGTTATAAAGGCACATAGAACAGCATTCAAGGTGTGACAGTTGGTATACAGGCACAAGAGACTGTTCCTGCAGGCTGAGCAGTGTAAACAATGCCCTTTCTGTGAAAGGGCAATGTTTACATTGCTACATAATGCCACCTTTATGGGGTGTTACAGCCACTAGAGGAACTTTCAGGATGGGGTCCTGCAAATGTTGCAAGACCAAAGTGCACCATCTCGCTCTGCATGGAGACTCTGAATGCTTCCAATAGAGATGCACTGATATACATGTCTGAGCAGGGGGGTCGAAGAGAGGGAGCTGAGTGTGTGGAGCTGACGTGTTGGTGTACTTAGAGGGGATATGTGCAGTCAGATATGCGTTATGGGGCTGGAACAAAGAATATATAGCTGACTTCGTTTGCAGATATGAAGTCAGCTATGTGAAAAAGGTTATAATGCCTCACTTGTCTGGTAAGTGTTTAGGACTTTGTAGTAGGTCCCTTAGGCCGGGGTGTGGGGGGAGGGGAGAATTAGACAGGTGTCTGCTTCGGTCGGTCTATATTGCTTGGGGGAGACATCATAAAGAAAAATCTATGGACAGCGAACAGTATAGGGGAATACAAGAGAAAAACACAACTTTTGCTTGTAAAGTAAGTCTGCTTGTTGAACTGCACAAGCCTCTTAACGGCTTTTGACCAGTCACTTAAAAACCCAACAATAACCAAACTTTTCCTTTCATTTACGCTACCTCCATACAATAAGAATTACCATATAAATTAACGTACCCATTTTCTATGATGTTATAAAACACCGGATCGTTGGGATTATCATGCGGGGTGGCTTTGCACGACTCCACAAATAGCTGTACATTGGGCAGAGAAGATGCTACTTGTATCTCCATGTAGAGCATGTCCCTCAGCCAGACCTCCAGCGGAGATTGTGTTTGTACAGTTGTAAATTGGTCGTCCGTGTAGAACTGGAAGTTGTAGGTGAAGTTACCAAATCCGGCCTCCGTGAACTCAAAAACTGCTTTTTCGGCTCGGAACGCAGCAGATACACGGCTCTCTTTCGGAAACGAGCAATTAAAGGGAATTATCACTTGGTGCTTTCTTGAAATAACAGCCGTTGCACTGTCAAATGAGGTAATTTGATTTTTGAACACAATCTCATGTTCTGTTTCCTAAAGAAATGGAAACCAGTAGCTTATGTATTAAGTCATTAAATTAATAATTCAAACAAACTGTTCTCACTCCTATAGTATCAAATACAGAATATCAAATAGAATGCAAGATTCTCAAAAATAGAAAATGAGACTTAAACTATTTTTTTATAGAAACTTGTCATCTTGCGTTTACATGTGTCATAGAACTCAGATTTAAAGGGACAGTCTTGAATTTGGTTCCTTATCCCCCCTGTCCTGGGTTCTTATCTTCAGTTCCTTATCTGGGTACCCCAGAAAAACATCCCGAGTAAATATAGTACACTGACACATTCATCCCTGTGGTATTCTGTGTCAGTGTGGGGTGTCTCCTTGTTTTACGGAGGGTTTGGCCCCACCATATCACCAGTGATGATGATTAAGATATGTCTGGCATTCCCCCTACTGACCAGCCATGCCTCATCCCGCCTTCATACTGTTAATGGCGCGTGATTTTGTAATTAGGGAGATTTAAGAAAAATATATATTATAAGAGTATAGAATAAATACAATTACCTCATCGTGGAAAACATATTGAGAGAGTGTCAGATGACTGCTTTCAACCACTCGCAGCGCCCGTTGAAGGTATGAATTGATATGGCTAAAACGAAGCATGTAACTGCTGTCGTAGTCACGCCTCCAGTAGGGAAGCCACAGACCCTCTTTCAGTGTTAAATTGCACAAATGAGTTCAATGACATGAAATGGTTATAGTGTCTACAGTGCCCTTTAATGTCTGCCAATTTCTGAATTTGAAACAATTCCAAACTCCTGTGCTGTAACAGTTGTATCCCGTTACCTCGACTGTTGTTCCGCAGGAGTTAAATTCCACACTTGCAATGTGGTGCGTAGTGTTAGAGGAAACCAGACATGCTGGATCGTTCAATCGGAGGTGATTATCGTACAGGCCATTCGTTGCTGACTTTTCAATGATCAAAGTCATGGTGTTTTCATTACAGATCAAGGCGGTATTGGCTAATCTCATAGAAAAACAAATGGAGAAATATATAAGTAGATAGGTAGACAGGTAGGTAGGAAGATAGATAAATTACTTTTTTGTTTGTTTCTCCTTTCAATAAATGTATAATGGATGTTGTGTTTGTTAGACACTACTGCCCTTTTCCATTTGCTGCAGATAATGCACGTACTCTAGGTGAGTATACTTTCTATAGGATTTGTACAGAATGAACACATATTAAATTCATTGCATACTGTTCTGTAATTCTGTCTGTTTTCCCATATCGTCCAGAATATTAAATCAGAGTTCACATATTACTGATTCCAATATAGACAACTTACTTTTTTAACTATTGTTCCCAAAGAGCACATATTTGAGCTTTGGATGGAATCTGTTTAATAAGATACAGATACTATCTATATAATAAGCATGCTCTCTTGTTTGCAGGGTTAAAAAAGTTAAAAAAGAAACGCTAACTGTAGCTCATTTTTTAGTGGCCGATGGTTAAAAATAGTAATGTTTACAGGGAACTGTGGTTGTGAGTGTATTACATCCACTGACTTTATACCACCTCTTTTATAAACTGTGCTGATTGTTTTCCCATAAACCAAAGAATCTTTATGACCGCAAAAAGGTAGGGATTATGAATAGTTCAGTCTAGTAAATAAAGAACTGTTTGCAAATCTATAAGGTACATTATATACTAGAAAAGACAACATACGCAAATCGGCGGAATCAACGATTACAAGGACACATCTGAATTCTGAATGATGCCTAAAGGGGAAGAAAGACATGATGATTTTTAGTTATAAATATATATAAAGTAATATTTGTTTCTGGGTCAATATTGGAAGAATATACTGACCCATCAACTGTTTCTGCAATGAAACAGAAGGGGACATGGTCTTCAACATCACTGTCACTTGGTGTCCATTCTACGATCATACTTTTGGTTGTACTGGATCGAGTATTTAAAGTGAACCTTCTAGTCATATTGGCTGGACCACTGATTTGAAAATCTTCTATTCTAAACGGAGAAAAAAGAAACACAAATAAGAATCATAATCGATGAAAAACAGCAGTTTATTTTTTTATTTGAAACCACGTTTAGCTTCACAAATTAGCCATTCCTGGAAAACTTAATTTTTTTTTATTCCATTGAGAATTTTCCACAACTACTAATTTACTTTCTTTTTTAAGTGAATAGAACACAAAACACTGCTTGCCGTACCTGTCGTGCGTTGCCTGCGCGGAGAGGTGTAGTTGGAAGGGTGTTCTTGCTCTGGCACGTAGAGTTTCACCTTGATTAGGTGTCGGAGAAATAAATTTTGGTCTGAAGACGCCGTATTCACAGGACCCTACATTGCTGGTCACTGGAAAAAATCAGATGTGATTAGTTGCTATGATAATGATGTGTAGCAGGCCCTCACATAGACGGTTGCTCTCAAAAGTGGGAATTGTTGGGAATTCAAAGTGAATGTCATCTGTAAGGCCAAAGTAGCGAAATTGTAAGTGTAGATTACTTGGAGAATCTTTCCAGTCTGCCTCGGATAGCAGTACAGGTAACCATAAACATAAACAATGAGATAAACTTTAATAAATCTTTAGAGCAATGTAGAGCACAAAATTAAATGGAGGGAAACTGTGATCGTTCACTGCCATTTACGTCATTGAGTAAAACGTGACGAATCACCTATAACGTGTGCTAACTTATTAAAACATGTTTGTTTTGCGATGCTCCTACTAATTTTAAATGTATTTTAAAGTTTTAGCAAATTATATCAAAATTCAGTTCCCCTTTTCTTTAGATTATGGTTAAAGTCTGGGGACAGGTGTGCATGCTCTGAGCTGGGGAGTGGAGGCGATGGGAGAGGAGGCAGACAGTGGGGGGTGAACAGAGAGATGGGGGGAAGATAAGGGCTTTATAGGGAGGCAGGGGTGGCAGGCAGGGGGCTATTAAAAGAAAGAGGGAGATGAAGCTTCCCCTTGCACGTACGCTCTCATTGCTGACTGTAATTGGAGCAGATGACAGATGTATTTTCGGCACAGTATTGACATTAGGCAGTCCGGAACTGAGTTTCAAACTTCCTTAACTTATGTGTGCCGAAGGTGCAAATACATCTAAATGCAGAAATGCTGCACTAATAGATTCCTACCACCATGGCCACTTCTAAAAGCTGAAGTGGTCATGGTGGCTGGAGTAACTCTTTAAGAATATCCACGTACTGCGTACATCCCTTGTACACAAATACACACTGCTTCCACTACACACAAACACACTGCATCACCTACACAAACTGGTATCCCTATACACTACATACCATAAGCACGCATATTAGATCATCTACAATAACACATAACACATCCCCTACACACTCCACTCCCTGTGAGCGAACGCATGGGTGGGTGGAACATATAACTGGACTTATGAGTGGGCCTTGTGGGCATACTCACCGTCAGGCCCTGGGGCCCAGACCTTGAGCTGTGTGAGGGGCCCCCAAAAAATGGAGCTGCTTCAAATTCTCCCAGAACATTGAATTTTGTGACCACAGTTACAAACAGCGTCCAGAGATCCTGATCTATACCAGACCAGTGGAGCCAAACTGCAGCCCATCACCATCCTCATCTGGTTGTAAGTAGGCAATCTAGTATATTAGTGACACTAATCTATAATTTACCTCACATTAAAGGGACACTATAGCTTAATGAAGTGGTTCTGGTGTCTATAGCTGGTCCATGCAGGCTTTTTAATGTAAACACACACGGTGTGCAGCACTGGCGTTAGTTCATATGGCAGATCATATGGGTGGGGCATTGTGATGTCACATGGGGGGGGAGCAAATTTTTCTTTTGTCTAGGGCAGCAAAAATCCTTGCACCGGGTCTGATCCTGGGCAGGTGCACCAGTCTACTGGTGATCCACAGGAGGGGAGTGCACTGATTGCACTGCACTCTCCTCCTGCCCAGACCCATCTTTACCGCAGTGCAAGTGCCCTCTGCCCCTAATTTACAGTGGCTCACACTCACAGCAAGCAGTACCTGGAGCCCTTTGCAGAGATGGGAACAAAGAGGTTCTGCGGCAGCTGGCCGTCCTGCAAGCATTACATTAAACAGCTGTTGCCCATGCAGCCACAGGTGCCGCTGTGCTGGGAGAATGTGATTACTCTTCACTTCCTCCCAGCCTACAGAGCAGCGCATGGGAGAGAGAGAGGAGGAGGCATGATTTAATCTTACAACAAATCCACTAAGCAAATCTTTATAAATTTGGGGGGATCAGCTCTGTTTCCACAGTTTATTGGTGTTTACTCTGATGTCTGTATTAATATTGAGGGATTTCTAAGTAGTAACATCAGTGTGTGTCAGCAGGGCCAGCCGTTGGGGTGTGCAAGCTGTGCGGTCACGCAGGGTGCCATGACAACAGAGGCGCCCGGCGGCCAACACAGCTCACAAGTTGGGGACACCAGCATATTCAATTTAAACGATTCGCTGGTGGTCCACTGGTGCGCACCAGCAGTAGGTGCAGTCAGATTATAGCCTCTCCCTCGTGGTTCCGGCGCTCAGTTAGTGAGTCAGAGCACAGGCTCAGAGATTCTCAGCCTGCGCTCTGACAACATTGAAAGTCAGAGCTGTGAAGGAGCGGGTATGGCAAAGAGCTACTGATTAGCATAACATCAATATCCGTTATAAAACCAGGAAATGGTGGGCATGGAGAATGAACTGATTTGGTGGTGCAATGGGCCACTTGACTGGTTTTGCCCCCACAGGCCTAAGGCTGCCAGCCCTCCCCTGCACCTGAATATTATTATTATTTATAAAATGCCATCATATTCTGTAGCGTTGTGTAGTTGGAATACCATGTGAAACGAACACAATATGGCAAACAAGTTAAGGTAATCAGAAACATGTAGATTGGAATACAATCTGATACAATAGACATATCTACCTTCCACGATGAACTGAAGCGGTATCTTGCTTAAGCTGTTGAAACTGGGTTCATCGGCTGTAAAGGCTGTTTCGCTGCCAGTAACGATATTTGTTGTAGTCTGTGGAAAGTGCCATTCTGGAGTTGTTTCTAGCAATGTCACATCATGTGTGTGGTAAGTTTCTGCCGTAGTCCGATAAGATGATTCTGGAAACCTATCTGTAAGAACTTCTGAAACTGGCTTAGTCTCTGTTACCACAGTAGTATCCTCTAAAATACTCTGTGTTGTATCATATTTATCATCCTCTGCTGCTGTACTGGGATATATATCTGGAGTACTACTTTCTGGAGTATTTTCCAGAGTACTCAGAAGAGTGTCCCTTGTAGTATGCTTTGGAATATTTTCTGCAGTAATCAACTCAGGGATTTCTGTAGTATCAAGTCTGGTCTGCTCATCTTCAGTAATAAAACTGTGAGTGGAAGTGGGGTCATGGGTCGGAGAGACGGTTTCAGTGACATAACCAATATCTGTTGTAGTCTGTAATAAGTACCAGTCTGCAGTTGTTTCTACTCCTGTCACATCAATTGTCTCTCTCATAGTCTCATAAGTTGATTCTTTTGTTACGGATATTAATTCAGTCACTGTTGTACCATATACAGCTGTACTGTCATATATAGTACTATCTGGAGTATTACTTTCTGGACTATTTTCCAGAATACTTGAAGTTTCGTCATCAAAGGTAAAATGATCAGTTACGCTTGTGTCCATTGTGTCTGTCATTAAATCAGAAGTTACATCGGTGTACGAGTCAGTCCAGTAATACCAGCGTGATTGCTTTGGTACCGAACGCCTGTTTCGGACATAAGGCCTGTATTTGTAGATAACCGAGCCATCAGTGTGTGTAAGATAAATATCTCTTCGGGGGAAATCTTCTAAAACCAGCTCAAACACGTAGGAGCCAATGGGCATTGAAAAGAGTAGTGACAGGACACAGCTCTCCTAAAAAATAAAAATACGTTTATGTAAGAATATTGAGCGTGATGGATTCATGGTATGCAGGAAGGGATACGACAAAATAAGTTATTGAAAAGACATTGTAAGCATAATAAAAACCCCAGCTCACTAACTCCTTGGGTGCAGACCCTCTAGCTTCTGTTGGGTCATTTTGAAGTGATTTGACAAATAATAATTATCCCCAGTTAATAATAGTCCTCTTCTGCCACTTGGAAAATGCAGGTTTCATTTCCACATTATCCGCCCATATCTGCCCAAGCTGCCTCCATCAGTCACAACCTTTTATTGACATCCAGACATAGACAAAGTTAAACAGAAAATACAAAACTCAAAGTATTATCTGAGGAGTGGACAAGAGGCCAACCTTCACAAATGGTTTCACAAAGATTGATGAAGTTGCACCCATGTGCCATAACTACTAAAGATTCCCTAGTGGTTATGGTGTTTGGCCTAGATTTTGCTTATCTGTTTGTCAGTTCTTCACAATTCACATTCAAATGGCTAAACTCCCACGTGTAGTTCTGTGTATGCATAAAGCGTGAAGGCATGTGTATGACTGCATATTTGAGTACATGTATTGGCATACAGGGTTCATCACTAAAGTGAAGATTGTTGGGAATTTAAAGAAGTGAATTCACTGCGAATTTCAAATTTAAGGCCAAAATAGCCAAACTGGAAAAATTCTCCAAGTCAGGTATGCTTCCAGTTTGGCAACTCTCAATGCACAGAATTAGGTAGCCCAGAATAGCCAGTGTCATGTGTGCTGGGGGGCAAATAGCACTCAAAACAATAAAAAATAACTCACTATGCGCAATGTTTAAAGCAGAAATACTGCGCATACATACTCTTGCCACCATGACCACTTCCAGTCACTAAAGTGGTTATGGTGGTTGGAGTAATCATTTAAAAATCTCAATTATAAAGGATTTTTTCTTATATTATATTGTACAAACTATTTAATACAAAGTACTGTTGGACAGGAAGCTTGTGATCGAACACTCACTTTGTTTAAATTAAAAGCAGGATGCTGATAACAGGTTACACATTCTCCAGCCCAACGATCTCCATATCTGCATTGCACGATGTCACCGTCAGGATCATTGGCCATTAAATTGAAGGAGGTCGGACAATTTTGAGGAACCCTTAATTACAAAAACATGAATTTTATTTAAATGGAGGATTCTGTTCTTCAGATGAATATTGCTCGATCTGAAAAAAATTGCCATAATATTATGTATGCATTTAAAAGACATCATGATTGTAACCTGTCGTGATTACAAATAATTCAGCCTTGCATGGGTGATAAAGCTAACTTGATTTACTTTTCACAAATAATCAAATATATATTTGTTAAATATAGATGATAAGTGAACATCGTATTATAATTCTGGGACGTGCGAGTTTTGCTTTAAAGCAGGTGGCCCATACATAATCAAGCACTGTTAGAAATTGTTTTTTGTACCTGATTTTTGGTATTATGGTGGTCACAGGTGAACTGTTTGGCTTGGCGTTGTCAGAGCGAGTTCCCAAATCCACTGCAGTTATAAGACTCCATCCACTGGCGCCAACATGATTACTAACCCAACAGCAGCTGATATCACTGGTGACAAAAAAAATGGTTTTTATTGTCAAATAAAATGTATACAAACTTAATATGAATGGACTAAGGTAAGACCTTTAACCTTGAAAATATTAATTTCAAGAATAAACATAAGATTTGTTTTTATGAACCAGAATCGCTCTAAACCATTATAATATGGTACACAAGCTGTATTTAGTGTTTTTTGCTGTGTATGGCCACATATAGAAGTCTGTATGTTGTTCGATTCATTTGGACCACACATGATAAAATGCTTATATTTAAGCTATTTTGCAATTAATTTAGCATTTTGTGAAATCAAACATCTTGTCTCTTAATGCTAATGCTGAAGTTTCATGATGGACGCTGGATTGCGATCTTCGATGAGATCTCTGGGCACAAACAGCGGTGTCGGGACTCCAACTTTGCCCACAAAGTGATGCATAGTAGATTAAAGCCTATCATGGCTTTGTGAGTAAATTTGATTGGTAACTGAAACTGTGTCTTGCTTTAATGGAACACTTTACCCCCATATTAGAATTTTTTTTTAAAATCATTGTTTATTAGATACAACCCCATTAAATACATTAATGCATTCATTGGGAGTATATCTTAAAACAGATTGCAAAAGTGGCAGTTCTTATGAAGGGCACGCTCTTCACACATGAGTGTGCCTGTTCATGCATGCACATTTGCTTGTGCGCACGTACGAATAGCATACTGAACTGAGATCCTGGTGCTGGTTAAAGGTTTGCAGAGGGGAAGGCAGGCACGCTCAAGTAGAATGCATCTGCCACTTCCTTAAGCTCAGGGGAGCTAACAGAAGCAGGAAGAAACCCCTCTGGCTGTTTGATTGACAGCCAGGGTGGGTGTTCCATTAATCATTTATAAAAGTGTTGATTTCTAATAGAAGTCGGCACTTTTATAAACTGTCATTATTATGGGATATTTCTCACTGAGATTTATACTATGCAAATGCCCCCCAAAATATTAATCTGTTTCTGCAGATGGATTCCCACTTACCTGAGCTGAAATGGTTTACTGCTGTATAAATGCCTGACAAAACGACCCTCCGTTTGGTACCACTGGTTTGGATATGAGCTTTGCTCCACAAGTTCCGAAGTCCTATGTACCTCGTAGCCACAATCTCCTGAATAGCAATACCAGGTAATCTCATAGTCATTCTGAAAATTGAATGCTGCTTTATATTTAAAATAAACCTAAAATAAATAAATAGTAGTTTTGTTATCTTCAGTTTATTGTGCAATTGTGAATCAAAAGTACAAATTGCTAGTTTGACTTGCTGTAGGGTTAAACCAGCTTTTGATTCTGAGGTCAGTAAAATAACTACAATTAAGGCCTCGATTTAATATTTTTGGATAAGCTTTACAAAAGATTTAATGTTTTTTAAAGAAAATATCAAAATCTCCTGTTAGACTATGCTCAATGACCAGAAAGTCTGAAACAAAATGTATTAAATGTCCAGCTGTAAATGGAGGTATGTACCATTTCCGTTTCTGAGGTAGTCTGGTAATTTGAAAATTCTGGAAGGAATCCCAACACCATTTCACCACACACAAATTGCAGAGTCTCTCCCTCGGACACAATTTTATTTTTTTGTTTATGCTGGGTCCTGTCCCCAACCACAATTACCCTAATAAAATATTTAATGCATGTTGCAGGTCTGAAGCCGACCAGACCCTCCCTCTTTTTCTGACAAAATTACAATATTTGTTTAACATATAAAGAAACATTGGCAAAACATTTTCATCAAACTGAGAAAAAAAATTCATATTGACTATAGAACTCCCATTCCAAAATTCAAAATTCCTCCCTGTTGCCGACCACGGGTAACCCGACTGGTTACCTCCGCTAATTCCTTCTCTCAGCTAGACTGGAACCATGAAAACATGCAGACATCCATTCCCTCAGTAACTAGATGAAACATAGTTCTGGGAGTCAACTGATTTATTTCAGGCCACACACGGTTTTTATGCACAAACCCCTACATGGGGTCTCCCACAAAACAGTACAGGGTTTTTCTTCCCTGAGAGCTAATTGCGTGAGAAAAACTATAACTCTATCTCTCTAAAATGTTTTAAAAAATACCTCAATTATCTCTCAGGTGCGTAAAAACATACATAAAATATACAGTTTGTAGTTTCCATCTCCCGAACATCGTTCTCATAGTTGGGCGGGAAATAGACGGGCAGTGGTATAAGTTTTACCGGGGCTCGTGTGAGTGCCTAGCCAAAAAGTGGTCCAGGCACTTGATGACCAAGTACCACTGCCCACGTTCCGGAGACAAAACGGCCGCCACTCTTTTGCCATCCACGTGCATTCGGTTATACGAAATGGTGGCCACCCAGGGGAGCATTCATTAATTACTTCCCTTGCAGTTTCGCACTTAGTTTATGAGGTGAGAATGTTCTAACGGGGTACCAAGGCGGTCCTCGTTCGGGTGGTCCTCGAGTTGAATGCAGAGTGTTCGGATAACATAACTCCCGAAAAGAAAAAGAGAAAATATTCTAAATATAAACTGTTCCCCCTCCAATCCTGCCTGGCTAGTGGCTACTTTGTCCTTACATTTCTGCAGGGAGGGATCAAATGCTACCTTCTTTTTGTACTCTGCAGAGGTATCCCAGGGAAGGAGGACCGGGGCAAAGGGAAGGGAACATGTACTTACCTGAGCCTCAGAGTGCAAGTGGTCCTGGGTGGTGCGGGCCTGTTGTCTGGTCATCACAGGATATAATTCCTCGATATTAGCTTGAGGTGCAAAAGTGGAGGTTAGCTGCCCCGAATCATTGACGAGTAGCACTTCTGCTGGGAGATGGTTCATAAGTCCCACTTCACACATCCCATTTCTGGCGCCCTAGTCTAAGTGAACTTTTGCAGTTGGTAAGCGGTATACCGCTCCTCCTGCTACCCGGACTGCCACAGTTCCTCCGGTCTTCTCCGCCTCGGTGATAAGCCGGTGGTGGACGAGGGTCAGTGTGCAAAGCATAGGGCCTTACCATATGTGGCAAGAAGGGCCTCATAACACCCGTAGATAATGCAGGCTGTGTAATGCATTTTTGTTTTTTAATATGGGTCTCACATTTAGCTCACTGAAGGGCCTCCTGGGGGGTTTCTCACTTTAACCTAGTCTCTGTGCATATAGGCAACTCACTTACTGTTCTACTATACTCATTCCTAACATTTAGAAATACGTGCTGATCCCAATATGTACACTTTATTTTCTGTGTAAAATCATACCATGATTGTTTCAATAGTGAATACTATGCACCCTCTGATATTACTATGTACAACAAAAATTCAAAATTTAAAAAAAAAAATGAAAATAATAATACCGCAGTTTATTTATTCATTTTTTTTTTCGTTTTTGCTTATAATGAATTTACTGGCTTAAATAAATATAGATGAATTTTTTTCGGTTATACTTTTTTCTTAGTTTTTTTCCAAACCATTTTAAATGTTGTAAAACATTTATTTCAGCAAGCATGTTAACGTAATGGCAACATTCCAACACCTTAAATGTTTGTTTTTTTTGTTTGTTTTTTTAAGAATTCTGTAATGAAGGGCTAATTGTTCTCAACATAAAATTACTGGTGTTTAAAATTCCTCACCGTCTTTTCAAAAAAAAGAAAAGAAAAACTAAACCACATTTAAAAAATCTAATCAAACCGTATCTCACATCTGAAATGTGAACTATTAGGTATATAAAGTCAATCTTAAATTGTAAAAGGTGAATTAAAAACATAGCTGTGGCTATTTTTGCCTAAAATTTTAAATTCGCTTTGAACGTACGTACTCAAAATTCACAACAATTCCCACTTTACAGGATTAGTTACTAAAGTGAAAATTCAAAGTCAATTCAAGGAAAATGTTTAATTTTACTCCAAAGTAGCTGAACTGGAAACATAGCTGATTTCGATCATTTTTCCAATCGGCAATATTGACCTTAACTTTAGATTTCACTTTGAATTCTCGATTTAGTAAATATAACCTTAACAGTCAGAAACCCTGTTTGTGAATTACAGTGCATACATTTTTTGACTTTTTTTTTTTAACTCTCTTAAATGCAATCATAAAACTGTTTGTAATTCTATCATTATTTATTATTAATCCCTTTATTGACTTACCGCAAATGTCCCGTCAGGATTTTTCCCCCTGGGTCTGAACGTTATGAGACCCCCTTGCATGTGAGAACCCGTAACTGTTGTAAGTGCATGCAAACACAGAATTAACACTTCCCAGGATGGCATTTTTACATGCTAACCCAACAAAGAGAAACATTATAAGACAAGAAGCCTTTATACCTATTGGCTTCAAGGAAACATAGATCTCGATCTTTGCATTGTGAAAAAAAAAATCATAAACCAAAGATAGCTTGTTTAACATGCTGCACGCAGACATGACTTGGCTCCATATAAACTTCAAAAAACATGTACATAACGTAGCAAAAAGAGGAAGCACATTGTAATTTATACTGTTTAAATGATTTTACTGTGCGCTTGATATTGTCGTGTTCTTATGTTGAATTGTTGAATAAATTGTTGCTTTCACAACAGTTCACTCTTATTGAAGATTAGTCTATCTTCAAGTGCAATATATCAATTTATTATAGAGCAGAAAATATGATAAAGAATTCTGGGAATAACAAACAAAGATTTAATGTAACTGAAAGTGATTATATATGTATAAGTACATGTGTGTGTGTGTGTGTGTGTATATATATATATATATATATATATATATACATAAATGTCATATACTAAAGGTAGGCATGAATTTGTCTCATTTTTTACATATACTTTATTTAAAGGAACAATTCAAAACTGTATTCCTAACACTATAATGTCTCTGTCCCTCACTTTAGTTCTGTGCACCCCTGTGACAATAAATGGGTTAAACCCCTTTTTTCATCTACATTAGAGCTGGATCACTCTCCTCCTCGAGCAATGTCGTTCTTATACTAATGCGCATGTACAGAATGAACACTTAAAAAAATCTCTCCCCAAGACAGCATACATTTTCTGCTCCTTCTGTTTAAGAATGGATGTCTACGGTAGGATAATGGAACGCTTATACAATCATCTATAGTCACACAGGATACTTTGGCCCTGGACTATTTTCTTCTGGTTGTAACATTTGGAATCCCTTGATTTCTCCAGGAATTGCCCAAGATCTCCGCAATGTAGTGTAGTTTTATTACTCCACCTTCTTATTTTAAATGCCTACAAACCCCTGATTACCCTCCACCTCTTCTCTCCCTTGTTCTTTTGTCTTCTTTCTTTCCTCGTTCTTTTTTTTACCTCTTTTTTATGGTATCTTGGCGATATGCCCCCAAATATTGCTTAGATCAGTTGTCTATATCTAATGATGTATCCGTTATAAACATTCTATTTTTATTTTTAGACTGTTATGATAATAACTATGCTATGAAGACACAATACGCATGTCAGGGGGATATGAAATATATCCCACCTTTAGAGCCTCCTTGAGTTTTCCCATTAGCCTAAGTTATTGTTTGTTTGTGTTCTTGAAGCCTTATTCTCTATATGCTTTTTTCATTATATTGAAATGAGGTATTTCTCTGCTACGTTCTATTTTTTCACTTGTTTTACTTTCACCCTAATTTGCATACTTGAAATTATTTCTAATGAACATTAATTAAAATATATGTAAAATGTATTTATAAAATATTTTACCAGGAAAGATACATTGAGATTTCTCTTGTTTTCAAGTATGTCCTGGGTCCACAAAACACTGAATGATACATTATGGTACAATAAAATACAAAAACAATATTAATACACAATATATACAAAATTTAACAAAGAACAGGTAGGAAATATATAATCAACCATAACACGTGCATTCTGTTTTGAGGTATGTAGAGAGGGATCTCTTAAAGGACTTTAGGCTTGGGGAAGATTTTAAAGTGTGCGGGAGGTCGTTCCACAATTGCGGCGCTCTGTAGGAGAAGGAGGATAATAAATAATTAGGATGAACGAAAACATCCCAGTTAACAATGTCATTTACAAAGTTGTTCACTAAAAGGGAATTACAAGCTGTAGATCAAAATATCTAAATTCAAATAAAACTTTGTAGGTCGTCTAGTTTGACATTAATGCACAATTACTGATTAAACAATAACCACATTTGTGTCAGTTTTGCGTGGTAAAACCAGGGTGCTATACCTGGTCTGGTTATTATATGACATAATTTATATTTGAAATCCCTGGGCACGCCAAGTTATTGTAACATAAGTATAAAACAAGCAATTCTAAGATTTATTGTGCCCCTTAATGTGGCAGTATTTAAATACATTATAATTCCATCTGTAACTCAGTGTGCGTGAATGGTTGCAGAATGGTTTAGATATAGGACATTGGTGATTTATTGAGCATATTATGGCAACTTTACTGATTGAAGTGTGAGAACTTTCTAAACACATCGTCTTTCCTGTTATTAATGTGAAAGTGCGTCATTTATAGCTGGTCTGCAAGAAAACAACTTTATCTGAGCGACAGTATAATATAGAAAAAGTAATAAATTATATGGACACAACATAAGATATGTCACAAAACAGAGCTTAAGACTAATTATACACAATAAAGGTTCTGTACTATGTGCTACTGCATGCCGGAACGTAAAAGTGGGGCAGTCACACAGGAAAACATTAGAATCTTTTTTTGCATACTGCCTTATTTTTAAATGTATATAATATTTGCAAATAAAACCTCAGTCACATTTGTTGAACATTGGTTTTTGGTCTACCATACCGTTCCCTCATTCTTTGAGGATTTGCAAGGACCCTGATGTCCTTAGTAGTGATGCAGTTTACTAAAAGTGGCAAAAGACTATAAAATGAAGTTCTGTATTTGAGAACAATGACCACATACAATAAATATAGTTTAATCATATATTTCTAAAATAAAGATATTTAAAACTACTGTAGTAATCTTTACAAATCTCTGGACTGCTAATGTAATGCTGACAGTGAAATGGTCCATCCACTACTACCCCTCCTTGATTGTAAGAATGCTGACAGTGAAATGGTCCATCCACTACTACTCCTCCCTGATTGTAAGAATGCTATCACCCAGTGAAACTTCCTGTGCTGTTTGAAAGAAGGGGGTAGGCTTACATTTTCATCAACTTTACATTCATTATATTAGTAACTAGTGGCTCCAGGCGGAGAAATGTGTTCTTCTACAGGCTTGCAATAATAACTAGATTATACATGAGGATGAGTGAGGCTAGATTTTATACTGTAAAATTCATCAACACAGAAATGTTTATTCTTGATTTTGGTATTGAAAGGGTTAAATAAAGCCAGTAAGGGTCAATATGATATTAGTGCCAGGATGGAGGTGAGGTTAACACATGCCCCATTTCCCCACACAACCATGCTCTGACTTGGGACACATCCACTAAACTGTGAGCAACCAGAGACTGTTCACTGTCATAAAAGGGATAGTGACCGGGCTGCAGTTGTTACCCAGTACCTAGTAACATAGAGGGCAGGAGGCGGTGTGAATGCATACTTAACATTAGATGTCTTCTTTCGTCTTTAAACTTCTTTTTTAGGCCCCCACCCCCCAACAAAGCAAAACAAGAAATCATGGATTCCAGATGTACCGTAACTTGAAAAATAAAAAAGGACTGTATCTCAAATAATTTTTTTTTTTTTTTTTTTAAACCCACAAAAAAAACCACTGTGACAAAAATGATCCACGTTTGCCCATCGAGAGACTGAGTTTGCAGTGTGGGACAATGTCAGTATGTCAGTGTGTGCATTGGTGTGTGTGTTGTGTGTATGTGTGCGGCAGTATATGTGTATATGTGCATACATCTCAGCATTCAAACGCAAACACTATATACAAACACACCTCTGTATAAAAAGGACATTATATATATATATACACACACACCCCTGTATTTAAAAACCAACACTACACACAGAGGCATGCCTGCACTCAAATGCCAACACTATATACAAACACCCCCCCACATTTAAGCACACAAACACTACTCAGTGCTGATATTAGAATGTAAGCTCATTATTGCAGGGTCCTCAACTTTCTCTCTTTCTGTGCATCCAACTCATCTGGTTACAAATACTTGTCTGTTAGTCCACCCATTGTACAGCTCTGCGGAATTTGTTGGCGCTTTATAACTACTGATAATAAAAATATTAATAAAACAAGCCTGCAAGGATGGGCAAATGGTAGTTCCCTCGCTGTCAAAGCATTGTGGGACTTGTACGACAGATGGGATCTACCTTTTGGACACCTCTGCAATAAACTCTTGCACCAATGCCCTCTCTATATTAGTTTTGATATAATATATATATATATATATATTTTGTATTTTTACATGCACATATAACATACAACATATGTATGTGATCTGTGATCCCCCCCATATATTGCACAATGCCCCACTGTGCATTATCACATTTTAAACAATCAATCAATTTGTTCACAAATATTCTTTATTTAAAAAAACAGTGTACATGTAATTTATTATCTTCATCTACAGATTACATTTTAGCCATTTTACAAAAAATGATACAACATGTAAGAATACTCTTTAAATTGATAATTTACAGTATAGATAATGTTACCAAACATATAGATACGTATTTCAGTGCTGACATCATAGTGACAATTCTTACAGCTTTGCGACACATGTATATTTTACATTTAAAAAATATTTCCGTTATCACGGAAGTTAGAGTCCATTTCACAATTCCTCTGTGGAGAGCCTCTGGTAATTGCTGGTTCTGGCTTTCTTCTTAATAAAATATGTGGTCGTCACAACTAGGGCGACAACTGCGACTCCAGATAAGGACATAATCAGAGTGTTAATGTTCAGTGCTACCTTCCCCTTGGAATCTGCAGAAGACAATATGTAATAATGTCATTATATAATTAGAAATAAAATGAATGAAATAACATATTATTACATAAAGGAACAGATGTCAAACATAAACGTGGCTTTATCTACTAGTGTGTATAGTAGGCTACAAGAAGACAAAAATTATAACGGGTTATTGTTGTCCTGGTATTTAGAAAGTGAACTACTTAGATGGAACTTATATATTAATGATTTTTTTTATTTTGTAATTTTTTTAAATTTATTTATCATAGTTTATTATTTATATATAAGTTCCATCCCAGTAGTTCACTTTCTAAATTCCAGGACTCGAGACACCCCCCCCCCCCTCTCTAGGGATCTCAGGTGATGTTTTGTTTATATATAATTAGGGTACAAGCCCAGGTAATATTTCGTTTATCGGTTTCCTGGGAGATATATAAACATGTTGGGAAAATCTGCTATAAGATAAAGAACACTTTGTTATAGGAACACTAAGTGTCCAACGTAAAGTCGACAATGCATTTTGCTTTTAAGACTATATTTTACTTCTTTCAAGCCAAATTGTTCAGATTTTAAGTAATACAGAAACTTATGGAACACAACCTAAAACTTGAATGAGGCCTGAGTGGGGTCTAAATGAAGGCCAAGCTACGAGTTTTTGCCTGCGTTCTCATACATTGTATACTGGGTTACTAATTAAATGCAAAGGCGACTTGTTTGACCACTCTGACATCAGACTGGTTGGAATGTTAAGGAAACATCCCAAAATAAATCACTACTTGCTAGGGACCTCCATGTTTCTCTTTGTCTTACATTTCCTTAGCTTTCCTGATGTACGTCAGTTTTAGGGATTTTCTTGGTGGTCTAGTGGAACAAATCAGTAAGATCGATGCCATTTGTAGGTGCAGATCTCACTGCCTCCTCTCACAGAAATTCTTTGGGACACATAAACCTCTGTTGCCGTTGACCCTAATTAAGCTTACCAGTACTGAAATAATCTCTGTTCTAGAAATCTCATTCAGTGAGCCTGTCCTTACCTTGGTTGAGTGACTGTCTCTTCAAACGCAAAGGACCCTGGGAAATGAAGTGCTGCAGTGACTCAGTTGCCTCGGCTGTTAGTGACCTCTTACGGCGACTTGTGTCGGTTTCTGCCAATGACTTGGTGACACAACCCTGAGCGCAGCGTGTGTTTGGGTCCCCTACCTTGCATAGCATGACCGTGCAGCTCACATAAACCTTCACAGAAAGACAAATGCTTTATCAGTGCTTATTTTGTAATTTATTTGGGTGATATTCAATGAAAACAAAATATAAAATCCCTTTTTATTCAATGATAGCTGTTTTAGCCTGCAGCATCTGCAAGTTAAATGAGTATTTGTTAATTGCAGTGATGGCTAGGTACTTTGTAACCAAATTGCAAGCTGTGTGTACCTCTTTCGGTGCACGCCTTTGAATTTCTGTACATTTGCTTTGTTTCTTTGTGATTGAAGATAAAGCCAATGCTTGTAAGCAATGATTGTCAGTGATCACAAAGCGTAGAATTGCACCTATTGGCTCTCAAACAGCTATCCTTCAAAGGCAATATGAGGAATATTGTGTGCCAATAATTCTATGCTATGCCTATTGTCCTGAAAGGGAATAATTTCTATATGCTGAGCATGTAATAAGAGAGCCGATCAGGTCTCTCCATAACAATAAACACAAATAATAATAATAAAAAAAAAAGTTTAGGGCCCCCGGGAAGTCTTTAGGGTAGAGACCAGTTATTACATAAGGGACAGTCACACATCAGATATGTGGCCCCATAAAGGGCCCGGGAGATATTGCTGTTTGCAGCTGTGATTGACAGGTTTACACCTGCTAATTCCATAGTATTGTGTTTTAGAGCAGTGCTCCTCAACCCTCTTCTCAAGGCACACCTAACAGTCCAGGATTTAGGGATTACCCGGGTGTGTCTAAGGTGTTTAAAAAACCCGGGTAATCCCTAAATCCTGGACTGTTAGGTGTGCCTTGTGCAGAGGGTTGAGGAGCACTGCTTTAGAGCACTAACTAAAGTGAAATATATCTGCTAGTCAAGTTGAGTTATGGTCAGAAGCCAGCTTGAGAGCAATGTTAGTAAATATCACGGGTATTTAAACTGACTTCAGGGTTAGCATGACCATTCACAGATTAATGGTACTCACCTCTTTATAATTCCCAATGAAGGTAAATGTCTCTAATCCAAATCTAGACCTTGTCCTTGTACCTGGGTAAACTACCAAGGTTTCATCCTGTAAACACCTAGAAGGAGATTAATCGCCATTAGATAATATATTATTTGTATACGCAAACACCACTGCTAGCTATGGACTTTGATTTGCAATGTCACTCACTCATACACAGGTAGGTCTTGACTTACACAATCTACATACACTGCACACTGTCTCCAGACACATAACACTGCCCCCCTACTGGGACTATTATATTTTTTACCTCTCCTTCACAGGTCATTAGACCTGAGCACAGACAATTATTAACTGTTAATTGATTGTGTGCACAGATAAGGACCATACCTGACTCTTTTATTAATGTTCTCTACAACCTTATGTCAGTTATGTCGTAAAGGGCTACACCAGGTGGGTTTTCTAATGAATACACAAAAATTAGACCAGACCATAAATCCATTAAATAATAAACACAAAAATTAACATACCCATTTTCTATGATGTTATAAAACACAGGATCGTTGGGATTGTCATGCGGGGTGGCCTTGCAGGATTCCACAAACAACTGGATATTGTTTACAGAAGACATTACTTGTATCTCCATATAGAGCATATCTCTCAACCAGACCTCCAGCGGAGATTGTGTTTGTACAGTTGTAAACTGGTCACTCGTGTAGAACTGGAACTTGTAGGTGAAGTTACCAAATCCTGCCTCCGTGAACTCAAAAATAGCTTTTTGAGGACGAAATGAAACAGAAAGGCGGTTCTCTTTTGGAAAGGAGCAGTTAAAGGGAATTATCACCTGGTGCTTCCTTGTAATGACAGCCGTGATATTATCAAATGAAGTCACTTGGTTTTTAAATACAATGCTATCTTCTGTTTCCTAAAAGAACCAAATAGAAGGAAAGATTAAATATTTAGTACATGTTTCTAAAATCTATATTTGCAGGAGGCAAAATTTACCAAAGTTTCTAATTTGGTAACAGAAGACACAAATGGAATGTTTTGAATTCTAGAGTTCCATAGAGGGCGTCTTTAACATATGTCGTGCAATGCCAGTCAATACTCAATTTACTGAAAGAATATGGACTGCCCAGTGTGTTTTCTTTTAGAAGTTAACACCCAGAGCAATGCATTGGGAATGTCAAATCCTGATGTACATTCACTATTTATAACTCTCTCATGGTTATTTAGTAAAATGAGAATTGTTGGGAGTTCACTGTGAATTTCAAAGTTAAGGTAAAAGCAGACAAACTTAAAAAAGCCTCAGGTCAGCTTTGTTTCTAGTTTGGCTATTATGGCCTTAAATGTGAAATTCACTTTAAATTCCCAACAATTCTCACTTTAGTGAGTAACTCTGGCCATCTTATTTTAGTAAATATCATGGATATTTAAATTGACTTCCAGACATAACTAAAATTCAGCAGCACTATTTCTATTTAAGTTGCTTAGTAAATCAAGATATATACATCCCTGACGTGTCTCTCACAGATACATAATTCACAAATTTAGAGGGACACTCCACTGCCCAAGTCACTGTTTAGTAGGAACACCCAAAATAAAAACTTGCTGCATTTAATTATGCATTTTTCCATTGGTGTTATATCTAAAAACAGCCACCAATATCTCTTGTCTGCTACCTTTGCAAGCCCTCCCATTCTAACTCTGCCCAGACTTTCTGTGGCTGTCCAATCACATACTTCCCAATGCAGCTCAATGGGAAGTATTTGCAAGGCAGGTGCTCTGGGCAATTGGTGCCTCTTAAGTTCAGTGCAACTAAGCCAAAACAGGAAGTAACAGGACCTGTTGTCTGCTTGACAGCCAGGGGATGTAAGAACGTTAATTTATAAAAGTGCCAATTTCTATTGATATCTGTACAAAATAAAAACAATGGGACACACTCTTCAAACCTGAAGCTTTTCAGCAAGCTAAAGGACTTTAGGGGTCCGGAGTGTCCTATTAAATGTGCAAATATTATTAAAAGGAGGGGGACAAGAGTAAGAACTGTTTTATCTAGTTGCAGAATGTTACCTCGATTTGTGTGCCGCAGGAGTTAAATCCCACACTTGCAATGTGGTGCGTACTATTGGAGGTAAGCAGACATCGAGGATCATTCAGACGCAGGTGGTTTTCGTACAGACCATTTACCGAGGACTTTTTAATAAACAGAGTCATGGTGTTTTCGTTACATATCAAGCTGGTAGTCACTGATAAGACAGAGATAAAATATATATGCATATCAACAAATGTAGCTGTAAAACAATATATTATCCTATTATATTATTATCCCATTGTAATACCTTTCTAATGGACTAACAGAATTTGCAATGACAAGCCTCTCAGGCCCTTTGTTTAACGAGCCTACAGTATTAGGCATTTAAGTTTCTAAAGCTAGGATCTCCAAAGGCTTGTCATCTCAATCACTTGACTATTACAAATCTTCTTTCAACTTCGCCAACTGAAGCTTGTAGAGTTATCAGATTAATTTTTATTTAGTTTCTAGATGGGTACAGTTTTTATGTCGCTGGGTGATACACGAAAAGTTCTTTGACTGTTGAAGAATGGAAATCCCCTGATTTTTAAGTCAAACTATTAAGGAACAGTCTGGCACAAACCAGGGTTTTCCTAGTACCCAGTGACTGTTATCTCCTTGGCGACATTGATATTGCAGAATTAATATATCTGCATTAAAGGGTTACTCCAACCACCATGACCACTGAAATGATTTGAAGTGGTCGTGGTGATAGGAATCAGTGTGTGCAGTGTTTCCACTAGTTTCTCTGTTTCTCACTTTTGATTATGTTAGCCAAGGAGAAAGATCAGGGGCAGAGCCAACAGCAGCAGGGGCAAAGGAGGCTTTATAGTGTTTTTAAGATGTTTGTGTTCCTGACCCTATAGTGTTCCTTTAATTATGTGCTGGGGGCTAGTTACTCCCAGCACATGTGACATTGGCCGCCGAGAACTCTGCTCCCCACTGCATGCTGGCAACAGACATGAAAATCTTCTCTCATAGGCAGAGCGCACCTCCCTACTCCCTCTCTAAGGGTGCGCTCTCCCATCTCCCTCCATTGCTATCAGTTATCTTTAAAAATAAAAAATAAAAATTAAAAACCTCCCTCCATCTCCCCACTCCCTCATTTAGACTAGCTGATCATCATGGTAAATGTAGTCAGCAGTTAAAACCAGGACCAACGTTGCCCTTTGTAACAAAATGGCTCAAACATTCTAGAGAATGTGGTGGCCAACGTATATACTTGTCAGTTAAAATCTATGGTGCTATGGCCTACTAACAATATAAAGAATTAAGGCCTTTATTTCTCATGATCCTCTTTCACTCATGTCATTTTCACTGTTTTTAAAGAGTGCAAAACATACCAAGGCGGTAAGGTCCAACGATAACAATGATGCATCTTAATTCTGAATTGTATCTGGTGAAAAAAAAAAAAAGAAAGGACTGGTGAGAATAGGAACATATTTTGTTATTTCTTAGCTGTTCAATACGAGAAGACAATACTGACCCATTGATGGTTTCTGCTACAAAACAGAAAGGAACATGGTCTCCAACATCATTGTCCGTTGGTGTCCATTCTATGATCTTTGTTGCGCTGGATCCATTCTTTTTGACGGTATATTTAGTCATGTTGTAGGGGCCACTGATCTTAAAATCTGCTATGCTAAATATAGAAAATAAACAAAACATTACATAGATAAAAGCAAAGTGGCCAAGTAAGCAACTCGTTATTAACAGGTAATAAACTGACATCAAAGTATTAGATAGTTATAAATGTTCTAAAAACAGTTAATAAAGGTTAAAAGGTAGAGAATATAAGGTGTCTACTGTGTTTTATAATTGTATTGATAAGCGGCAGAGTTACGAGACTGGGCACCTGACGCGTAGAGTTATCTAGTTTATAGGTATAGTTTCCTCCTGAGTATATTTAAACTGATTTATATTTAGCAAAGGGTTTCTTGATTCCATACTGATGGTGCTGTCCCCTTTTGAACAAAGTGGAGAAGCTCCTTTTGATGTCCCCAATGTGTCCGAGGGGCTGATTTTCCCAGCTGTCTAAGTACAGCTGTCTAAGTCGTACATAGCCACCCAAGTTTGCAGAAGATGTTTATATGGGGTATCATTTGTTTAAGGGTTATAAAATATTTGTACAAACTTTATTGTACTATATATATAGATTAGACAGGAAGAAATCTTTACTTGTGTATAAGTGTACATATTTATGGTTACACAACACATTTATATGGGATCTTGTTTGCTTGTCTTCTGTCATTTTATACACAGATAGATTTGCATTCAGGCAATGTATTTATAGGGGTCCTTTTTCCCAATCATGCCGACCTCTATAATGTTTAAGTGGCCAGACCGAGCTCTTTACACAATTACAAATCCCAAGCAGATAGTTACTAGGTTACTCTAGGCAGATAATATCTGTACCTGCTGTGTGTTGCTTGAGCTGCGAGGTGTATCTGAAATGATGTTCTTGCCCTGGCATTAAGGATTTCACCATTGTTCGGTGTCGGAGGGAGAAACTCTGGTCTGTAGACTCCATACGTACACAAAGCTACTGAGCTAGTCACTGGCAAAGAACAGACAGACAATTAATCATGTAGAATATGTCACACTAAACTTAACGCATTAAGGGGCTTAACCGGTGGCACGAAGAATGATAACAGTTCAAATAAATGCTATATTGGATTACAAAACAGAACATATCACAATAAAACCATCTCACTTTCCTCTCTACTCATCCAGCAAAGAAATTAGTTTCTCTGCTGAACTCACGTCAGTTCTTCTGCTTTGTGCAGAGAAATTGTAGAAGAATTCATAATCTATCTTCGACACTCTACTAGAGCCCGCGGGGTTCTGAGACAGAGTAGGGAAGAGTAACTAGGAAGGTCTCAGAAATGAGAAGGACTAATGGACAGAGAGGAAGAGATAGAGAACAGAGTTAATGAAATTTAAAAAGTGTCACCGAGAGACCGAGAGGAAGGGAGAAAGAAAAAAAATAAGAGGAAAAAGAGCTGGAGGGAGAGGGAGTGAAAATGACCAGGTTATAAAGAGGAGAGGGGACTGGTGGCAAAGAGACCTGGAGAGAGTAATAAAAATGATTAGGAGATTAAGGAATACAGACTACTTTATAGACACGGGAAATAATGTAGGTGGAGAGCAGAAAATGAGTAAAAAACATGGCAATAGGATGAGACAAGAAAACATGGCAAAAAGGTGCTGGACATCGGAGCTGACAAGTTAAATCTGGGATAGAAAGAAAATTTAAGGAAAACGCTGGGGGAGAGGTAAGGGAGCAGTCTGACAGAAAGATAAACTAAGGAGTAGAAAGTGGTGTGGGCATCTGTTATATCATTTTGTATATCGTTATGGATGTATCTAATTGTTGTCAGGGATGGACAACCTTTGGCACTCCAGATGTTGTGGAGATATAGGTTGCCTACCCCTGGTCTAGTATATAAACTGGTTTTAAGTTCAAATTGTTCCTTCACCCTGGTAGTGTATTACACTCTTTCCATCCGTGACTCCCTGTATCACTTTCTCTGTGTGGATTTTACTGCAATACCCGTTTGGCCTTTTTTAAATTATTGCTCTATTGCAGTAGGTATTGGTGGTCTCTCCTGCCTAACACTGCCTGTGGTATAAATATATGTAGGTTTGTATCTACAGCAAACCAATAAAACATCATTCTTCATGTCTGTTTACTGTAATTGTACTTACCTTCCACCATAAATTGCAGAGGTATCTTACTTAAACTGGTTACTGTTGGGTCGAAGATACCAGAGTCTGTTTGTGGAACATAAGTTGTTCTTTGGATTGATGTTGTTACTCGGGAGGTTTCAGGTTCAACTGTAGTTAATTCCAGGATTTCAGTTTCTACTGCAGTTGATGCTGTCTTCGTGGTTTCAGTTTCTACTATAGTTGGTTCCATGATTTCAGGTACATCTGTGGTTCCAATTCCATGTGTATATAGCTCCATGATTCCAGTTACATATGTGGTTCTAATTCCATCTGTATTTAGCTCCATGATTTCAGTTATTTCTGGATACAGCTCAGGGGATCCAGTTATGTCTGAATGTAACTCTGTGTTTTGAGATTCTACATTATATGTCGATGGCCCCCACCACCAGCGTGGACTCTTTGACACAGCACGCTTTTTGCGAATATAAGGTCTGTATCTATAAGCAACCGAGCCATCGCTGTATCTAAGATTAATGTTTTTTGTGGAAAAATCTTGCAATACCATCTCAACCGCATAGATACCCCTTGGAGTTGCAGAGGACAGGGACAAAATACAGTTTTCCTGATGTAGGAAAAAACAAAAAGAATTATTTTTGTAGTTTGTTAGCTAGTATTTCATTCTAATAATACTATGCAAAAGCGCTAAAAAGATAGATGGAGGAATAAAAAAATGCAAAAACGATTCAAAAACAATCTTAACAACTTAATAGTTAAAATAGTCCTAAAAAAAAATATAGGATGTATTTAGGCAGCTTCGCACCTTTTTGTTGGACCCTCACACCAAACACATGCAAATGGACATAAATTAAGTATACCTACAATGGAGAACAAAATACATACCTTAGTTCATCACAGATGATCTTCACCAAAAATCAGGGTCACATATAAAAATAAAAATGCATACAAGAATGCAAAGTACTATTGATAAAAAGGATCAAGTGCTATTACTCAAAACCAAAGATGTTCTAAATAAATGTCCATAATTATATATATACTCTAAGAAGACTGTACATAACCACAGTGATATATATAGATAGATGGTAGAATATATCAAGACATCAATACAATTAAACATCAAAATGTAGTCATACATGATTTATAAAATAATCAGCAGAATGAGCTTTTAATAGTTAAAATGCGATATTATGGCCAGTATGGCCCCTTACTGGATAATAGAATGATGAGTACACTAAGCTATAAGTTGCTACTCTCACCGGAACTTGGTAATCGCCACTGCCAGGTTTCGAAGTCTGTAATGCCTTCAGGAGGAAAAAGTAGATTCCCAAACCCATGGTGCTTTAGAGCAGTGCTACGAATCTTGTGCCAAAAACTCTCAGAGTTTTTGCACCGACGTCCTGAGGAAGCCTACGGCAATATACGTAGACGTGGAGACGCCATATGGTGGGAGGTACACTTCTGAGACCCCCGAGATTTCAACTGCCTGGAAACCTTTGAATTCTGAATATTTTCTTTCTGAGCGTTTTTGGCACAAGATTCGAAGAACTGCTTTATTTTGAACATTTTTGATTTTGAGTGTTAGCACCTGGCCTCTTTATCAACAGTAATTCACTATTGTATGCTTTCTATATTATTTTTAGATGTGACCCTGATTTCTTTTAGAATCCCATTTTCAGTCTGAAATCAAAACCAATCTTTTAAAGTCACAGACACCACGACAAGCAACAAAACCACTACAACATACGTAAGTGTCCTGCTGACCGCCCACTGTAAATAGTCAATTAGTTAACTGTTTGATCACTGGCACCATAACCACTACAAAACTCAATAGTGATTATTGTGCGTGGAGTGTTCCTTTAAACCTATTGTTTTCAGATGAATGTCACCACATCTGAATCCTTGAACAGAGGAAGTAAGAAATGTAAGATTTATCGGAATGGACTGGAGGAAGCATGCATCAGCCACTTACCTCATCTATGTTGAAATACGGATGCTGGCAAAGGTCGCATTCACCAGTGTTTCTTTTGCCGTATCTGCACCGCACAATGTCTCCATCGGGATCATGGGCCAATATATTAATGGAAGATGGGCAATTTTGAGGAACCCTTAAAATAAACGCAGTCTGTTCAAACACTAACCTTTAATTCATTATCATCCATTGTGAATGTACAATTAAAAAAAAATAAAAGAATATTTTTTATATTTTTGCAAAATATGTTGATTGCTCTGTTACTGTGATGAGTGTGTTTGGCTACAGTTACAAGTTTACTGTGTGTAGTATACCTTTTATTTCATTGCCCTCGGTGAGAATTTAATGAGGATCTTATATACCTAAGTTGGTGGCACATTTCAGTGTTTTGGCATGGGGCCACTGTTATCTCATTTTTGGCTACGAAATAAATATTGGTTTTAGTCCCAGAACAGGTTTTGTGATATTCAAGGATCATTATATCTTGAGATTCTACCTACTCTCTAAAACAAAATAAACATTTTACCCAATATTTTCACTACATGTGATATAGTCCACTGATTGCTTTAATAACTCAACATTAAATCAATGAATGTTCTTTTTAAGGGCAGCCTAGGAACCTCTTCATTTTGACAGATGGATAGCTAGTACAAGTCATCTTTGAGTTGATGTGGGTCCATCAGCATATAGACCTTGTTATTTTAGATGACCAGTGATAGTACATATCTTTACCAGTATAAAAAATGTATTCCTATGTTCCTAATCTATTTGTCCAACGTGCAGCACTCATAGATGCAGTACCTGATGATGGGTAGTATAGTGGTCACCGGTGAGTTGTTAGGTTTGGACGTGTCAGATCGGGTTCCCAAATCCACAACAGTTTGGAGACTCCATCCATTATGGTTAAGAGTATTGTAGATCCAGCAACAACTGACAGCACTGGAAACAAAACACACAACATTTTTTGTAGATGTTATAAAGAATAAAATGCTATCTATAATTACATTTGGATTAAATTTGTCCATGGTCCTAGACAGGATACCAGATTGAACACCCCACCTAGAGCCCTGGGTTCTGCTCTGTGCGTGGGGACAGCTGAGAGTGTGTTGGTTGTTTAGGGGCTGAATGTAGTGTGTATGTTTGTGTTGGTTTAGTGTTTTGTCTGTAGGGGAGACTGAGTGTTGTATATGGTGACCAAAGGCTTGTGTGTAAGAGAGCTGTTGTGGTTTAGTTTGGTGTTGTGGCTTTGTGTTGTGTGTTGTGTTTGAGTTTATGGATTTATTAGCTTGTGGTGTTATGTGTGGGAGTGTAGGTTGCTTGTGGTCTTGCATTTGTGTAAATGTGTCTGTTTCTGGTGGGTGTAGTGAGGCTGTTTTTGGTGTTTGGTGTACTTTGAGTATTTAAACATACTGACAAAACTAAACCATACAACAGAATGTTTTGTAAACTTCAACAATACATTGTGTCACAAAGGAAATTTGTTTGTAAGAGTCTAGTTTACCTCAAAACAGGTTACAATAGAACACCCTATCTTTGATTACTTAGATAGCGTAGATACAAAGGGCATGATATCCCAATCCTTTAAACCTATATAAGGTGGGGGTGGGGGGGAGACGTGGACAAAATACTAATAGTGAAATGGGAAAAGGATCTTAATATCAACCATACCCCTTATGAATGGTACTGTACCACAGTTCAATTAAAAAATACATTCATTGTATATCTTTGCTAGAGCTCCACTATAGGCACCCAGACCACTTCAGCTCAATGAAGTGGTCTGGGTGCCAGGACCATCTAGGGTTAACCCTGCAGCTGTAAACATAGCAGTTTCAGGGAAACTGCTATGTTTACATTAGGGTTAATCCAGCCTCTAGTGGCTGTCTCATTGACAGCCGCTAGAGGCGCTTCCGTGCTTCTCACTGTGAAAATCACAGTGAGAAGATGCTGGATGTCCATAGGAAAGCATTGAGAAATGCTTTTTCCATGGTCTGATTGAATGAGCGCGCGGCTTTTGCCGCGCATGGGCATTCGGCAGATGACGCCGGAAGAGGGAGGAGAGTCCCCAGTGCCGAGGGAGGTAAGTGTTTAACCCCTCTTGAGCCCGGTGGGAGGGGCCATGATGGTGGGGGGGACCTATTAACACTATAGTGCCAGGAAAACGAGTTTGTCCTTTAAAGATCTTGTATAGATGGTACTTGGTCCCTTCTAAACTACATAAAATGTATGAAGCTTATCCACCCATATGCTGGAGATGTCATAAAGAGACTGGTACAATATTTCATATTTGGTTTAGCTGTGAGATACTAAATGATATTCAGATGCTTATGTCTTCTCTGATTTTAGACTTAACTCAAGAGATAATAATTCTCACACCTTCGCTACTTTTATTTAATTTAGATTTTCCATTAACCCTTTAATGACGAGTGACGGACGAGGTCCGTCACTCAGGGGAAACCCTTAAAGATGAGTGACAGACCTTGTCCGTCACGCGGTAAAATTAACCCCAGATCGCCGCAATCGCGGGGTTAATGGTGCTCCAGTCTGCCTCTGTATTAGAGGCAGACCGGGAGCACCCGATCAGGCTGCCCCAGCACATGTGCTCGCTCTGACAGCATACTTATCTTCCGCCTCCCTGCACTTCCTGGTTCTGTGTGAAGTGCAGGGAGACGGTTCAGTGATGATCCTGCCCCATGTTAAAAAAAATAAATAAAGTTAATTTAAAATCCCACCCCCTTTACCCATTTTAATAAAAAAAATAACCCCTTCCCTGCCAATTGATCACTGGCTACAGTGATCAATTGGCAGGGATTACATTTTACTATGATCTGATTTTTTTTTTAAATTTTGAAATACTTAAATTAATTAATAAAATAAATGTAACCCCTGAGAGTTAAAAAAAAAAAAAAATAGCCCTCAGGGGTTAAATTTATTTTATTCATTAATTTAAGTATTTTAAAATGATAAATTTAGCTAGCTGGAGTGGGTGGAAGTTAGTGGGGAATTGGGGGATTGGTGTTAGGCTAACTAGGGGTTAACGTTAAAAAAAGTTTTAAAATAAGCTTTAAAAAGTTCAAAATTAAGTTAAAAAAGTTTTAATAATGTTTAAGTAAAAAATAAAAAAAACACCCCCCTTTAGCCAGTCCAAATAAAAATTAACCCCTCCCCTGCCAGTCGATCACTGCCTACAGTGATCAAAATCTAATTTTTTTTAACCCCTGACGATTAACTTTTATTTATTTTTTAACCCTCAGGGGTTCAATTTATTTAATTAACTAATTAAAATATTTTATAATTATTATATTTTGCTAGCTGGGGTGGGTGGGAGTTATGGGGAAATGTGGAATTTACTGTTAGTGCTGCTTACTGCTAGTTAGGGGTTAACGGTAAAAAGAAAAGCTTAGAAAAATTTTAAATGTGTAAAAAAAGGTTTTAAGAAAGTTTAGGAAAGTTTAAAAAAATTAATAAGCAAAACAAAAGTTTAAAAACTAGTTTTAAAAAGTTTAAAAAAGTTAAAAAATACATTTAAAAACGCTCATTACCACTACACCTGGAACAAACTAGAGAAAAAATTATCCCACGCCAAGGTTCAAAATATGCCTTTTGAATTACCCCAGAGTGTATTCTTTAACCCCTTAAGGACTGGACTGTTTTTGCGATGTTGTACATTTGCGACCAGGAATATTTTTACACTTTTGTGGTGTTTGTGTTTGGCTGTAATTTTCCGCTTTCTCATTTACTGTTCCCATACAAATTATATATTGTTTTTTCAGGACAAAAGGGGCTTTCTTTACATACCATTATTTATATAATCTCATGTATTTTAATTAAAAAAAAATAAAAAAATATGATGAAAAATTGAAAAAAATACATGTTTTTTTACTTTTACTTGAAAAATCTTTTACTCATCTACAAAAGCGAATGAAAAAAACTGCTAAATAGATTAAAAATTTTGTCCTGAGTTTAAAAATACCTAGTGTTTACGTGCTTTTTTGCTTTTTTTTGCATGTTATAGGGCTATAGGTACAAGTAGGATATTGCGGTTTCAAAACATACATTTTAAAATTTATCAATAGTGACATTGTAACACTATTATCTGTCATAAATCTCTGAATAACACCCCACATGTACATATTTTTAAAGTAGACAACCCAGGGTATTCAATATGGGGTATGTCCAGTCTTTTTTAGTAGCCACTTAGTCGAAAACACTGGCCAAAGTAAGCATTCATATTTGTTTGTGTGTGAAAAAAGTAAAAAAACTAAATTGAACGCTAATTTTGGCCAGTGTTTGTGACCAAGTGGTTACTAAAAAGACTGGACATACCCCATTTGCAATACCTTGGGTTGTCTTCTTTTGCAAATGGTATGCCATCATGGGGGTAATTCTCATTCCTGGGCTACCATACGCTCTCAAAGGCAACGTGACCAACCTGGCCATTTTCAATGTAAAAATATTTGACCCGGGGGGCGTGGCTTGGACGTCGACGGAGATGGAAGCATAAGCTGATCGCTCCGCTCCACCAGTCCCTGTAAAGCCCTACTAAACGGCTTATTTTAGCTTCCATGGGACGCACCCGCAAAGGTGAACCTCCTAGGACCCCCAGGGGCCCCCAACTGAGCCAGTCGCAAGGTCCGATGGACGAATACCTGCATAACACCGCAGATACACGTGGCGAGGCCTCGGGATCCAAGATGGCGCCCACCTCCGCCGTACCTGGAGCTCCCTCTGCCTCAACCCTGGAAGGCATCGGAGAGGAACTCCGCACCATTGCGGCCTCCATGGCCACAAAAGCCGATCTCCTGGTGCTTACCACCACCATTCAGGATGCACTAAGGGCCGAAATTGCAGGCATCCGGACGGAGGTAACCGCACAGGTACACCGTATACAAGCTGTGGAACATTCACATGAGACCTACACAGCCAGGCTGGCATCCACTGACACAGCACTAGCCAGACAGGGTGACCTAATACTACAACTCCGCAGAACAGTCGAGGACCTCGACAATCGCGGACGCCGCTGCAACATAAGGGTGCGCGGCGTCCCAGAGACAGAAGGGGACGAAGATATCGAAAGCTCTCTAACGGCCATCTTCAGCCTAATACTACCTGGAGATGACCTGATGGAAATCCGATATGACAGGGCCCACAGGGCCTTAAGACCCCGCTCCGTAGAAGATGGCCCCCGAGATATTATCTGTTGTCTCCATTCATTCTCCGTAAAAAATGCCATTATGAAAGCTGCCAGAAACCGACCCACATGGGAATACCGAGGGGCGCAAATATCATTATTCAACGATTTGTCGCCGGTTACGCTGGAAGCCAGGAGGGCCCTGAGACCTGTTACCTCACTTCTTCGGGAACGCAACATCCCCTATAAATGGGGCTTCCCTTTTGCCCTGTCAGCTCGACATCAAAATGGATGGGTGTCACTACGTGGACCGAACGAGGTTCCAAGATTCCTAGAAGATTTGGGCCTCCCGCCCGTACAGGTGCACGACTGGATCCTGGGGCCTCTGGACGCAGGCCCGAGACCACAACGAGCACCCCGCCGACGGAGGGGGAGATCTCCACCAGAACCCCCTGGACGGAATATTCATGAGTAACGCCCGCAGCCCCGCAAGTATCAGCCCGCTAGACTACCTCTGCCCGGCCTAGCCTCGGGAGACTGCCCGGATGTCGCTAGAAGTTGACCCCTTTAGTCCTACTGACATTGCTACGCCATATTTGTGCTCCCCTCCTCTAATTTTACATTTGCTGACCCTGCTTCAAGTTACAATATAGGGGGATACCAGATAGCAACTTGGGTGGTGGGAACAAGGGGGGTAAGAAATGTGAACTCCAGCTGCAACTGGCCCTCCCTCCTACCTAAACCTATGGAGAAGCTAGCCCCTGTGGTCCACTCGCTGACACTCCTGGTTTTGGACTGCCTGTTATGTTGGGACACTGGACTTCTACCCTCCACCCTCCTCGATAAGTATCTTGCCTTAATATGCTACCGTGAGACTGTTGGTTGTGTACCATTTGCTGCCTATACTGGTGTCATGCAATGTGATTTGCGGGGTCAGGGCAATGTACTATGCTGGGAATCAGAGTCGGTAATGAAGCTAACGACAGGTTGGTGGGACAGCCTGGATGGGGTGGGGGGTAGCTATAGGCGACGGCGACAGGTAGGGACCCTCTTTCTGGTTTCTTAAAAAAAATATATATATATTGTTAAAAAAAAAAAAAAAAAATTCATTAAATTAGAAACCTACATTTTAGCCACAGATGACCCTCCTCTCTACCCCAACCCACAACGCAGCCAGCTAACGACAAAAAAAAAAAACACCACAGACTACCACTGCAGTCACAGACTGACCCGAGCAGTATACATAGCATAATGGTCCTGACGTATACCCACATGGAGCAAGACATAAAGGATTAAGGGGCGACAGCTCATACCCTTGGTTAGGCCCAGCTGGCATAACTTGGTCAGTTGGACTCTGATAGCTGGTGAAGGGTCACGATTGCCTTATGAGGCACATACCGGGGATGGGCACTGTGGCAGACGGGACGGCGGGGCACACATGGGAAGTTGGTGATATTCGCTATTGATGGTTATTTTCATCCATGTTTAGACTTTGCACACCTGATTTATTAGTTTGTTAGTTCACACTATGTTTACCTCTCTGCTAATACACACCTCCCATGTATATCCGCACTTGGGCCGGGACCTGGTTGGAGCGGGACAACTCCATACTTACAGTACATACAATATACAAACTGCATCTTTCCTGGTTTCGACTACGACCACTACCCTACACTTACACTTGTGTAGGATCTCCAGCGGAGCCACAGGTACGTTCACTCACCGATCAGGTTATCGGGGTGACACCAGGCCACTCCTGCTGTGACACAAGTGACCCTCCTTTCAGGGAGATATCGGGGTCTCCACCTCTCCAAACCCCGAGAGGGACGACACCCGAAGGGGTGACCCACGCGGTTCACCCTTATTTTTATTAAACAAAAAACCTTAATTACGAACTACAGCCACATTGCAGACCCCATACCCCTACCCCACTCACACACACACCACACATACACACATACTTCCCCCCGAGGCTGCGTTGCACGTTCAAACGTCATACGTCTAACGAAAGACGATATCCAACCGACTACCTGACAGTAGCTGGCTCTGACGGGACTCCTACACACCTATCCCAAGCGGAGCTGCGCGACGTTCCCGTGGGGCCGCGCCTCATAGCGGGCCATCAATCCACCTATCTTGCGGTCGGGCTCGGCTCGTGCGCCGCACGACTCCTCCCTCCGCGGTTCTGTGCGCCCGATCACGAGAAGTCCCATGGCATATACTCGCACACCCCTGTCCATCATGACTCTCAACTGCAGAGGCTTAAATATCCCGGAACGCCGCTCGCATCTGTTGAGATCCCTGCACCGCAAACGCATATCCATAGCGATGCTCCAGGAGACTCATTTCAGAGCCGACGCAGCCCCCAAACTCCGAAACTCTCATTATCCAGTGAGTTACTGCAACGATCACCCGACCACCCGACGCGCGGGAGTGGCGATCCTGCTGGCCGCGGAGTTAGGCTTCCGGGAAATGGACAGATTGGCAGATACCCAAGGCCGCTTCCTCTTCCTGAAGGGACTGATTGCGGACAGGATCTACACTCTCGCGACCATATACGTTCCCAACTCAAAACAAGCACAGTTCTTACGTGGGGCACTGAACAAGCTCCGCGGATTCTCGGAAGGAGCTCTGATAGTGGGAGGAGACTTCAACGCTCCGTTGGATCCTCTGCTAGATTCCTCCACCGGTCACAGTTGCATCTCGCAAACCCACATCCGATCTATCCGCAAAGCACTAGGTGAGCTATCCCTGGTAGACTGCTGGAGGACACTCCATCCCGCCGACAGGGACTATACACACTACTCGGCGCTGCACAATCGCTACTCCCGAATAGACTATGTCCTTATCAAACAAGCTGGACTGTCCCGCTTACGGTCGGCAACTGTCGAACCAGCCACGTGGTCGGATCACGGTCCGGTCCGGATTGAGTTGGAATCCCCACTGTTCAAGCCAGCCACCTGGTCATGGCGTCTTAATGAATCATTACTTCAAGATCCTACGGTAAAAGAAGAGATTTCCCAAGCGCTGACTTCATACTTCACGGAGAACGAGACGGAAGGGATGTCGTCTGTGTCGGTGTGGGAGGCACACAAGAGTGTCATACGTGGCATACTCATAGGTCTCGCAACTCGCAAGAGAAAGGAAGCGACCAGTGCAATGGCAGACGTATACGACACCATTAAACGCTTGGAACTCCAACACAAACGATCTCAGCTCACCGAGAAGTATGGTGAATTAATGGAAGCTAGGCGCACCCTGAACACTCTCCTCACGAAGCGATATCAACGCTCGCTCCAACGCTCGAAGAACTTTTTCTACGCACATGCGAATAAGGGCGGGAAATTCCTCGCCCGCTTACTGAAAGGCGACACACCACGAACTCAAGTACGAAAGTTGCGCTTAACCTCGGGCAGAGTGTCCCCATACCCAGAAGACATAGCAGACGAATTCAGGGCGTACTATGAATCCCTCTATAACCTCCGTCCACCAGGGAATCAGGCACCAGACGGGGAGGCACCACCTCATGTACAAACATACATCCAGGACACCGTGCGGGCACGAATAGATCCAAACGCCGCATCCTTCCTCGACGAACCACTTACCACGGAAGATCTCGCCGCTGCCCTGAAACACACTAAAAATGGACGCGCCCCAGGACCCGACGGATTCCCCTCGGGGTACTATAAACAATTCGCCACGGCGCTCTTACCGCGGCTGACAAGGGCGGTTAATGAAGTCTCGGAGGGCGGTCGTTTTGGCATCGAGTCCCTGACTGCGACCATAACTGTCCTGCTTAAGCCAGGGAAAGACCCAGAACAATGCTGTAACTATCGGCCAATCTCTCTGCTAAATGTGGATACTAAGTTGTTAACTAAGGTGTTAGCAACTAGACTCCAACGGATCCTCCCGAGCCTTATCCATGTGGACCAAACGGGGTTCATCCCGGGACGGGAAGCACGGGACAGCACCCTACGCCTATTCTCAATACAACACCACGCGCGGAAATACCGAAAACATCTATTGCTGTTGTCGACTGACGCAGAGAAAGCCTTTGATCGGGTCAACTGGGCATACATGTTTCAGACACTCCGATACATGGGCTTTGGACAACGGATCATGGCTTGGATCACCGCTCTATACAGCACACCGAGGGCAGCAGTGCGAGTTAATGGCGCACTCACCACGAGCTTTGGGATCACGAACGGGACCAGACAGGGGTGTCCCCTATCGCCAATCCTGTTTGCACTGTCACTGGAGCCACTCCTACAGGCAATACGGGACAACCGGAATGTCCACGGATACACTTGGCAAGACACTGAGCACAAGGTAGCCGCATACGCGGACGACCTCCTGTTCTTCATCTCCCAACCTCGGATCACTTTGCCCTGCATACTCTCAGAAATAGAACGGTTTGGCCGCATATCGGGGTTTCGACTCAACCTGGCAAAATGTGAGGCCCTGAATATCACCATACCCGCAGCAGAATATGAAGCCCTCGGCCCACTTTTTCCATTTCGCTGGTGCACAGAGGCATTGAAATACCTTGGCATCTGGTTCACCACAGACCCCCAGGGAATATACCACTGTAATTTCGAAACACTGCTGAAAAACATCGAAACAGACCTAACGAGATGGTCCTACCCCCACATCACTTGGCATGGCCGTATAGCAGTCTTAAAAATGAACGTTCTTCCTAGGATCCTATATTTATTTCAGACTATACCAACAACCCTGCCGGCATTATTTTTCTCGACCTTGAAATCAGCGGTCATAAAATATGTCTGGAGGGGGGAACGATCCAGGCTACGCCATGACATCCTATGCTTACCAAGACACAGAGGGGGCCTAGCCCTACCAGATTTTAAAAAGTACCACCAGGCAACAGTCCTACAAAGGATCCTGGAATGGCACGAAACAGATACGAGTAAACAATGGGTAACTTTGGATCGGATGGGAGAGGCTGCAAAACTAAAGGCAGCGGTTTGGCTGAGGAGAACAACCAGGGGCAGCAGGAGGGGAGAGGAGGGACCGGTGGCTGAAACATTACTAGCGTGGGAAACACTCAGAGAAATGCCTCAGGTGTCCCCGACCCCCTGTCCCTTACTCCCGATCCAGCACAATCCCAATATTGGAGGCGGACCATCGACGGAAGCATGGGCGTTTTTGGGTGGAGAGGATTATATACCAATCTACAAAGTCACTCGGGATGGTGAACTAAAATCTCTAGACGAGCTGCTAGCATCACGCCCACGATCCCATATGGCGACCTTCCGATACATGCAGCTACGACATTACTACAACTCCCTCCCACACCGGGACAGACTGCACAGAGACCTGACATGGTTTGAAGACGCCTGCTCTCGCGGCACCTCTCTTGGGAAAGCCATCTCACACCTCTACCAACACCTGCTGTCTGGAACTACCCCGGAGAACAACACTTTCCAACGTCAATGGGAGCGGGCAATGGACACCACGTTCACCCCTACACAATGGGACAAGGCGTTGATATGGCAACACAAAAGCTCCTCTAGCTCCCGCTACCAAGAAGTTAACTACAAACTACTCTCCATGTGGTACCGAACGCCGGTATTGCTTCACAAACTTTTCCCTAACACATCCCCAACGTGCTGGAGGTGTCAGGAAGAAAGGGGGACACTTATACATATCTGGTGGGAATGTAAGCATATTGGCCCATATTGGGATCAGATCAAATCCGACATCTGTCAGATTTTGGGGGACATCACCTGGTCGGTGGAGCTAATCTTACTCCACATCTCCACACAACCACTATCTACATATAAAAAATCCATCTTGCGGCACCTCCTAAACGCTGCTAAATCACTCGTACCAGTATACTGGAAAAAGACAGATATCCCTACCAGAGAAGAATGGATCCATCGAGTTGAGGATATTAGAGCGGCTGAAGCTATGCAAGCGGAGCAGATGGGCAGGGGTCCGAAGTGTGCTGAACTCTGGACTCCATGGTTTACCTTCCGCGCGCGGCGGTAGGGGGGGGCCGGGCGGGGGTGCTTGCCGGGCGACGCGTCTATGGCGGGTGATGCGCTCCGTGATGGCCGGCTGGAGGTGGCAACGTTCAACCGTATACCGCGCGTCTCTCTAAGTTGGGGGAATGACTCTGAAGGCACTGCCGACTGAGACAAACGGGTGACCATGTGGACCCACAAGGGAGACATACCCTCAAAGGAATAGCTGACGAATCTGAATGACACCCCACTACATAAATATAAACAGGGATACGGCTGTCCTGCACATGACCCCTCCCCCCTCCCCCCGACCCTCTCCGACTACTGCATGGAATCAGAGCCACGGTTAGGGGACCTTGATGGACTACACGACGAGGACACGCTGGATAACTGCTAATGTGGACGATGGGCGTGCAGTGCAGCCTTGGATTTACACCCCCACCCATCTCCCCGCACACTCGCCTCATCGCTCACCACTACACACCTCCCACGCCACATCATAATCTGAACAACTCTTTCTACGATGAACCCACATCACCCACTTATATATACTAGGGCCACGCATAACTACAGGTTATCCACCTCCCCATCCTTATCGATGCCACTCCTATAAATACACTATAAACACATATAGCACCTTTGGCAATATACGGACCCCATTTCATTTACGCTGCCCCGTCACCTATGGGCCTAGCCCGACTGTGCGAGGCTCCTATACTCACATAACTCAACGACTTAATAGAGTCAACAGCACATCTAACTAAGGGCACTGATATGAGCGTATAGGGGAACGATGATTGACTCTCGCCCTCATTGAAAATTTGTTACAGATATCTTCGGTTTATTTATTGTCTCTTCATGCTTGTATGACAAATGGGGCCTGCGAGCCCGAAATGTGATATACTCACCTACACACAGGCACACAGATCACCTCAGACAATATATGGTTTCCACCACACTCACATTGACCTACCTCTCACGGGCCTAGCCCAAATACGCGTTTCTAATACCTTCACACATCTCAATAACTTAATTGACACAACCACTCACCTAACTATGGGCATTGGACGTGAGCGACCACTTGAACTGTAACTGATCCCCTCCTTCATTGAAATCTCAATGTAGTAGTCAACTGCTTATCCATTGTACTTTCATGTTTTTATGATGACTTGGGCCTGCGAGCCCGAAATGCATTATTTCTACTCACGAATAAAAATGATTTTCCAAAAAAAAAAAAAATATTTGACCCATATATTTGATCTTGTAACTTTCAAAAATGCTATAAAACCTGTACATGGGGGGTACTGTTTTACTCGGGAGACATCGCTGAACACAAATATTAGTGTTTAAAAACTGGAAAACGTATCACAACAATTATATCATCAGTAAAAGTGCTGTTTGTGTGTGAAAAATGCAAAAAAAGTAACTTTCACTGACAATATCATCTCTGTGATATGTTTTACTGTTTTGAATCACTAATATTTTTGTTCAGCGAAGTCTCCCGAGTAAAACAGTACCCCCCATGTACAGGTTTTAGGGTGTCGTAGAACGTTACAGGGTAAAATACAGTGCTAGCAAATTAAATTCTCTGGAATTTCGGCCTGGGTTGGCAGGCAGGTCCTCAAATTGCAATCAATAAAATTACTGAATTATGTAAAAATATTACATAAATACGCACGTAGAATTTAAATATATATGCATATTTATATATTTGAAGTCTACGTATATATTTATATAATTATTTATGTAATTTTGTATATGGACGTATGTATATTTCTTATTATTTTTATTTATTTTTATATACATAGATATATATACAAATTCATTCTAAGTGTATTTTGATATAAATATATATATATTAGTTTTAAAATACAGTTAGAATAAAATTTCATATAGCTATATAATTTTTTTTTAATTTTTTATTATTATTTTAAAAAATTTTTATTTAATTTAAATTACTTATTATTTATATTTTATAATAATATATATATACAATCTATATAGTTATTATATATATTATATATATACGTGTGTAATTTAATTATAAGTGTATTTTTATATTAATATAAGTACATAATAATATAAAAATACACTTAGTATGACATTATATATATATGATATATAGACATATATTATATAGGTATAATATATGTCTATATATCATATATACACATATATAATTATTTTATTTTTTTTAATTAACACTAACTTTATTTTTATTTTTGATTTTACACAAGCAGGGAGACTGCCTGTCAGCACAGACAGTCCCCCTGCAGGCAGACACATGGACACCTATTGTGACCATGTGATCGCTGTGTTGAGCGATCACATGGCCACAGGGGTCCCAATCTGCCGTGGGGAGACTGTCTGGGCTGCAGGCAGTCTCCCCACAACCGGAGGAACACTGATCGCCGCCGGGGGAACGACGGCGATCAGGTAAGTACCCCCAGACCGTTAGGACGGTTCAGGACCGTCATCGGTCGGCAACGCAAAAATGCCGATGACGGTCCTGAACCGTCCTCGGTCCTTAAGGGGTTAATAAATAGTATGTGTTTGTGGGGAAGTTTCAATAACCAACCGTCTAAACTACTCCAAATTGGAACATGGACACAGCGCAAAACTTCAAAGTTAGAAAAAAACTGAATGGCTGCGTCTCAAATGTGCCCCTTCAACATCCACATATACCTGGCAAAGGTACATACGGGGGTATTGCTGTACTCAGACCACATAGCTGAGCAACATATGAAGTATTATACAGTGGTAGCACACTTAAGGTTTGCAAAATATACTGTGCAAACTCACTTTGTATGTCAAAAAGGCAGAAAAAACGCTTATTACCACTACACCTGGTACAAGATAGCGGATAAATGATCCCACGCTAAGGTTCAAAATATACCTTTTGAAATACTTTTTGTGGGGTAGTTTGAATTTAAAACCTGCGAAGATGCTTGGAAATTGCACAAAATTCAAAGTTCGGTAAAAACTGATATGGCTTGGTCTCCTATATGACACTGTAGCTTCACGTAATTGTGCCAAAGACATTCATTGGGGGTGTCTTTTTACTCAGACTTAGCTGAGCATAATTTGGGAGGTTTGAAGGCACATATGAAATATACAAAATGCCCTGCAAAAATGCAATCCGTATGTAAAAAACGCACAAAATTATTTTTTACCACATACTTTGGCATATAGACATACAATGGGGGTGTCATTTTACTCAGCAGATGTAACTGAACACAAAATAAAAAAAAACCTTTGTACAGGAATAGCACACACCAACTTTACAAAATATACATGAGAATTTCTCTGTTATAAGTTTGTGTGCCAAAAACCAAAAAAAAAAACAAAAAAAAACCACACACACAATTTTACTCCAATATTTAGCAGAAGTTGGCGGTGAAATGGCTACGTAGAAAGTGTCAAAACAACCTTAGGTAAATAGCCCGTGATGTCTACTTTATATAAATATATACTTTTGTGTGGCAATTTTGTTTTCTTTTATGGCTATTAAGCTTACAAGACAAACATATCAAATTCTAAAATCGCTCCACATTAAAAGTTTATTTTACTCCTTGTGCTTTGTGACCTGTAACTACCAAAACAAACTTAAAATCCCAGACACATTATATATTCTGTAAATCGGAACAACTAAATTAATTTATTTTTAATTACTTTCCTTAACCTGCACTAATTGTGCACACATTATTATTGCAAAAACTGTAAAAACAAAACACAAAATATTTATATATACATATATATATATATATGTTACATCAAATTAAAGCCCTTTCTGTCCTTTAAAAAACGGTATAATATGTGTCGGTGCAATAAATTAGTAAAATGCAAATTGCAGTTGAACGCAAACAGCAAAAAATGAAAAAAATGCTGTTGTCATTAAGTTAAAGACAAGCTTTTGAAGCTCTGTCCTTAAAGGGGTAATGGAAAAAAAATGTAAATATTTAATTACACATTTTCTTTATGCTTTGAAGATTACTATAGCTTGTCACTGGAAATCGACTGTTCCTCCACTATGGCAAGAAATTTTAAACCAAATAGAATATCAGTATATAATGGAATGTAACTGTACTACTACATCAGGCAAGTCAGTTTCATATCAAGATTTATGGCAACGCTGGATAGTACATACGGAAAGTAAAAACTTACTGTATATTAAAGGACCACTATAGTGCCAGGAAAACATAATCGTTTTCCTGGTGCTATAGTGCCCTGAGGGTGCCCCCACCCTCAGGGTCCTCCTCCCGCCCGGCTCTGGAAGGGGGAAAGGAGGAAAAACTTACCTTTTTCCAGCGCTGGGCGGGGAGCTCTCCTCCTCCGTTCCTCCCCGTCGGCTGAATGCGCACACGTGGCAAGAGCTGCACGCGCATTCAGCCGGTCGCATAGGAAAGCATTATCAATGCTTTCCTATGGACGTTTGCGTGCTCTCACTGTGATTTTCACAGTGAGAATCACGCAAGCACCTCTAGTGGCTGTCAATGAGACAGCCACTAGAGGATTTGGGGGAAGGCTTAACCCATTCATAAACATAGCAGTTTCTCTGAAACTGCTATGTTTATAAAAGAATGCGTTAAGCCTAGCTGGACCTGGCACCCAGACCACTTCATTAAGCTGAAGTGGTCTGGGTGCCTAGAGTGGTCCTTTAACGATGACTTAGAGGTTTAAGAGAATTAGTTTCAAAATCTCCTAATAAAACAGAAGTTCCCTTGGATATACTGAAACTGTTGCACCCCGACGATGAGCCCAAGGTTTGCAGTCCTCAATTATGTAGGTCCACATTTTTTGGAGGAGGATTTTGTCTCTGTTTGGCATGAGTACACTGCCATAGATTCGACTTATCTCTGTACTAGATCTATATGAATTTATTACGTCGATATTTGTTTCTTCTGTTTTTGGTAATGTTGATAACAAAATAAAAATTAATAAATATAAAAAATAAAATAAAGAGTCTCTAGTTTACCTGAGTTGAAACGGCTTATCGCTGGATACACGCCTCACATTGTAACTTTCAGTTTGGGACCATCGTGTTGCATATCTGCTATCATCCACAAGTCCAGAACGTCTCTCAGTAATAGATCCACAACTGCCACTTGAGCAACTCCAGCTAAGTTCACTGGCAGAGCTAGAGTCAAATCCAGATTTAAACCTGATGTCCACCTAAGAGAAATGCATGTTATATGTTTATATTTCTTTATCATTATTACAGTATCTATTTTTGTTGAGCACCATTAACCTAAAAGATATTCCAAAATTCCCTTTTCCATCTACGTTAAAAGACTTATCTGTACCCTAGTCTACACTGACCTAAATGCTTTGACATTTATCTGGGTACATCGGGCGCTGCTCCCATCCTCCATTACTTCTGATTAAGAGTCCAACATTCCTAAGTGGGACTTTCTGTGTAGCTGATCTCTCTCAGCCAATGACTAAACCAAGCACTGCTGGGTTTAGCTCTGTCCCTGATGTAGTGGAGGTGGGGTGTGGACTCTGGTGCACCCCAGGTAAGAAATCAAACTTTCCTAAAATGGTTTGACTACTTACATCGAGAGAAGGGCACCAGAGTACCCCTAGCATCATAAAAACATTTTTTTTTTATCTTATCTTCTATGTAATACAAAATGCATTTTCATATTCATCTCACAGAATAAAAAATAATCATGATATTCATTTAAAATAAGGTGCTTACATTTGACAGCTACAGACAAGCAAAATTCATTTCTAGAAGTTTTGCTGAAGATTATTGGATCGGACAATGGACATAGTTATAATATTGAGTTTTTGAAGACATCTTGAAGTTTTACCACTGTCTACTTTATTGGTTCCCATGGCGATTGAACATTTAGAACTTTTACACATGTATCTGTGAGCAACATTGTTAAAGGGACACTGTAGGTACAATAACCACTTCAGCTGACAAGTGGTTATTGAGCCTGGCATCTGTGAGCACTGGGTCCCACATCACTGCTTAATGATTTACGCATGGTTAAGCAGAGAACCTTGGTCCTTGGCATCCTGCAGCTTGGCCTTCAATGACGAAAGTCTATATGCCAAGCCTCACACCATACCATCAGTAGAGGGCAGTGATAGGCTAAGAGGGTCGGCTGACTACTCCCAGCCAATCACTGCTGCAATCCCTGGTATGCATTGGTATGGTGTGAAGTGGAAGCATTGCTTTGCCTCTGATATATCATTATTGGACGCTGGGATGCACGCTGCTTGGGACTGAACAATTCTGCTAATTGGTGAGTAAATCATTCAGCAGTGATGTGGGACGGGGGGCCCATAGACTACAGGCACCATAAGCACTTCAATTTGTGGTTATGGTGCCTACAGCGTTCCCTTAAATTCCCCCAGACATATCTAAATCAATTTTTGGCCATCAATTCTTTGGAAAAACTATTTAGAAGCTTTGCCTTGAAAAAACAAATTAGTATGACATAAATATCTGGGAGCTAATCGAAATCTACAAAAGTAAGGTTTGAAGAAAAATGCTGGGGTTCACTTTTATAAGTGTAATAAAATGTAGTCATTGTTTTTTTTTATAAAACATAACTTCTAAACACCCGACTTTTTTAGAACACTAAAATGTATATGGCGTGCATTTCTAAATAATTAGATTCCATGTGACTATTAACCCTTAATATTTCAAATGATTTTACAAGTTGATAGAATTGTACATTAGAAATATATTATTTTCATTTTGGTTAATTATCCACTCAACCCTTTTTACTTACTGTAAATGTTCCATCAGGATTTTTCCCCCTGGGTCTGAAAGTCATGATACCCCCTTCATAGTGGGACCCAGATGTAGCTGCAAAGAGAGTAAAGCACAGAATTATCACTTTTCGGTAAGACATTTTCACCGTCACTGCAGAGATTGTCCACATCTCAGAACACTCATAGCTTTATACCAAATCCTCAAGGAAGTCCTGCCCTTAAAGTTTATTTTAGGAAATAAAGATAAGAAATATTGCCACGATGATGATGAAATATATTCAAGATAACATGATTCCTTATACAGTTTCTATTTTTCTTAAGCTTCCCAGATAAAATAAGGAAATAATCTGCAATATTATTTATCATTTGGGGATTTTTTTTTAAATCTTATCTTCTGCGTAAAACAAAATGCAATTTAATTACTGTTATTTTATTACATTTTCAGCGTAACCATTAACAAACTTCTTTGTAATGTTTCTATGATAATGAGTAAGTAGTTTTCTAAAGACAGACAATTTAGATTATATTTAATAAACTGCCACTCAATATCTGATGAGTATGCTGCATTATTGCAAGTAACGCTCACTTAGATCAAGTGTCCAATCTTCCAATGTACTCCCCAAATGCAAAAATAATACCAGCTTGCTTTATTAATGTTACAAAATTCCAGTAAATGAAAGAATCACAACAGTAATTGCGATAGTGACATAAACGTATCATACAACTTAACTTGTAACATAACTCATTATGAACCAAAGACGAAAAGGATCCTACCAGGCAGTGGACAGGTTATCGTTTTGGGACCCAACTTCATACTTAGTATAGGAATCATGAGGGGAGTCATGCTTAGCCAAGTATCGTCAAGGTACAGGGATCCCAATGTCACCTGTAGGACCTAGGTGGCCACCTTAGGTTGCATTATAGTTAATTTTGGTATGATCAATGGCAGTTTATGAACTATACTTTTTTTTACAAAAAAGATCCAGTTTCAAAATAGAATAATGCACTCAAACAATGCCTCCAGGGCTGCGGTGATTTCTGAAAGTAGCATTTTGTCCTTAAGGAGATAAATTAAGTATCTGCAATCAAATGAGATACAAGTTGAAGGCTGTAACCAGATTTGTGAGGGGATCTAGTGTGTGCAGAGGATCCAGAGTGTGTATAGGGGATATAGTGTGTGTGTATGGGATCCAGAGTGTGTATAGGGGATATAGTGTGTGTGTATGGGATCCAGAGTGTGTATAGGGGATATAGTGTGTGAGCAGAGGATCCAGAGTGTGTATAGGGGATATAGTGTGTGTGTATGGGATCCAGAGTGTGTATAGGGGATATAGTGTGTGTGTGTGGGATCCAGAGTGTGTATAGGGGATATAGTGTGTGTGTATGGGATCCAGAGTGTGTATAGGGGATATAGTGTGTGTGTGTGTTGCAGAGTGTGTATAAGGGATGTAGTGTGTGTGTGTCTGGAATGTAGTGTCTGTCTTGAATGTAGTGTGTGTAAGTGGTTAAGTGTGTACATAAGGGATGTACTGTCTATAGGGGATCTAGTGTGTATGTGACAGCGGTGCAGTCTACAGTACCTCACAAAAGTGAGAACACCCCTGATATTTTTGTAAATATTTAATTATATCTTTTCATGTGACAACACTGAAGAAATGTCACTCTGCTACAATGTAAAGTAGTAAGTGTACAGCCTGTATAACAGGGTCAATATTTTGTGTGGCCACCATTATTTTCCAGCACTGCCTTAATGGGCATGGAGTTCACCAGAGCTTCACAGGTTGCCACTGGAGTCCTCTTCAACTCCTCCATGATGACATCACGGAGCTCGTGGATGTTAGAGACCTTGCGCTCCCGCACCTTCCATTTGAGGATGCCCCACAGATGCTTAATAGGGTTTAGGTCTGGAGACATGATTGGCAAGTTCATCACCTTTACCTTCAGTTTCTTTAGCAAGGCAATGGTCGTCTTGGGGATGTGATTGGGGTCGTTATCATGTTGGAATAGTGCCCTGCGGCCCAGTCTCCAAAGGGAGAGGATCATGCTCCTCTTCAGTATGTCACAGTACATGTTGGCATTCATGGTTCCCGCAATGAACTGTAGTTCTCCAGTGTCGGCAGCACTCATGCAGGCCCAGACCATGACACTCCCACCACCATGCTTGACTGTAGGCAAGACACACTTATCTTTGTACTCCTTACCTGGTTGCCGCCACACGCGCTTAACACCATCTGAACCAAATAAGCTTCTTCTTCTCATTGGACCACAGGACATGGTTCCAGTAATCCATGTCCTTAGTCTGCTTGTCTTCAGCTAACTTTTTGCAGGCTTTCTTGTGCGTCATCTTTAGAAGAGGCTTCCTTCTGGGATGACAGCCATGCAGACCAATTTGATGCAGTGTGCGGCGTACAGTGTGAGCACTGACAGGCTGACCCCCCACACCCATCAACCTCTGCAGAAATGCTGGCAGCACTCAGACATCTATTTCCCAAAGACAACCTCTGGATATGACGTTGAGCACGCTGAGTGTGAGAGCGATAACACCAAATTTAACACACCTGTATTTCATTCACACATGAGACCTTGTAACACTAACTAGTTACATGACACTGGTTAGAGAAAATGGCTAATTGGGCCCAGTTTGGACATTTGCACCTAGGGGTGTACTTGCATTTGTTGCCAATGTTTTAGACATTAATGGCTGTGTGCTGAGTTATTTTGACTGTACACTTACTACTTTACATTGTAACAGAGTGTCATTTCTTCAGAGTGTCACATGAAAAAATATAATAAAATATTTACAAAAATGTGAGGGGTGTACTCACTTTTGTGAGATACTGTGTATATAGCGGCGTGGAATTCTAAATTGAACTTTATTTCTCTGACCTGACAAATACAGCGGATAAGTGCAAATAATATTGAAAATCCCAGGATGGGAGAGTTCAGCGTTTAATCAGCTCAGTAATTCATTCTTCGGATATGATATAATATCGCAATATTGCGCTGGGAGACTTATGATACATGCCTTTAAGGCTTTAATAGATCATGAAGTTCTTTCCCCCTTCCATGTTTTATATATATTGATTAAATATATCAATTGCTTACCTTTAAGACTCTCCTTTACACAATACCTTTGCTGTCCCTCTCTTCCCAAAACAAGATCACGACAAGCTTTGAGTAGCCCTTTATTGGTTCTGAAAAACGTAATCTTTAACAAGTCAGTAAGTTGTTTAAACCTTATTTCTTTTATTACAATTTCTGCTTTTTAATTTACAAAAGGGATTTATTTGGACTAATGATTTTTTGAAACGTCAAAGGTTCTAAGTGCATCAAACTACTTTCGTAATAAGTGTTGTAATGTAAAGAAGCCGTACATACAATGTATAGATTATCTCGGTAAATTGTCTCACTAAGCGATTTACTTTCCTTTAGGGCACTTAGTAAGTAATAAAACAAAGCTCACTAAGTTAACTATGTATTTTGGGGAGGACTATAAGGAAACAGAAACAGAAAAGGTTAGCCATTATGAAATGATAGTCATTATGACAAACACAGGAACACTGCAAGCATTACAAACAATAGAAGACAATGTAATAGTTATTGTGCCAGGAGTACCCTGGTGAACCCACAATTTAAGAAGTAAAACCAATTAAAATCAAGAATCTACTAGTAGTAATAAGTGGTGTGCATATAAAGCGGTGATATTGTAGAAAAAGAGATAATAATATGTCAACATAACTGATTAAACTCTACAAAATAGATCAAATAAATCAAGAATCACCAAGTAAAGAAAGAGCTAAAGAAATGCACAAACTCAAAAAGAAAATAAACTTAAGATGGATAGAATAAATAGTAATTTAAAAAAACTAAAACAAACTTGGTATGTTAAAAATAATAAAGTCGGGGTGTGTCCTAGACTCGGAACAGAGCAGATGCATGATTTGAGTGCTCTGTGCTGAGCAGGCCATAGAATACAATTAGACTCTACCTAACAAACAAAAAATGGACCACGTCCCAACCCAAAGGCAAAAGACACGAAGACAGGTCCAAAAAATCCAGTTTTTGTCGCTTCTTGAGCGGGTCAGGCCAAATCCCAGCCGGCCCAGGCACTCGACCAGGATGGCACGGATGAAGAATCTGATCAGCCACAGCCGTCTCCAGAACCGATGGCCACACTCACACAAGCGGTGATGCAAGCAATGCTGGATGCAATGTCCACTAAATTGCTGAATACCCTGCAAACTGCTATTGGAGACCTCAAAAGAGACGTCCAAGATCTGGGCACCAGGACATCCACAGTGGAAGACAAGATGGCGGAAATGGCCGACGCGCATAACGACCTGGCCGGAAAAATGGAAAGCCTCCTTGCCGGAGTAGCATGAGGCTAAGATGGCGGACCTGGAGAACAGGGGACACCGTAACAACATCCACAATCGCAGGGTGGCTGAATTGGTCATTCCAGCTGACCTCGCCACTTACATTACGGGTCTCCTGAACTCCCTAGCACTGGACTTGCCTCGCGACATATTCCTGCTGGATAGAGCACACCGAACGGCAAAGCCCAGGTTTCTCCTACTCGAAATGCCTTGAGATGTGCTGGTGCGTATGCACTATTACCACGCTAAGGAGGCGATCCTGAAAGCAAGCAGGACCATAAAGACCCTGCCTGAATCCTACAACGACATTTTACTATTCGCTGATATCTCAGCAGCCACACTGAAGCACCGGAGGGAATTCCAGACCATCACAACAACGCTAAGATCACACCACCTAGCCTACAGATGGGGTTTTCCTGTAAAGCTACTGGTCAACAGAAATGGGAAAACTACCGTGATCCAGAGCCTAGAGGAAGGTGACCGTGTCCTGAGGAGCTGGGGAGTGGAAAACGACATACCCCAAACCCCTGACTGCAGATAGGAAGACTATCTCCAGAGTGAAAGAAAACGAAAAGACATTGATACAGCTTACTAGCGCTGGCAAATACATGGACTGTAGTGACAACAGCAAGTATTTATGATGTAACCCTTATGCTGGGGTGACTTATGTGTAATAAGGGGCCAGATCTGGCATTACAATCTGTCTTCCCTTCCCCAGATTATTTTATGGGAATTAAGCACCTGGAGCCCTGTGGCTCCATTAGTAGGGGGTAGAGGATGAAGGGAATGACCCC